CCCCTAGTTGAGTCAATTTCTAGATTTGCATTCCCCTCTGCCCACCTGTGGATAAACCACACTCTCACCACCCCTATTCTCCAAAATATATTTTGTTTTGTCTCTGGAGAGATGACTTGTGTGTCTATTGTGAAAAATATACAGGGGCTTTTAAAAGACTTTTCTATAGTCTATTCAAAAGTCTATAATGTATATGTGTATGTGTATATATATATATATGTGTGTGTGTGTGTGTGTGTGTGTGTGTGTGTGTGTGTGTATATATATATATATATATATATATATATATACATACATACATACATACATACACACACACACATACATGTAAAGAAAGAAGCAGACATTCTGCGAGCTCCGGAACTTAAAATTTTAAAATAATTAAAAAAAATTATTCTACTAAGCTTTCGTCAGCCATCTGCTGATATCGTCAGAGTATTAAACTACCATTACAGAGATCTCTGCCTTTATATGCCATTAATCAATTTGGCCATAGTGCCAAATATATATACAGTATTCATGTATATATAAATCAGTGGTTCTCAACCTTCCTAATGTCCTGACCCTTTAATACAGTTCCTCATGTTGTGGTGACCCCCAACCATAAAATTATTCCTAAAACCATTGAAAATATGTGTTTTCTGATGGTCTTAGGTGACCCCCTGTGAAAGGGGTTACGACCCACAGGTTGAGAACCATTGATATAGATAAAGATGTATAGATATACATACAAACACCATCGAGAGAAAAGTGTGGGGTTTCAGCCATGACATTTAAGTTCTGACATGTACTTTTCTCTTTTTTAGACCTTCACAATGGAGATCTATTTTACAGAATGACTTCTGTTACCTGCTCAGTAACGGCTCAAGAGTCCTGGAAGCCCCCTCCCGACACCCAGCAAAAAAAAAAGAATATGGAAAAAAGAGCATCTGGGCTCATTCATCAGCTGGGCTCAGAACCTCCACTGTCTTTGAACTTACCTGGAAATGGGGGAATGACCCAGCAGAGGGAAAAGATCTGATGCCCGTCTGCTCCACGCGCTGGATGACCCTTCTGGCTCCAGCAGAAGCCCTGAAATGTGGCAATGCTCCTGCCCCTCCTCCCTTTTTTCCTAATTCAGCCTGGCCAGCTGACCGTCCTTCTCATATCGCCCTGTTCCCCTGGCTGGATGTTTGTGACGCAGGGAGATGCCTAATAAGGCTGGAAAGAGAGGGGAGCCAAGCGTCCCCTTCGGCTTCCAGAATCCAAAAGGCTCTGATCTGCTCTAGGCTGAACTAACCGATGGAAGGGAAGGAAGGAGGATAACCTTTGCAGAAGGAACTGCTTCCCTTCTCATTTCCAGCATCTGCTCTCCAGGAGCCTGAGGCCAGCTAATTTTCTAGTGCTTATCCCCAACCCTCTTTATTTGCTAAAAGACAAGAGTTTCTCAGAGTTTCTCAACCTCAGCAACTTGAAGATAACACAATAACAGAGTTGGAAGGGACCTTGTAGGTTATCTAGTCCAACCCCACCCACTCCACCCCGCCCAAGCAGGAGACCCTACATCATTTCTGACAGATGGCAGCCCAGTCTCTTCTTGAAAGCTTTCAGAGATGAAGCTCCCACAACTTCTGAAGGCAAGCTGTTAAGATGGGTGGATTCCAACTCTCAGAATTTCCCGGCCAGCTGTGCTGACTGGAGAATTCTGGGAGTTGAAGTCCTCCCATCTTCAAGTTGTTGAGGTTGACAAACACCGCTCTACATAAATGCATGGATGTCTATGCACCTGCACAAAGTTTTTATTGTTTCAACATCTCTTCTTCTTCTTTTTTTTTTTTGGAGAGTCCATTCAGCTATGACTTTCTCAGTTTTTGACTTCATCTGCAGGACCATGAGTAACTTTACAGAGCTGTTGTAAGGCATTCTAAGTGTATCAGTGTAGTATATGTATCTCTGAAATTATTCTGGGGATTGCAGAATAGGCTCTCGATCAGAGATCCCAACTTGCCCCAAATACTGTATTATCTGAGCATGCGTGGAGCAAAACATCCAAGTTCCGTTTCCTATGGACAAGACGGTGCTAATTGTCCAGAACTATCCTTACCATTAGCAAGGAACACTGCATGCGGCATAGGTACAGCAAAAGCTGGTCATCAGTTTTACACCGCCTTTGTATTACTAAACATCTTATAAAAGCATTGGATCAAAGCCATCGTGGGCAACAGAAGTTAATGTCTGTGGGTTCCTGTACATCTTATGTATTGTATCAAATGACTTTAATTTCTTTGTGCTTTGCATATTGCTGTTGACCTAGAAAACGGGTAGCACAATTGATGTGCATGTATGCTGCTTGTAAAGATTTAGTGCCTTTGTCTTATAGCGGCCACAAAGCAATGTGGCAAAATCTGAAAGCTGCTTTGTACTGTCAATTTCAGGCTGTGTAGGGCGTGATTTTTTTTTAATTTTTTTTTTTGAATGAAGTCGTCTTTCTAGATTCCCTATGCAGAGGGGGAAAAAATGCATCAAGTTCAGTGAAAAGATCCAGATAGAACAGAATTGTTTATTAACTCTCATAACTTAACAAGTTCCTTCAGTGTACAGGTAGTCCTTGACTTACGACCACAACTGAGCCCAAAATTTCCGTTGCTAAGTAAAACGGGTGCTTTGCGAGTACATACACATGCAGTTGTTCAATGAATGTTGAACCCGTCTTACGACCTTTCTTGCCACAGTGAAGTGAATCACTGCAGATGCGAAGTTAGTAACACGGTTTTTAAGTGAATCTGACTTCCCCATTGACTTGACTTGTCAGATTGTCACAAAAGGGGATCACATGACCCCGGGGACATTTGCAGCCGTCATAAATATAAGTCGGTTGCCAAGCGGTTCAATTTTGATCACATGATCATGGGGATGCTGCAACGGTCGTGTGAAAAATGGCCACAAATCGCTTCTTGTCTTTTCTCTTCACACAGCCTGAAAAGAGACCATGAAAATATTCATCTATTGTGTTTCCCTGAAAATAAGACCCTGTCTTGTATTTTTTGGAACCCTGAAATAAGCGCTTAGCCTTATTGCCATGCACTCAAAAACCCGATTGGGCTTATTATCAGGGAATGTTTTATTTTGGGGAAAACAGGGTAGGAGATCTCTTATTGATCAGAATTGGCATCCAACTCTCAAAGAGCCCTGTTTTGGATCAAGGGGTACACACTACATCTTGCAGCAGTGAACACCCCAAATTGACTTTTCATCACACCAGTCTGAGGAGAATAGCTCGTCTGTGCTATTCTTTGTTAAATTCTAAGCTTGTGTGTATATTCTTGGTGGGAGACTATTTTGCACAAATGTTTCTCTGAACAGGGAGTTAAAATCCAAAGAGTGGGTGTTTTTTGTCTGGGTGCTTTGTGAGTACAAACATGGGATTTGAGATTGGAGCCCAGCCATCATCCTTGCCGTGTTCTCAATTTACTGGATCCCCTCCCCATATTTTCCATTTAGCCTCCCTAGCTGTTTCTATAGGAAGAGACAAAGGCACTCTCTCAACCAGGGCTGCTATACTGTGAATGGATATTCTTCCCCATCTCATGGCATGTATTTTTGGAGAGCCTCTACAAGGTGTTTCAATTCTTCAGGTGTGCCTCGCAAACCTGAGTCATTTTAGGACTCCTCCAGAGATGCTCCTAAGAATGGATTTATACAGAAAAAATAGCAAATATGATCGTAATCCAATAAATACACACCACTACCCCCAGAAATGGATTCCATAATATTCTCAGCATCCATTTTGTGGGTTATGTGAGACAATACTGGGCAATAGGATCTTGTGACATCCTGGCCTAGCTCATGTTACGCATGCAAACCAGTCAATTGTGGCTTGTTTGTTAAAACATAGTAAAATAACCCACAGCGGACCTGGATTCAAAGAACAAATTTAGTCTGAGCCTGCAGTGTATTGCTTTTTGATTGGGAAATTAAAAGTGCACAAATCATAACTGCTGGTCTCTAACATAGACTATAAAACCTGCTATTTGGGGTTGAAAACCATGGTTTATGTGTTATGTGCTATGTAAATTGAGCCAGGAGTACTTTTATTCAACAAACTCTTGCTTGCTATGTTGCATGAAGTACAGTTCTGTATGGACATTCGTAAAGTGCTCTTTTTAAGGCGAGTCTCAATCTTGATAACTTTTAAGATAAATGGACTTCAATTCCCAAAATCCCCCAGCCAGCAATGGATGGCTGGGGAATTTTGGGAGTTGTAGTCCATATAAAAAAGTTGCCTAGACTGAGCAATAACTGCTTCAAATTCTCTAATTTGTAAATGTGCTTCAAGAAGCAGCGATAATGGTTTCTTTAAATTCTGTAAACTGGATTCCTGTTGCTGGGAAGGAATATATGTGATTCAAAGCATTTTGTGTGAATGTCAGTTAATCTGTGGTCATGCTTAAATCCTTATCCAGCTTTCTCCAATATGATGAGCCAGCCCAGATGGATGATAGCCTCCATAAAGGCCAAAAAAAAAAAAGCCTCACACTGGTAATGAAGACCTTATTTGAACTCTTTGGGCAATAATACTGGAAAATCGGTGAAAAAGCCAGAAGCGCTTTCTGGAGAGGAACGAGCCAACCGTGGCTTTTGCCAATATTCAAAATGGCCGCTAGGCCACAGCAGGAAGGTTCTTGCCCTTATTTAAGATGGAGACGTTCTCATCCGTCCGTTTAACAGCTGTTTCTTTACCGTTTGCCCTGACCCACGATGGCGTTTTTCCCTTCCTTCCCTGCCTTCTGGACTGAGAAGCCCTTTGCCAGCTTACGAAATGGCGGCGCCGGCTGGCGAAAGGAACGGCCGATTGGTCTCTCTCTTTCGGCCCCGCCCACTTTCCCCTCCCCTTCCTTTTTTGCCCGGAATAAACATGGTGCCACGAAACGGGATTCGAGAACCAACCCCGCCCCCCAGGAGTTCGGAAGGAGGAAAGCCCCGCGTTCTCCTGGGAAGCCGTTGAAGCAACGGCCACTTCCGCCGAGCGGTAGACCTCGCCAGGACTAAAAATGGCGGAGTCGGTGCTAGAAGATGTCCGAAAGCTGCAGTCTCGGCTCACTAGCTCTTCGGAACCGAAGAAGGTAAAGGGGGGGAAAAATTAAAAAAAAAGGGGGGGGGGGGGGGGGGCCCCGGAGGGGGAGGGCGGGGGGGGGGGGGGGGGGGCCGGGGGGGGGGGGGGCGGCTGGGGTGACCCCGCGAGGGGGGCCAGCAGGGGTCCCTATAGGAGGGCCACGGCGAGAGGTGGGAGAAATGAGGGGGCCCCGAGTGAAAGAGGGGCCCTAGCTGAGGGGGGGGGTTGAATTGCGCAGCGGGTGGGGTGGGGGGGTGGAAGGCAAAGGGGGACTGGGCTTTTGGGGGGGTGTCAAAAGAAAAGGGGGGGGCGAGGGAAAGGTGCAAGTGGGGCGCCCCCCTTCGGCCGTTACTGGGCAAAAGAATTCCAGCGAGTTTTTTTAGGCCGACCAAAAGAAGCCCTTCCCCCCCTTCCCCTCCCCCCGCCCCTTATTGAGGATATATTGTATTGTATATTGGAGGTGGAGGAGACCCCTTTGGAGAGCTGCAGGCAGCGAGATTTCATTTCAATGTATGCCGTTGAGGGGACGTTCAAAGTGAAAAAGTTACTCTCTTAAGTCTATGGATGGCGATACTTGTGCTGGGGACGTGTACAAGGCACAGACACACATATATATATTTATATGTATTGAACGGCCATCCTCTGATAGATATATTGATATTTCAATGGGAGAAGCCGGGTCCCAGAGAACAGCCGTTTAACGGCTGAACTTTGAATGCCCGGAGAGATCCATCTCCATGTCCATTGTCTGTTGAAGAGTGGGGGGGGGGGGGGGGTTTGGGGGGTCGGGTTGGTGCACGGGGGGACTAGGTGGGGGTGGGGGGGGGGGGGGGTTCCGGGGGGCTGGGGTTGTGCCTAGACGGGTGGGGGGGGGGGGGGTGGGCTTACTCCCCCAAAATAGAGGCTCCTCTGGGGTGTTTTAAAGGGCCACCATCAATGAGCTGTTCAACAGCATTACTTAGTCTGTTGTGTGGATGTTTGGGTGGTTTTAGGGGTGTGGAATTTGTGGTGGGTGGGTGGGAGTGTGTTTGGGGATTGTTAATGTGTGTTGGATGGTCTTTGGGTGTTAAGGTCATTTCGTTGTATGGGTATACTGTGTATACCCATACAATGACAAGTTATTTATTTTATTGCTCTCTTGTGTGTTTTTAAATAAAAATTAAATTTAAAAACAGTACTGTAGCCATCATTTTATCATCAAGTGGGCTGTAAAGTAGTCGCCGCAGGCTTGTTAGGAATGTGCGCGTCTCAAAAGTGGCACCAAAACACTGTGGAAAGAAGAGGAACCTTGTGCGGATCTGGGAAAGGGATTGTGCAGGTTGCCCATCTCTCTATTCCAAACCTCCAGGGAGGGTTAGAAGAAGGTGCTGGCAATACTATTTGAATCACCTCTGGTGTGTGTGTGTGTGTGTTTTAAAAAATCACTAGTGCAGGATCTCTTGCTGTTTGCATCAACTTTTACATAGAGAACTGCTGGAAGAAATCTCTCTTGCAATCCTCAATATCTTTAATGATGCTAATAACCTGCAAAGAAAACAATCAAAAGTTAGAAATCTGCAAAGGAGTAACTGTGCTAAGTGATTTCCTTTGTGTCTTAAAGATGTGAGAAGCTGATACCGAGATAGGCTCTTTGAATAACAATTGAAAGGATGAAGGACTGGAGTTTCCTTTTCTTCTGGTTCAATGGATTTGTCTTTCACCTTGCAGATCAGCACCCACTGAATAGTTTGTAATTGTTTTTTTTTTTTCATTGAAAGGACCTAATACAAGGATAGAAAAGAAGGGAGGGGTATGATAAACTAAGCGCTGGGCAAAACTAATTCTGGAGCGTATTCTTGCATTTTAAATCATCAAGCAAAGAGATGTTACTTCTAAAAGTATTTCATGGAAATGGTGGCTTGAACATTTTGTGTTTTGTCAGGAGCAATCCGAGTTACTTCTTTACTTGAAAAAACAAATTCAAATGATCCATTCCTTCTGTTGTCTGGGGAGTTAAGAACTATTGAGATGTGTACTTAAAAATACTTTGGACATGCTTTGAATCATTTTAAAGTACAAATTTGAGGGGGTCTCTTAGGAATATATCCTTTGAAAAGGTTGCTAGTACTTGGCCGCTGTTTATTGAAGGACAAAAATCAATTATGAAAGAAAGGAAAAGTACAGCTTGTCTGCTACCTTTGCCTTTTCATTAGTGCCTGTCCACAAGTATGCTTTCACTTCACTTGCTGTGTGTGTTTGGGAGAGAGGCTTATTTACTCTGGAAAATCTCAGCTTTTGCTTAAAGTTTGAAGTGAACTTCTAGCCCATTATTGAGTTGAATGCAAAAAAATTTTTTTTAACCCATTGGGGGAATTTATCATAAAGAAAGGGTGATCTTTGGAGATGTTGGGGATCATCTGTAATGTATTGGAATGTAGAGAAGAGACAGTTTTCTCTTTGTTTTCCTGGCTTTTGGGGTAAGTGCAGATGCTTGGCAAACTTGTTGCTGTGGTTTAACTATGCCAGTTGGTTAAAGGGCTCTCTGTGTTCCTCTATTTCTGAAGAATTGTGAAGAGTTGTTTCCCTGGCTGGTTTTTAAACTTTCTCCGGCAATTTACCCAGGAAGAGTTTCTAAATTCTGTGTGCAAATTTTATTGTGGCCTTCAATAATCCCTCCTTCCCCTCCCTGTCCTGATTTTGTACAGCACGTCTCTACCATCCGCTTTCATCTGCGTTGAGGAAAAGAGGAAGGAGACATTTTATTTTGCAACTGTAACCCCTCTTGATTCATAAATTTTCTGCTGGAAGAACCTTCAGCGATAAAGCATATCGGGCTGCATGTATGTGCCAGACTATGTAATCAAAGCAACTCAGAAAGATTTGGTCCCCCTCTAATTCTATCCCCACCTCATCTACACCTTTATGCACCCTCAGTGGGTCTAGTCTATGATCAGTAGATGGCGCTCTTGTGCTCTCCAGAAATCCTCTTTTCTGATTTTTGTTCTGCCACCTTTTGTTTTACATTTATTTAATTTTATCCCACCTTTATTATTTTTATAAATAACTCAAGGCAGCCAGCATACCTAATATTCCTTCCTTCTCCTAATTTCTCCACAACAACAACTTTGTTAGGTGGGCTGGGCTGAGAAAGAATGACTTTTGAGTTCAAAAGGCAACTCAAATACCAGGGAGCTTGGTATGTTGAATACCAGAGAGCAGAAAAATAAATCTTGATTCTGACTTTAGGACAAATGATGGAAATTGTTAGAAGCAAATTTTCAGAAACGTTGGCTCTTAAAATTCTGCAAATTAAGATACTCGTTTCACCAGTTATAAACGTATGGCTTAAGAAATTAGATTACTCAGGTATCTTGGTGAAATATTTTTGCCCCAAAAAAGGTCATATTCATTAAACAAGCAAATAATCTCTTGATCCATCTTTCTGAAATCTCTCCTCCTCTTATTAGTGGACTTGAACCTGTCTTTAGAAGGTGGAAAATAAATTTATGTATTTTAAGTAGATGTAAAAAGTGACAGAGAAAATATCTCTCCCCCCCAGTCCTAAAAAGCAAACTATGCCTGTACACAAAATTTCTTCTCTTGAGCATCTTTTTTTTTTTTAAAGTACATAAATTGGCACAGGTTTTTTTCTAAAAGAAATATCCCCCATGTCATTGTTTTAAATCTAAAAGCAAAGTATGAAAAAATTGAAATCTATTTACACAGGGAATCTGCAGGGAGGGTTTGTTGGTGCTGATTCACTGGATCTCCCTGATCATTGCTCAAATGCTTTGCTGCTCTGGATCCTGATCAGGAGGAAAAGGTTGAGATTTTGCAATGGATTCTCCGGAAATACCCCAAACGTCTGACGTGAATGAAATGTCTTCTTGTCAAGGGAAATGGTGGCCAAACTTTGGGAGAGACACTTGAATATTTAAGATCTGGTTTGTGTAGTAAACTGAGCTGTAAAATGAACACTTCGATTGCTTTGGGATGTCTGAATGCAGATAGAGTGGTTTATCAATTAGGATTACAGAAATCATGGCTTAAGTCTGTGTCTGTTTTTATGTTCAGCTACTGTGCAGGGGCAGAAATACATTTTTAGTGGTAATAACCATAGTTAAAATGCTGGCCAGCCCTTTTTTCCAGGCTGACCAGCCCACAAATGTTAGCTTTAGTTCTTCCCCTCAGAACTAAAAGAGAGGAGACATATTTAGAAGCAGTAGTCAAATGTAGAATATGTCTATCCCACTCAAGAAAAATGTACAGCAGTCCCTCGGCTATTTTTAGGCATTGTTCTTAAAACTTTTATAAATGGTTTTCTGAGAATTTTTGGACAGGTTTACTACATCCTGTATCTGTTCTTTTTGTTTTAATTCCATTGCATTCAAATCTTTGATATAAAAGTTAGCAATTACACCAGGCAATGCTCCTTGAAGGAAGAGACACACATGGCATACTGTGCTTTCCAAGAAACCCTGAGTTAAAAACCATGCAATAGCAAATTGCATGGATGTGATAAAACTGCTGTTCCCAGAATTCCATGGTTTATGAAGGTCCCATATTGGCAAAAGCTGGTGGGCAGGAACGGGTAAGGAATTTCATGCAATTGGAATTCTTTGCTAAATTTACAAATCTCTTTGCCTCTTCTTTGCATGTCCTCCCCCACCCTCCCCAGAGATAACTTCTCTGACCATGTTTGATGCTAAATTACTGCTTTTAGCTGTCAAAGCCTCCTTCCAAGTTCTTTGTTTTCTTTTATTGGTGAATGGTCAGATGGAACACTTTAAAAAATACTTCAAAATTGGAAAAAGCTATTGGAATGGATGAAAGCATTTTCAGCTCTGTTTGGGGTTAGATGTTAAAATTTCTAGAAGATTAAAGGTACCAGAACATGAGAACTAATTTTAGAGATCAAAAAAGTTTCTGTGTGGATGTAAGCCACCTTAACCCCAGTTGTCATAAGTCTATGACGATTCTCAGTCATCCAGGTCATAGTTGTATCAAAAGTGGTTTTTATTTTTGAAAAGGTAACTGGACTGATTTTTTAAAGAAAAAGAAGAGGTTTCGCTTCCTATTCTGGAATCTTGATCAGTTGCCTTGGTTAGTGTGGGAGATGGAATGACAGTTAACTGTCCTTCAACTATCAATAACTGTTGTTCCATCTCCCACACCATCCAATACAACTGATCAAGATTCTAGAATAGGAGACGAAACTCTTCTTTTTCCTTAAAAAAATCAGTCCAGTCGCCTTTTCAAAAATAAAAAACCATTTTTGATACCCACTTGTCATTGTCTAGATATTTTACAGTTGGGACTGTTGGTCATGTTGGTTGAGGATACTAGAAGTGGTCCTCTCAAACTGCTTCATGGCTCCAGGTTGGGGAAGGCTGCCTTTAAAAGAAAATGTATTACAGTTTGGAAGGCTGCCATTTGATGGATGTTGTATTCCATTTGTTAAGCCCGGGGTCTCCAACCTTGGCAACTTTAAGACTTGTGGACTTCAACTCCCAGAATTCCTCAGCCAGCACTGGCTGAGGAATTCTGGGTGTTGAAGTCCACAAGTCTTAAAGTTGCCAAGGTTGGAGACCCCTGGCTTAAGCTATTGGCTGCTTTTATGAAATGGCCTATCATGATGGAAGATGAAGGTGGGTTTCCCCCAGTGGTGGGTTTCAAAATTTTTTACTACCGGTTCTGTGGGTGTGCTTGGGCATGGCATGACTTGGTGGGTGTGGCAGGGGAAGGATACTGTAAAATCTCCATTCCCACCCCATTCCAGGGAAGGATACTGTAAAATCTCCATTCCGTCCCCAATCCAGGGGAAGGTTACTGCAAAATCCCCATTTCCTCCGGATCAGCTGGGACTTGGGAGGCAGAGAATAAATGGGGGCGGGGCCAGTCAGCATTTTTACTACCAGTTCTCCGAACTACTCAAAATTTCCACTACTGGTTCTCCAGAACTGGTCAGAACCTGCTGAAACCCACCTCTGGTTTCCCCCTCTTATTATTGAACATTTCTGTTGATCAGCAATGTTACACCGAGGCTTAATGGGAAGAAGGTGGATGAGGCAGATATATGAGGAGCCTTTTCCCAAATTCTTCAAACTACTGAAGGTATCCAGAAGTATTATCCTTGGGAGAAACCTGCCTCTAATCCAACTGGATTTTTCTCTTACTTTTGATTCACACGAGCCTGGGTCTCCGAACAGATTTGGGGCTAGCAGCTCTAGATCCCGCTGGCAAACCTACAAGCCTTGTTTGGGTGGGATTGCTGCAACTATAAGATTTTTGATCTGCTTCATTTGTCTGCAGAATATTAGGTCCGTATCTTCCATGGCATCTTATCTACTCTGTGGGTTTGTTTTTTGAACTTCTTGACTACTGTGAAAAAGCTCTCCATTAGAGAGCTGAGTTCTCAACCCTTTTCTGTTCCCCTCTGTAGCTGATGAAAAGTTTGAAGAGACTTTCTGAACTGCCAATCACCATAGAAATTCTTCTGGTAAGTTATTTTGTAGTACCATTTCTTGCGCTTGGAAACTTAGTCCTGTTCTGACAAGGGAAAGAACTCATTTTGAGGATGAGGACATGACTGTTTACTGGGGAGCAATATAGGATCACTACAGCTTGGTGATTCTTTCTACTCTGGCATAGTATCCTTTGAGTCATCAGGATGGGGCTAAATCTGCCCTGTTGTGATAGCACTATCCTAATTACAAATGGGAAGGCTCAGACAGACCCTGCAATATGCACAAAGGAAAATGTTTTATTGCGCCACATATATCCTGCTGAGCCATAACTGTGCTTTGAATAAGTCACCATTGGGTTTGCATTCAGCCATAATTGATTTATTTATTTTAGGCTTAGCATGTTGTATGAACTCGGATGTTAACTAGCTGTCATTGTCAAAGCTGTTTTTCTACATCCTTTCCGCAGGAGACTGGAGTCGGAAAGACTGTGAACGGTTTACGAAAACTTGAACAGGTTGGAGACTTTGCCAAGAACTTGGTGGCAAGATGGAAGAAGCTTGTGCCAGTTTCACAGGAAACAGAGCGGTGAGCTGGGCTTTTATAATATCTCTTCTTAACAGACAATGTCCTTGTATAGTTCATCTGCCCTCAAAAACAATTTGAAGCTCTGTTTCCTGATACAGCTCCACTGCCTGGTGGAATGTGCCAAATGTCCCCTTAAAGCATTAATAGTCAGAGGGAACATGAACATAATGAAAGTTCAAGACAGTTTCGCAAAATAATGTGAAAGGGAAAAAAATGTGCAAGCTTTATAGGTAACACATGAAGAACGGTTGCAGGATTTGGGTATGGCTAGTCTAGAGAAAAGAAAAGAATGATAGCAGTATTTCAGTATTTGAGGGCTGCCGCAAAGAAGAGGGTTGGGTCAACTTATTTTCCAAAGCACCAGAAGGTGAGACAAGAAACAACGGATGGAAAGTAATCAGGGAGAGAAGCAACCTGGAATTAAGGAGAAACTTCCTAACAGTGAGAACAATCAACCAGTGAAACGGCTTGCCTTCAGAAATTGTGGATGCTTCATCACTGGAGGTTTTTAAGAAGAGACTGGATAGCCATTTCTCTGAAATGGTATAGGGCAGGGGTAAAATGCTACCGGTTCGGACTGGTTCGGCCGAACCGGTAGCGATGGCGGCGGGTGGTTCGGAGAACAGGTAGCGATGACAGCGTGAGGCTCTGCCCACCCGCCCAGTCATCATTACTTCCTGGTTTTAACCAGGAAGTAACCTGTTTTTTACCCTCTGTGCATGCGCAGAAGGGTTTGCGCATGTGTAGAGGATCTGCGCACGGCACGCAGGGCATGTGCACTTCCGAACCAGTGGGAAATGTAAGTAGATTTCACCCCTGGTATAGGGTCTCTATTCTAAATTCTAGTCTAGAAAGGTAGAAGTTGGCTGCATTCTGTTTCGGTGTTAAGAAGATGGGACTAGACAATCATTGCTTTCGCTTAGGTTTTCAGTAATTTTGATTAGATTCAGTAATCCAATTCTTTCTGTTTTTCTTTTTTTAAGGCATAATCTTGAACCTACAGAACAGGGCCATGACCGAAACATCTCTAGGAAACGACAGCGAGACCTGTTGCCCAAAGAAGAGAAAGAGGCCTACTCAGAGACATATCAGCCTTCTTGTAGCCAGTCCTACGAGTCGGATTGTGGAGCTAAAAAGGCCAAGAGGTATTCAGACCCAGAAAAATCCCATCACGATGTAAGCTATGGTATTCCAGAAGACAGGTCATGGAGGAGAGAGTCCTCTGACCAGGAATGCTCTGACTATGGACATGCAGTCTCATCTGAGCTCAGCGAAAGTCCTCAGGAACTATATATGGACCTCTATCATGCTGAAGAACAAGAGAGGGAGCAAAAATCCTTGTCCCGAAAGGGGATTAAAAGCCACCAGTTTCAGGACAGACAAGAAGTGACTCATCATAGGAATTTCAGTGACTCTCAAGAGAAAGCCAGCACAAGTCGGAGCAAAGAGCCTAAATCTTCTCACAAAGAGAGGCAGCGGCCAGAAGCCAAGGGGGAAGAGAAGGCTCCCGTAGTTAGCTCAGAGAAACTGCCAAAGAGTTCTTTGTCCCATGAAGCTTCTTTATCAAGCTGCAGCAAGGAGAAGCTGAAGGTCCCGGACAGCCTCAAACGAGACAAGAAAAAAGATGGCAGCGGCGTCAAGAAACATAAGGCCTACTTTGACTTGGAGGATAGCTTGAATGAACATAGGAAGAAACAAAAAACTCACGACACGGAAAGGGCCAAACCTGAAAAGATGAAACTTAGCATGGAAACCGTACCTGGAGATCAGGAGAAACCGAAACCTGAAGGAGATTTGCCTAATAAGAGCAAGGAGAAGAAGAGCTCCAGCAGCTTTAAAACTTCTGAGGGCAAACCCAAAGTCCTTGAATCAAACAAAAGACCTGCAGGCTTCTCACCTCCCAGAGAGAGAGAGGTGGAGGATGAGTATGAACAGCCCACCATGTCCTTTGAGTCCTACCTGAGTTACGACCAGCCTCAGAAGAAGAAAAGGAAGCTGGCCAAGCCTGCTACAGCTCCAGTCCCAGAGAAAGGACATAGCAGCAAGCAGAACGGTTCCAAGTCAAGTGCCAAGAGCTCGGACGCAAGCCGGAAAGCTTACAAGCAACCGAGCGAGAAGAAGCCGGTGGAGGCGTCTGCATCGAAAGCAAAAAAAGTAAGGGTTTTTCATGGGGGAAATCGTTGCTTCGCTGTTACCTTTTCTCGGCCAAATTGAGGTTGAAGGCAAACTGAAGGGATTTATAGCACACGGCCCTGTCACACATACGGCTTATTTCAAGGGTGGGCAAATGTGGCGCTTTTACAACCTGCTTGGCTGTCTCAGGAATTCTGGGAGTTGAAGTCCACAGGTTGTAAAAGGGCCACATTTGTCCACCCCTGGCTTATTTGGAGATGTTGTCACATGCACCTAGCCATCGTAATTTGTAAGTCATTGCTTATCATTAGGCCTGACGTCTAAACTCAGCAAATGATGGTTCCTTCAGCCAATTGGTTAAGCAAATCAGGGCTTGCATGCACCCTGGGATATTTTATTCACACGGAAGGTTCTGCAGGTTTCAAAGGCAGCTTGTGCTTCTAAGAGTTTGGGCCCATTAATAACTAGTTCTGCCGGGGGCTTTTCAGATGTGCTAGACTCCAATATCCATCATACCCATGCTGGTTGAGGGTGATAGCAGTTGTAGTCCCGTCCTTTTGGAAGGGGCCAGATTGGGAAAGGCTACGTTTAGGAGGAAATGAGTCCTGTTGGAGTTTTCCAGACTGAGCATTGACATTTACTGAGAACGTTTCCATTCTCCTCCCCTCTTTCTTTATGAAATACGGCGCTCTTTAACATTGTCCATTTTTTTACAGGCATCTTAGCCTGTAAAAAAACTTTTTAATTTATTTCTCAGCAAGACTGATGCGCCCAATATTTATCTGTAACTGTATTAGGAGGTTACGTTCACGTATTAAAAGTATTGGGCTGTCCCCCAATAATATTTTTCAACAGCATGATAAAAGCATTAATAGCACACAGGCACGTTTACTATGCTTTGTTTACAAAGTGCTATGGGTAAAATTTAGTATTTTACTCACTCTGTATGTATGCTGCCTATTCCCAAAGTTTCTCCCCTGATGTTGAAGGTATGTGTCATAAATGATCTATTATGCAGTGGAATGGGCTTATCTATTAACCTACACAGGGATAAAACATGGAAGTTGGTCCTTTCCAAAAACTCTTGCTGAGTCAGCTCGCTTGGGGTAGGTGCAATTTTCTTTCCAGTGGAAATGAAGAGAGTCCTTGGTGCTCACCATGCTTGGTTGTTCGCTTGCAAGTGAGTGGGATTTGCCCTCTGCCAATATAATACTATCTGCCAAAGAAATATTTAGCTACATCATTTCCACTGTTTGTAACGGAATATATAAATATTTAAAACAATGTTTTAACATTACTCTCTAGACCAGGGGTGTCAAACTCAAGGCCCGGGAGCCGGAGCCGGAAACAGCAAAGGACTGGCCTGCAGTACTTCTGTCAGCAAAAACGGGTTCCTGAGCTCCTTTTTTGGCTGCCACGGCCTCCTGCAACCCTCTGCCAGTGAAAATGGAGCTCAGGAGTCCGTTTTCAGTGGCAGAGTGCTTGGGCCACCACAGGCGCCCCCGGCACGAGTGACATCAAGTTGGCCACACACCACACACTCCCTGCCTCCCCCCCCCCAAGATCAGACACAACCCTGATGCTGTCCTCAATGAAATCGAGTTTGACACCCCTGCCTTAGACCAATTTTCTCTAGGTTGGTAGATAGACAGCACTCAGCACTGAAAAAAGTAGAAGATGGGAGAGAGTTTGGTATGTGAACTCCTCATCGTTCCTAATGAGAACTTACTCAACATGTTTGAGCTTACCTCTGCCTGCTCACAGTGTTGAGTGAACAGTTTTGTCATGAGTCTGTTTGGTTCTGTTCTGCCCCAGCTACGGACCCCAAAGAACGCAGCACACACAAAGTCTGTACAAACCTTAGTTTACTAAATTAAATCAGTCTTTTTCAAATAAAGGCTGTTAATTAATTTTCTTAACAGCCTACAAGAATCCAAAGAATAATCGTAATCTTACTATGGTTGGCAGAAAACTCAGAAGCAATTTGCAGGAAACAGATAAGAGAACTAAGATCAGGATGCGAAGGAAAGTGAACGAAGTTGTTCCCTGCAAATTGCCTCAGTCATCGTCCTTCCTTAAATAGGCTAAGGGAGTGGCCAATTAGCCCCAAGCCTTACTCTTGAGGAGACCTCCTCCTGAGGAGCCACTCCTGCCTTTTGGAGGCTCTGCGCGCCTGTGCATCGAGAAGAGGCTCCTCCTCTTCTTCCTCTTCACTTATGGGAGCTTCTGGAGTTCTGAAGGCCCTGGCTGAATCCCCGCCTCTGGCACCACATCTTCTCCAGCCTCCTTATTGTCTGACTTGAGTGCCAGCTGCACAGGCTGCTGGCACAGCACCACACCAGCCTCCTCGCTGTCGGAATCAGCTACTAGCTGCACAGGCCGCTGACGGGCCACAACAGGTTCCAAGGATGATTTTTGTTTTTCTACCCACAGCAAATACAGACTTTTGCAAAGATAGCTTAACCAAACATGGGTTTTCTCCCCTCCAGATACTCATTGATGTGGTGCCAATGCTTCCTGACATTCCATTGCCTCCAATCCAGGCAACTTATCGCCCTCTTCCTTCACTTGACACAATCTCATTCACCCAACCAAAGAGGAAAGGTAAAGTCGGAGCGGAATCTTCTTTTCATTTACTGTTTCTAAATGTTGTGGTTGAAGATAGGTTGGGTGATACAGAAAAAAAAATCACATAGAAGTTCTGAATTTTTCTTTGTCTTTTATTCACTTGCCTAGGCCTCCTCCCTCCTGTGGAAGAGGAGGAAGACTGCTATGTAAATATAATGAGAATAGATGCCCATTTGGATTCAACAGAAATAGTTGAATAGCTCGATGGGTAGTTGATAATTTCTCTGATGCTTCCGGAGAAGGAAAGGAATGTGATTGTGGCTTTGGTTCCAAGCACATTGCATCTTAGCTGTTTGATCATGAAGATTTTCTTTGTGCAGTGAGGAATCGTCTGCATCACATTAAAAGCACAAATAAATCTTCTTTTCAAAGCACAAAATAACTTACATTCACTGTCCCCAAGTTGGATTTATTCCCTTGAATTGGAAGCGGTGATTTTTCATGCAAGCTGCCTAGGGGTAGCCCCACGGTGAGATAGGCAGCAAATAAATGTAACCAATAAATAAATAATGGAAAAGCCTTCACAAAGTAAGCTACAAGTGTGCATGTATGTAAACTTGCTATATAAAAGACGTGTCCGGTAGCTGTAAACCAGTGCAGCCCCTGTAAACTTCCCAGCATCATCTGGTGGGGTTTGGAGTATGTTTTTGATCTTCTGGGACCTCCATGCTAGATATCCTGGTCTCTAATGAGTCTTTTACCTTCCCCTGGCCTTGCAGCCCTCTCCTCCCCGACTGAAGAGGATGAGGCTGGTTTCACAGGACGTCGGCTGAATTCCAAGATGCAGGTGTACTCGGGCTCCAAGACGGCCTATCTTCCGAAGATGATGACTCTCCATGAGCAGTGCATCCGGGTGCTCAGCAATAATATTGACTGTAAGTCCGATAGGCTGTGGGCCTGTGGAGCATGAAGGGGAAGGAGTTTGACAGTGAACTGGATCAGGATATTTACTTATTTACTTCAGTAGGTTTACACGGCTGCCCAACTCCCTGTAATATTGAATACAGGGAGTCCTTGACTTACGACCATTCGGCTAAGGACTGTTTGGAGTTGGAAAAAATTACTTACAGCTGGTCTTCACACTTAACAACCGTCAGCAGCATGTAGTTAGAATTCGGGCACTTGGCAACCAGAATGTAATCATAACAGGTGCAACATCCTGGGGTTACATGATTGCCATTTGCAACCTTCCCAGGAAGCAAAGTCAGTGGGGGAAGCTGGATTTGCTTAAGGACTGCATGATTCACTTAGCAACCCTGGCCAAAAAAGTCTTAAAATCAGGCATAACTCATTAGACTGTCTTGATTAGCTATGGAAATTTTGATCCCGATTGTGACCGATTGGGATCAAGGACTACTTGCATATCTGTCACGCAAACATTTGCATTAGAGGACTGCTTAATTCATTGTTCCTCCGTCCAACTGACCAGTTCTCTTTCAAAGCTCCTTTTCTCTTACAATCATGCTGATTTCTGATTTGGGGGTGGAGCCGGGATTGGCATGAAATGATCCATGAAAGAATAGTTCATGGTTAAGCAAATGGGCTACACTGACAGTGGTGCGGCTTATTTAGTTTTGTTTAGCCCTAAAGCAATCAGCCATTCTGTTATTCCTCGCCTTTCTTTCTACTCTGTTTCCCCCAAAATAAGACATCCCCTGATAATAAGCCCAATCGGGCTTTTGAGTGCATGGCAATAAGGCCAAGTGCTTATTTCAGGGTTCAAAAAAATATAAGACAGGGTCTTATTTTCGGGGAAACACGGTGGTTGGGGAAACTTGATTTGGACAACATCTAGGTTTTATATTTTGCACCTGTGACATTGGGAGGCCCCTTGTGTGATGTAGAAAACATTCTGGTCCTTCTATCCATACTTAGTTGATTCTATGCCTCCTGGATTTCAGAAGATGCTCCCATGTCTTGCAATGCATATAAAACCAAATACCTGTTTCCCACTTGGAAAATGTGCCTTGAAAATGAAGAAAGATCTGTCTGCTTTTTTCTCCTAGCCATCTACGAAGTGGGCGGTGTCCCATATTCTGTACTTGAGCCTGTTTTGGAACGCTGCACTCCAGAGCAGTTGTATCGCATTGAGGAGTGCAATCACGTGAGTGTTACCAGATAAGAGGGAATGGGGTGTGTTGATCAATGATGATGATTCTTCACTATTTGTTGTAAGACCAATCGATGGTTCAGATACGGTGTGATTTAATCTTCAAGGATTCTGCTTGCTTCGGGATTTAAAATTAGACATTGCTCCAGTTTGTAGCACCTCTGTAAATAAAAATAATTTTTATTTACTAAATAGTGGCTTCTACCTATGGATGTAACTCAAAAACAGCTGGTATAACATCAGGTATAGGGAATCCTGTATTTAAGAAAAACATTCTATTTTTATTCAGATGACATAAATATGCAAGACCACAATATATAACGGGGGAATTGGAGGACATCAATTAAGTATAATAATGATAAAGTTCATTATATAATAATACAACCTCCAACAATGATATCTTAAGAGTTAGTAAAATAATAGCACTGTGATTAGATAATAGAGAAGATCCTCGGCTTTAGAAAATGAAAGCTTCATGGAAAAGCAAAGTTTTTGAGAAACTGTTTGTTTCTGTAGACCGGTATTTCTCAGCCTTGGCAACTTTAAGATATGTAGACTTCAACTCCCAGAGTTTGCCATCCGCGGATGGGTGGTTGAAGTCCATGCACCTGAAAGCTGCCAGGTTGAGAAACACGACTGCAGGTAAACTAATTTTGACCTGCTCTGCAAGGTGGGTGGATGTCTCTGAGGTCCTTGGCAGAAATTTTACACGCTACATGATAACCAGTACCATCAAATTAGCATTTGGGATGGGGCGGTGGTGATGAAGATACTGGGATTGCATTGTAAAGCCCCCCCCAATAAATTTTGGGACTTGGCTATTAGTTAATGAAGCTAATGGACAAGTTTCCTTCTGTGGCAGCCTCTCACATAAAGGGTATAGTAATAGGTAGCTCAAAAACCTGGTCTTAAATACCCGGTGTGCTTTCCAAGCATATTTGGCAGAGGGAATTCAGTTGGATTTGGTGAAGTTGCCACGTGTTTGTCACCAGCTGCTGTTCTCCTTAAGTATTCCTCTAAGGAACAAATGAAGATCAAGTGAGACTGAGTGACTTTAGAGATGGGAAGCACCTCTACCCCTTAATTTTCTCAAACCCCACGAGGATGAACGGCAGCAAAATGACTAAGGGGCAGGTGATAAAAGAAGTCTCTTAAGAAGAGCCAAAGAGGCTGTGTGCACCCAGAAGGCCATTACGTAAGCCTTGGCATTGCTTCCTTTATCACCAGTCCAAATAGTAGAGAGGACAGAATTTTCCAAAGTTGTCCTTGACAAAAGTGATTCCATTTCTCTCCAGCGAATAACCCTAAAGCAGAGGTCTTCAAACTTGGCAGCATTAAGACTTGTGGACTTCAACTCCCAGACTCCACAAGTCTTAAAGCTGCCAAGTTTGAAGACCTCTGCCCTAAAGGAAAATTTTTTTACAGGTAGTTCTCAATTTAAGACCAGGAGTTAAATCCAGCAGATTCTGACAGGTTCTGGAGAACTGGTAGTGGAAATTTTGAGTAGTTCAGAGAACTGGCAAATACCATCTCTGGCTGGCCCCAGAGTGGGGTGGGAATGGGGATTTTGCAATATCCTTTCCGTAGGAGTGGGGTGGGAATGGGGATTTTGCAGTATCCTTCCCCTGCCACGCCCACCAAGCTACGCCTACAGAACCGGTAGTAAAACAATTTGGATTTCGCCACTGCTTAAGACTGCAGTTGGACCAGAATTTTAGTCGTAAGTTGTGAGGCTTTCAACGTGACTGGACTTGATTTTACAACTTGGGGTTTTGTAATATTTCCCTGGGGTTTTTTTGAAACCTGAGAATATAACTTCTAGCAGACAAATTTGCGTCTCAGATAACTAGATCTTGGTTCATAAAGGTTTTGAACTTTTACACCTTCAGAATAATTATCTTAATTTATTCTTTCGGAGATGCTCCAACCCTAGGCTCAATCTTCCTTTGCTCTTGGCCTCCAGGTTTTAACAGAAGACACAGATCAGTTGTGGCACAATCATTGCCAGCGTGATTTCAAGAAGGAGAAGCCAGATGAGTTTGAGAGCTGGAGGGAAATGTACCTAAGGCTACACGATGCTCGAGAGCAACGACTTCTGATGCTAACCCAAAACATCCGTTCAGCTCATGCCAATAAACCCAAAGGTAGAAGGCTGGACTGAACGATTGAGCGGGCATGGAGATAAGAATGGGCAGGGGAAAAAAGGATAGCAAATCATTTTTTTAATCTGAAAGTATTGTGGCCCCCCAAAAAAGGTGGTTTTTTTTCTTTTGTAAGTCCTTGCAATTTTTTGGCAGGTGGGAATTTAGTGACATACATGAAAAAAGGGAAGGGAACAGTTTTCCCTGTAAAATTTGAGTGTCCTGGCACAAGGGCCGGATAAACAATGCAAAATTGCTACTTCTGCATGCTACTACAGGTAGCCCTCGACCTATGACCATTCATTTAATGATCATTTAATGGCCATTTGTGACCTTTCCAGCCATCTTCCAACAAGCAAATTGAAGGGGGGAAGCCAGATTCACTTAACAATTATTCACTTAATGACAAAAACTCTGGTCCCAGTTTTGATCGTAGGTTGAGGGCTGTCTGTACATAAATCTTAAAAAAGCCATGACTCTAGAAAGCGTCTGCAATAATGTCTGGGAAATTCAAATTGTCTTGATTAAATTTTAACAGAAAGACCCTTTAAATGATGGCCTTTAACGTTACTGGTTGCTAGTTTAAAATTGGCCTGGCCTGATTCGGGGGGTTTAAAACCAAATGTTTTCCATGGCACGAACTGAAACATTGCTTGCACATCTGTGTACATGGCACCCTTTCGCATTCTAGCATCCTCTTGGCATATTGGATGTTGACTCCCATCATTACTTTGGCTGTGCTGGCTTGGAATGAAGGGAATTGAAGTCCTACCGGTCTAGAAGGCACCAGATCTTGGATGGGTGGTAGAAATCAGCTTATGGTGAATAGCTGTGCGGTCTTTTGAATAATTGGCAATCCCATCCAGCTTGCCAAGTTGACTTGGGCATATTCCAGGTAGTTCTCTATTCCTTTAACTCAGAGGATGGTGAAGGTTCCAGTGAACGTTTAGGGAGATTCTCAGTCATCGAGGTCATGATTGTCCCAAAGATATTTCCAAAAGACAACTGGACTTTCTTGGGTTTTTTTTCTCCTTCAGTTAGAACTGAAGGAGCTTCTTAGATGAGAAGTGAAAGAAGGTTTTTTTTCCCCCAAGGGAAAAAAAGCAAGAAAGTCCACTTTCCCTTTGGAAAAAAGCACCTTTGGGAGCTCCAGTGAATGCTGATGCCCATTTATGAGATCGCAGATCTGACTCGTGCTGAAACGATCCTATAAAAGCCTTCATGCTAGAAACAAGAGTGATCCTAGGAATCATCATGTCTTAGGAGGAGGAAGAAAAAGATTTCCACCAAAGAGGATACATGTTCCTTGTTAGCCATCCTCCCCTACCAGTTATCAGAGGGATTGTCTTTCCAAACTTTCGGGGCTGACCTCTCTTTCTTGGTTTGGCTCTCCTCTTTTAGCCAGAGTAGCTAAGATGGCATTTGTCAACTCAACAGTCAAGCCACCCCGGGAAGTGAGGAGAAGACAAGAAAAGTTTGGGACTGGAGGAGCGGCTGTCCCAGAGAAGATCAAGTACGTTTTCTATGAAGGCTTTCACTTTATCTTCTTCTTGAGGGGTGGGGGAACAGGGACAAGCTGCGGGGAAAAGAAATGTGGGAAGCTGTGTCTATCCTGCCTTTCAGCATCCATTTTGGGAGGAGGCGCAACATTGTGCGTGATTAAGCTATGGCTAGTCTTAGATACCTATGTACCCAGTTTAGGCATCTCCTATGCTTCCAGCAGTGTTTTAATACAGCAGCTGTCGTCCCTCTTAAGATTGTAATTAAATTACCATATTTTTCGGAGTATAAGACGCTCCGGACTATAAGACACACCTACCTTTTTTGGTGAGGAAAACAAGAAAAAGAAATCTGCCTCTGCCTCCCAGCAATTTTGTCTCTTTGCAGCAAACAGCAAATAGCCTGCTTTACTTTCATTTTCGTTTTCAGCATAGCTTGATTAGCACAAGAAGAAAAAAAATCTGTTCCCAGCAATTTACCTCCTTGCAGCAAGCAACAGAGGCCCGTGCAGTAATAGGCAATGGCAATCCTTGCAGCCTGAAACAGCTGAGAGTCGGGAGGCCGATCCAGTGGACAATCAACTCGTGCTAATTAAGCTGTGCTGAAGCTGAAATGGGCTGTTTCTTCTTGCTGCTTGCTGCAAGGAGGTAAATTGCTGGGACGCAGAGGCCAAAGGGTGGGGGCCAGTGGGTGGGCGTATATTTTGGGGGGGGGGGGGAAGGAACATCTTATATTCTGAAAAATACGGTACTCTCTTTGAGGGAAGGAATTGTTAAATCTTTTTTAAAAAGGTGATGAGCAGGCCGCTGAGAAAGTGTAACCTGGCCCTAAACAGTGGGGACAAAAGTAAAATGTATTTTTCCAGATCCAAATTCCTGATGCTTGAATGAAGAGGGGGTAATTGATTTCCAGCAACTCCGGTTGTTCTTGGGTGACACATTTTCTGTGTTTATTACAGTCCAAGCTCTGCTACAGAAATTGCCTCGGCGAGCACATTTGTTGAATCTGCAGTGGACTCTTCCTTACCGCTCACCATCTTCTCTTTCCTCAGAATCAAACCTGTATACTTCACACCAACTAAAAGCAGCAGCGTTCACACGGAAGAGGAACAGGATTACGACAGGCCCAGTACTAGTAGCGGCCCCTCAGGCTCATCCCTGGGCAGCACTTCATCAGTGACCTATGATCCAAGGAAGCCCCCGGTGAAGAGTAAGTGAGCTGCTGACGCCTCCATCCTGCAAAAAGATTGAGGGTTTTCATGAAAAATGCATTATATTAATCTCGAATGGGATTAAATTATTTTTACACGTTTCCATGCATAAACATTTTATGAATGTGTCCATTTTAACCTTTGATACAGCAAATATTGATAAACATAAAGTATCCAAACAAAAGTTCTTTTGGTGGGGGAGGTGTTCTCCATAATTTTTAAAATGGGAAGCAGTCCTGAGGGTAAAAAGTTTAAGAAACACTGTTCTTCACCATGCAGAATCCTATCAGGCAGTCTTCCCCCTCTGCTATAAAAGGCTTATTCAGAAGCATGGTTTGGTGGGGAAAATGTCCTGCTCGGTACAATTGCAGCACTATAGCCAAAATGAGAATGATGTGTAAATTAATGTGATGTGTAAACATGTAAGTCCTTAGGTCCATAGAGAAAGAAATCACTAACCACTAAACAGGAGCCCTGCAAAGATTTCCCCCCCCCCCCACCTGTAAAATAGAATTGGCTTCCTTCATTATGTGTCTAACTCTGAAGAGTGGAAACCTTTTCCTTCAAATGCAAATCCAGATTTGTATTCTGTATATATCTGTGTATCTTAATGCAACTGCTTATATGCAATAACCTCTCTCATTTCTTTTCTCTTCTTGTTTTGCAGAAATTGCACCTATGATGGCCAAGACTATCAAAGCTTTCAAAAACAGATTTTCTCGACGATAGAGGAACTGTCAGGCTCCAGTGAATGCGAAGGAAAAAGATTTTTTATGGAAGCAGTGCTTACAGGAAAATGGGGAGTTTTTGGGGAGTCCCCCAAACACCTGTTTAAGACCAACTGCACAGTATTGTTCAAAACCACCTTCCAGTTTCCTCCCTTTGTCCCCGTAATTTTTGTTTTTATCTGCCAAGCGTTTTGCATATGTGAAGTTTGGCACCTGGCTGAGACACGAAGGTCCACAAACTATAGCGCTTTCTTCGGTCTCTCTTTTTCTGGATTCCAGAATGGAAAGAGTACAGCCTTCCACCATCTGCAGTGTTTTTTGTTGTTTTTTTTGTCACCCCTCGGCCAGTTGTAAGACTTCAGATCTGCCTCTTCTAGTGTCCACTGTGAAAGACCCATCTATTTTGCAGATACTGTTCATGATTAGCAACTGCTGCTAAAGGACCTCTTGGGACTTTTACAATCTTGGTCAACCTTCCGGCAAGTGATTTCCCCAAACAACATTTTTCTCCTCCTTTCTGTTTTTCAGTCGCAGCTCTTAAGTGTTCATCTCACGCCTGAAACCCTTTGTGCCAGATACAAGCTGATTGGCCTTTCTATACGGGGACATCTGTTCACTTGGCAAAGGAAAAATAATAATAATAAAGTAAGAAATGGGTACACGTTATTTTAAACTCGTAGGAGAAAAAAAAGCAGCACAACTCAGGAAGCGAAGAATAAGTCACTTTGCACAAATCTGGATTTCAAGCATTCATGTGAGGTTTCTTTATTTTAAAAATGTATAGTGACGGTAAGGGGGACAAGTTCTCCCCTCCCCATTTTAAATTGAAAACAAGGATTTACATTAGATTTTCCTCTTCGATTCCTCTGGTTTTAACAAACAGAGCAGGCACTTTAATTCCCTGATACACTTTAAAGAGCTCAATTGACAAAATGTCACACATCTAGGTGCTCTCTATGGGGGATTCTGGGAATTGAAGTGACAACAAGTTGGATTAGAAATCATTTCCATGGAAAGGATTGTAGGAACCTCCAGTTCATTTGTTCTTCTCTAATGTGGAAGGTGTTTTTATTTTATTTAATGTTCTTTTAATGTTGTTTTAAATTTAGGCAAACGTTACATGAATTGGTTTTTAACTTCATTTTGGAACCTTTTTAATGGGTGGGAATACAGAAAGGACTCAGTTGCTGAATTATGACAACTCTTCAATCCCTCTGGTTTTAACAGCAGAGCAGGCACTTTAATTCACTGTTACCCTTTAAAGAGCTCCATTGACAAAACTTCACTCATCTAGGAGTTTTGTTATGTCCCGGAACAGAAAAGATAGGCCAAGCCAAGGAGGCAGGTTTTGGTCTGGAGTGACAGGCATCCGTTATGGAATAATCTAAAGAACATTTCATGCACAGAACAAGCCAGGGGGAAGAACGGTTTTGAGAGTGGTCTACCTGTCTCAATGCTTATTGGCTGCTGTTGTTTTAGTCCTGCAGGGGACACTGAGCTGAGGATCTTATCTTTGCTGATGTTGATAGGTGTGTGTTGTGGAGGGGAAAGACAGACCTAGTTTTGGAAGGCTTGATGGTGTGTTTCCCTAGTGCTACCGCTGGTTGGATGAATGTTGATGTCCATGTGTTTTATGAAGGAATCTGGCCTCTTCCTGATAATAAGGATGGAGTGAAAAGAGATCCACCATTCAGTGCCATCATTCAGTGCCACCATTCAGAACTCTGGCCTTTGGATTTTCTGCTGATGCCCAGGTTATCATGGGGTGTAGCAGTCACAAAAGCCCTATTAACTTTAAAAACCACTTATTCTCCATAAATGTAAAGCTGGAGGGGATATGTAGGGTGTGCCATATGGGATAAAACAACTCTCTTGATGTTCTCTGTCCAATCAAACAAACAATTTCCCCTGAAGTTCAAAAACCCAAGAAAAAACAGCGCCTTTTTAAAAAACCATCATGTAATTAAAATTTTATATGCATTTATATGTATTTTGTATACATATGTATATATATACATACACAAAATATGTGTGTATGTACACATACAAAATGCATATAAATTTTTAATTATGGTATGTGCATTTTGTGTATGTATTTATGTGTATATGTACACATACATATGTATGCGTATATATGTGTGTGTGTATATATTAGATAGAGATATAGATAGAGATAGAGTTAGGGATAGAGTTAGAGATAGACATAGATAGACATAGAGTTAGAGATAGACATAGACATAGAGTTAGAGATAGACATAGATAGACATAGATAGAAAGACAGACATAGATAGACATACAGATAGAGATAGAGATATATACACACACATATAAACACGCATACATAAATATGTATGTGTACATACATATACACATACATAAACAATATGTGTATTTGTGCATATATACACACTCATACACAAAATGTCTATAAAATACAACACCTTAACATTTTGTGTATGCACCTTGATTTATGTATGTTCACACACAAACAAACATACCACATGCATATAAAGTTTAAATATATGATGGTTTTTTTTTAAAGGCGCTGTCTCCCTCATGCAGGTTTGGAGCTGATTTTAAATCCCCAGCAACTTTGTGCAGCATTTTAACTTAAAGGCGGATTGGTGCTGCTGGATTTGCAAAAAATGCTCCTTTCACTTTGCTGTACTTAATTTTGTGGTATTTGGCTTACTGATATATTCTTCTGCCGTTGTTGTATGTGGCGTATTTTCTCCTTTTTGTTGTTGGATTTGGTGGTAAGAGGAGAGCCCAGGAAACTTCCCAACCACAGAAGGGGAAAGGAAATTCACAAGAGTCTTGTTGGTCCAACCGTTAGCTATAAAAATTGATGGATGGTTTTCCCCAACCGTTTTTTTTCCCATTCAAGGAAATACCTGGAGAACTTGAAATAATCAACATGCTGGCTGGAGCCGCTGTCACATTTTTGTTTTGCGATGGGCTTACTATGGGACACCATTCGCAACCTGAGGCCGTACTTCCCAGTTGTGCAGGATTTGAATGCCCATTAACCCCTGCTGACTACAAGTTATGGGGTTTCCTCTCCAATGTATCTGGAGGAGGCCGATGGTAGGAAAGGTTGGCTAATGCCATCGTGACACCTTTTCATAGCACAAACCTATCACCAGAGGGACTGATAGCAGGAGTCAAGAGCTTGTGTCAACTCTAGGTACTATGGGCTCATCAATGATGGGCAATTCCCTTTAAATGCAGTTTTTGTAGCCTTAATGGGCAAGAAGAACACTTGTAGATTAACCACTGCACTGTTGGTACTGTTAACGGGTGAAACCATTGGCTAAATTCCACTATAATACTTTGGACTAATTGATTACCGTATCTGATTAACATCAGAGATCAAATTATGTTCTGCAAGCTTACCCAAGCAGGGATATTCCAGATGTTTTAATCAATTCCCACATTCTTTCCCAGTGCTCTCTAAGGGGGATTCTGGGAATTAAAAAGTGACAACACCTCAAGTCTGATTAGAAATCATTTCCATGGAAAGGATTGTAGGAACCTCCAGTTCATTTGTCCCTCTCTAATGTGGATGGTGTTTTAATTTTATTTAATGTTGTTTTAAATTTTGGCAAACGATACATGAATTGGTTTTTAAGTTCATTTTGGAACCTTTTTAACGGGTGGGAATACAGAAAGGACTCTGTTGCTGAATTATGACAACTCTTTGATCCCTCTGGTTTTAACAGCAGAGCAGGCACTTTAATTCACTGTTACCCTTTAAAGAGCTCCATTGACAAAACTTCACTCATCTAGGAGTTTCGTTATGTCCCGGAACAGAAAAGATAGGCCAAGCCAAGGGGGCAGGTTTTGGTCTGGAGTGACAGGCATCCGTTATGGAATAATCTACAAGAACATTTCATGCACAGAACAAGCCAGGGGGAAGAACGGTTTTGAGAGTGGTCTACCTGTCTCAATGCTTATTGGCTGCTGTTGTTTTAGTCCTGCAGGGGACACTGAGCTGAGGATCTTATCTTTGCTGATGTTGATAGGTGTGTGTTGTGGAGGGGAAAGACAGACCTAGTTTTGGAAGGCTTGATGGTGTGTTTCCTTAGTGCTACGGCTGGTTGGATGAATGTTGATGTCCATGTGTTTTATGAAGGAATCTGGCCTCTTCCTGATAATAAGGATGGAGTGAAAAGAGATCCACCATTCAGTGCCATCATTCAGTGCCACCATTCAGAACTCTGGCCTTTGGGTTTTCTGCTGATGCCCAGGTTATCATGAGGTGTAGCAGTCACAAAAGCCCTATTACTTTAAAAACCACTTATTCCTCCATAAATGTAAAGCTGGAGGGGATATGTAGGGTGTGCCATATGGGATAAAACAACTCTCTTGATGTTCTCTGTCCAATCAAACAAACAATTCCCCTGAAGTTCAAATACCCAAGAAAAAACAGCGCCTTTTTAAAAAACCATCATGTAATTAAAATTTTATATGCATTTATATGTATTTTGTATACATATGTATATATACACATACACAAAATATGTGTGTATGTGCACATACAAAATGCATATAAATTTTTAATTATGGTATGTGCATTTTGTGTATGTATTTATGTGTATATGTACATATACCTATTTATGTATGCGTATATATGTGTGTGTGTATATATTAGATAGATATAGAGATAGAGATAGATAGAGTTAGGGATAGAGTAGGGGTAAGAAATAGATAGACATAGAGTTAGAGATAGACATAGATAGACAGAGTTAGAGATAGACATAGATAGACATAGATAGAAATAGACATAGATAGACATAGAGATAGAGATATATAACACACACATATATACACGCATACATAAATATGTATGTGTACATACATATACACATACATAAACAATATGTGTATTTGTGCATAGATATACACTCATACACAAAATGTCTATAAAATATAACACCTTAACATTTTGTGTATGCATGTATACACCTTGATTTATGTATGTTCACACACAAACAAACATACCACATGCATATAAAGTTTAAATATATGATGGTTTTTTTTTAAAGGCGCTGTCTCCCTCATGCAGGTTTGGAGCTGATTTTAAATCCCCAGCAACTTTGTGCAGCATTTTAACTTAAAGGCGGATTGGTGCTGCTGGATTTGCAAAAAATGCTCCTTTCACTTTGCTGTACTTAATTTTGTGGTATTTGGCTTACTGATATATTCTTCTGCCGGTTGTTGTATGTGGCGTATTTTCTCCTTTTTGTTGTTGGATTTGGTGGTAAGAGGAGAGCCCAGGAAACTTCCCAACCACAGAAGGGGAAAGGAAATTCACAAGAGTCTTGTTGGTCCAACCGTTAGCTATAAAAATTGATGGATGGTTTTCCCCAACCGTTTTTTTCCCATTCAAGGAAATACCTGGAGAACTTGAAATAATCAACATGCTGGCTGGAGCCGCTGTCACATTTTTGTTTTGCGATGGCTTACTATGGGACACCATTCGCAACCTGAGGCCGTACTTCCCAGTTGTGCAGGATTTGAATGCCCATTAACCCCTGCTGACTACAAGTTATGGGGTTTCCTCTCCAATGTATCTGGAGGAGGCCGATGGTAGGAAAGGTTGGCTAATGCCATCGTGACACCTTTTCATAGCACAAACCTATCACCAGAGGGACTGATAGCAGGAGTCAAGAGCTTGTGTCAACTCTAGGTACTATGGGCTCATCAATGATGGGCAATTCCCTTTAAATGCAGTTTTTGTAGCCTTAATGGGCAAGAAGAACACTTGTAGATTAACCACTGCACTGTTGGTACTGTTAACGGGTGAAACCATTGGCTAAATTCCACTATAATACTTTGGACTAATTGATTACCGTTTCTGATTAACATCAGAGATCAAATTATGTTCTGCAAGCTTACCCAAGCAGGGATATTCCAGATGTTTTAATCAATTCCCACATTCTTTCCCAGTGCTCTCTAAGGGGGATTCTGGGAATTAAAAAGTGACAACACCTCAAGTCTGATTAGAAATCATTTCCATAGAAAGGATTGTAGGAACCTCCAGTTCATTTGTCCCTCTCTAATGTGGATGGTGTTTTAATTTTATTTAATGTTGTTTTAAATTTTGGCAAACGATACATGAATTGGTTTTTAAGTTCATTTTGGAACCTTTTTAACGGGTGGGAATACAGAAAGGACTCAGTTGCTGAATTATGAAAACTCTTTGATCCCTCTGGTTTTAACAGTGGTCTATCTGTCTCGATGCTTATTGGCTGCTGTTGTTTTAGTCCTGCAGGGGACTGAGATGACGATCTTATCTTTGCTGATGTTGATAGGTGTGTGTTGTGGAGGGGAAAGACAGACCTAGTTTTGGAAGGCTTGATGGTGTGTTTCCTTAGTGCTACGGTTGGTTGGATGAATGTTGATGTCCATGTGTTTTATGAAGGAATCTGGCCTCTTCCCGATGATATGGATGGAGGAAAAAGAGATTCTCCCAATGGCCTCCTAGTGCCACCATTCAGAACTCTGGCCTTTGGGTTTTCTGCTGATGCCCAGGATATCATGAGGTGTAGCAGTCACAAAAGCCCTATTAACTTTAAAAACCACTCTTTCCTCCATAAATGTAAAGGTGGAGGGGATATGTAGGGTGTGCCATATGGGATAAAACAACTCTCTTGATGTTCTCTGTCCAGTCGAACAAACAATTTCATCTCAAGTTCAAATACCCAAGAAAAAACAGCGCCTTTTTAAAAAACCATCATGTAATTAAAATTTTATATGCATTTATATGTATTTTGTATACATATGTATATATACACATACACAAAATATGTGTGTATGTACACATACAAAATGCATATAAATTTTTAATTATGGTATGTGCATTTTGTGTATGTATTTATGTGTATATGTACACATACATATTTATGTATGCGTATATATGTGTGTGTGTATATATATATGTATATATTAGATATAGAGATAGAGATAGAGATAGAGATAGAGATAGACATAGATAGATATAGATATAGATAGATAGACATAGATAGAGGTAGATATAGATAGATATAGATATAGATATATACACACACACATATACACTCACATAAATATGTATGTGTACATACATACATATACACATACACAAAATACATTTGTATGCGTGTGCATAGACCCACATACACAATACATGCATATAAAGTGCATGTAAAATTTTTAATATATGATGGTTTTTTAAAAAGGTGCTGTCTCCCTCATGCAGAAGAACACTTGTAAATTAACCACTGCAAGTTACGGGGTTTCCTCTCTAATGTATCTGGAGGAGGCCGATGGTAGGAAAGGTTGGCTAATGCCATCGTGACACCTTTTCATAGCACAAACCTATCACCAGAGGGACTGATAGCAGGAGTCAAGAGATTGTGTCAACTCTAGGTATTATGGGCTCATCAATGATGGGCAATTCCCTTTAAATGCAGTTTTTGTAGCCTTAATGGCCAAGAAGAACACTTGTAGATTAACCACTGCACTGTTGGTACTGTTAACGGGTGAAACCATTGGCTAAATTTCACTATAATACTTTGGACTAATTGATTACCTTATTGGATTGACATCATTGTTCAAATTATGTACTGCAAGCTTATCCAAGCAGGCATATTCCAGATGTTTTAATCAATTCCCACATTATTTTCCCAGTGTTCTCTAAGGGGGATTCTGGGGATTAAAAAGTGACAACACTTCAAGTCTGATTAGAAATCATTTCCATGGAAAAGGATTGTAGGAACCTCCAGTTCATTTGTCCCTCTCTAATGTGGAAGCTGTTTTTATTTTATTTAATGTTGTTTTAATGTTGTTTTAAATTTAGGCAAACGTTACATGAATTGGCTTTTAACTTCATTTTGGAACCTTTTTAACGGGTGGGAATACACAAAGGACTCAGTTGCTGAATTATGACAACTCGGCTTCTGATTCTTGTTGGGGATCCCACATATTTTAAAGTGGGTGCGATTTTCGGTTGCACACTACACGCAAAAGAGCCATAGGAAAATGTGGCCCGCTGCTGCTGCTCCCCCTCCCTGTGTATACTTCAAACAAAAGGTAATACATTTGTCTGTTGATTGCCCCCTTGTAAATAATTTTCTATTTTACTTTTTTGGTGGTAACTATCGAGATAAATATTTTAATTAGATAACTTATAAGAAATGAATTACATTGTGTATCAATAAAAGCCAAACACTGGAATTTGTGTCAGTTAATTTTTTTCCCCCTCCTCTCTGGAACTGTACTCCCTGGACCCCAAAAATAAAAGTAACAATTCCTAGATTATCCCCCAGGCTGTGCTATGCCAAGAAAACGAGGAACGGAGTAATTCGAAGTTTTAGCTAAAAGCAGAGGTTCTGTGAGAACTTAATGGGGTTCCATGAAAGACTTAAGAGCAACCAGGACAAAATTTCACTTGGACCCAGGCCACAGACTTTCTTGGCCATTTTTGGAAAGGCTGGGCATGCAATATAGATGCAATTATGAAGCAAAGAATTGGGGAGGCAAAAGGGAAATGTATACTGTATATATGCTGTACTGCTGGCATCTCTTTAAATAGCCAAGTTCATACTGTACTTCATAAACGAGAGTTAGTTCTGGATCTTTTGGCTGAAAAATTGGGATGGCCAAAACTCTTAATGGAAAACCCAGAATTAATTTCATACAATGTTCTTCCCTGTGTTTTTCGGTTCCTATTAGTATGAGAACCTTGTTTTTTTGTTCTTGGTCTTGTATCCAGGAAAAAGTACTGGAGGTGGCTTTGTTGTTCTGGATATTGTCCTAGGTTTAAGATTTGGTATTTGTTCAAAGAAGATTATACAATTCTCCCTTCCAGCAATTTATTTGTAGAAGGTGGGTTTTTTGTTTTTGTTTTTGTTTTGTTTTGTTTTGTTTATCATGCATTAATTGTACAAAAGATCTGTCTGGAGAGCTTTATTTATCTTGAAGGAGACAGTCTTTCAGTCATGGCAGTACATACGTAGAAAAGTCCAGCCTTCTCTACTTGGTCTTACCTCACAGTGACTGAAAGTTCTGACTTTTATAATCCTAATATATCTGGAAGGCACTGTGTTGAGAGACCATGGTAAAATCCAACATTTTGGAGGAGTTCACTTTAAATTTAAGACTTTGGGATGGCTAGGACAAATATTAAAGTAAACTAATTATATTTCACAGATGTGACTCCAATATAGTTAAATAAATATGGGATTAATAAAATTCTTTGCAATGAACTCTGAAGGCTGTATTCTGGGTTTTAAAGGACTGCAAAACTTATATCTCTGCCATCTGGGGAATATTTAAAAAAAAAAAAAGATAATTCAGGCTCCACAATTAAAGTCCAAAACCTGTGAAAGAAACCAGGCCTTTACTCAGTTTACAGTGGAAATAATAGTAGCAATGCACAGGATTAAAAAAAAAAAAGAAGACGACTCTTTAGACTTGATTTCATGCATTCAACTGTCACTAGCTGGGCTGAGCCAGTCTACTGAACAGGGTTGGTTGCAAATCTACGGGCTGCCTGCACTGGCACAACACGGCTCAACTTGGTTAGTTTTAGTTTTCCTTCCTTTGGCTCAACACATTGTGGAAACCCAGCCTGTGTGAAGTTAATTTGTAGCTCAGTGGATTGTGCAAGCCCACGATTCATTCAGGTGCCCGGAATATGTGCTGTGCAAACACTGCCTGTGGTTTGGTCTCAGTGCAGTGCACTGTGTGATATAGCCTTTGGAGGATAACAAACCACAAATCGTGGCTTAGCTATTGGGCAAAGCAAGTCGTTACAATTGGCAGCTTAGCGCAGTGTTCCTGAAAGACTTTTTCCTTCAGGGCCCCTTCCTTATTTACGGAAGACCCCCCAAAAGAACTTGTTTTGCATGGATTACGGTATATGGATCAACGGCTACCCTATTAAAAATTAAAATTGACCCGTGCACTGCCGTTATCGCTTCTCACGGGGGTCTGATGGGATTTTAATATTGAATTGTTTTTCAACGTAGGCTGGCAAATGTTGGCTTTTGAGGACCCCTGAGAAGGTCTTAGGAAGAGGTCTTCAAACTTGGCCGCTTTAAGACTTGTGGACTTCAACTCCCAGAATTCTCCAGCCAGCATAGCTGGCTGGAGAATTCTGGGAGTTGAAGTCCACAAGTCTTAAAGCGGCCAAGTTTGGGGACACCCCAGGGATCGGAGGACCAACGGTTTAAAAAAAACACTGGCTTAGCGCGCGGCACGACGGCAAAAACAGCTTCTCGGTTGCCTGGGCAGCGAGAAGGTACCGCCCTCCTACCACCACGTGACGGGAATGGTCCGGAAGGACGGTACTGCGCCTGCGCTCGCTTTTGTTGACGTGCGCGCGTGCTGTCGGCGGCTGCTCCAGGTGTGTGTGTGTTTGTGTGTGTTGGGGGGGGTGTTGTTCCCCTCGCGCTCGGCCATGTCTCACGGGCACAGCCACGGCGGGGGCAGCTGTTGCCATGACGACGACCACGAGGAGCCTCCTGAGCGGCGAGGCCAGGCCTGGGGCCTTTACCTGCGCATCGACCGCGAGCGCCTGGAGTGCCTCAACGAGCGAAGGGAAGGCAGCGGGGCGCTCGTGTTCCGCCCCTGGGAAGACCGTGGGGATAAGCAGAAGGTCGGTCTCTTTCCCCTCCCGAGAGCGGGCAGGGCAGGGCAGGCGGGCCGTGGCTATTCAGGGGTTCCAAGGAGGCGCCTTTCACACAGGGCCCTGTGTATAACCCTGGCTGGAGTCGCATAATAGGTCTCCTCGCAGCTGAGGGGTGAAGGCAGCCACAGGATGAATATTAGCCCACATGAGTTGGAAGGGACCTTATAGGTCATCTAGTCCAACCCCCCCGCCCAAGCAGGAGACCCTACACCAGAGGTCTTCAAACTTGGCCGCTTTAAGACTTGTGGACTTCAACTCCCAGAATTCCTCAGCCAGCAAAGGTTTGCTGGCTGAGGAATTCTGGGAGTTGAAGTCCACAAGTCTTAAAGCGGCCAAGTTTGAAGACCTCTGCCCTACACCATTTCTGACAGATGGCAGTCCAATCTCTTCTTGAAAGGTTCCAGGGATGAAGCTCCCACAACTTCCGAAGGCAACTTCTGTTCCATGGGTTGATTGTTCTCACTGTCAGAAAAAAAATTCCTCCTTATTTCTAGGTTGAATCTCTCCTTGGTCAGTTTCCATCCATTGTTCCTGGTCTGGCCTTCAGGTGCTTTGGAAAACAGCTTGATTCCTTCTTTGTGGCAACCCTTCAAAATATTGGAAGACTGCTCTCATGTCTCCCCTGGTCCTTCTGTTCACTTGACTAGCCATGCCCAGTTCTTGTAACCGTTCATTGTATGTTTATTTATTTATTTATTTTATTTATTAGTTCGATTTATATGCCGCCCTTCCCCGGAGACTCAGGGCGGCTTATAATGCATTAAGCAATAGCCTTCATACTTTTGTATATACCTGCTTAGTAGGGCTTTCAGCCCCCCCTAAGCAGTGTTCTGTTTTTATACAAAGTCAGCTTATTGCCCCCACAATCCAGGTCCTCATTGTACCTACCTCGAAAGGATGGAAGGCTGAGTCAACCTTGAGCCTGGTGAGATTTGAACTTGCAGTAATTGCAGGCAGCTGGCAACTAAGTGCTACTTTAACAGCATTTAGTGCACTGCTCCACCAAGACTCATGTTTTATTCTACAGTCCCCTCATCATCCTCGTTGCTCTCCTCTGCACTTTTTCCAGAGTCTCAACATCTTTTTCTCAATCTTGGCCACTTTAAGTTGGGTGGACTTCCAACTCCCAGAATTCCTCAGCTGGTATGCTGACTAGGGAATTCTGGGTAGTTGAAGTCCACCCATCTGAAGTGGCCAAGTTTGGGAAACCTTGATCTATTCACTTGGATTGTGTATAGATTAAATAATTAATTAATCTATACACATGGATTGTGTATAGATTAATCTTAATAATTAATCTTAATGTTAATTAAGATTAACTTCAAATCCTGAGTACAACAAAGGAAACTTGCCGCTCTGGAAAAGATTTGGACTCGCTGCTCAAGAAATCAAGGATCTGAGTGTGCCGATGACCTGTGAAATCAACCATTAGGGCTTGATTGGGAAGCTGATTAAATCAAACCATGGCTAAGCATGACTTTTGAACTACCCTTTTACCCAGGAGCGGTGTATGTTATGCTGCTCAGGTTAATAAGGAAAACTAAGCATATTAGAAGATTTCCTGCCATCCCCCCAAAATCTTCTGAAATGTGGATAATAAAACAGGACAGGGAAGAGGAGTATAGAAATGCAGAGTTAGCTTGATGCAAATCCTAAAGCACAAATGACGTAGTTTTGATAAGCATGTTTGGATATTGGCACCTGTCATTTTGCTGATGGGGAGTCATTTGTTTTGTTGATGTTTTTAATGACAGGATTCATGAATGGAGCATTAGTATATGTTAGAATGTGAATGCCACTATTGCGGTTTGTAGTATAATGCTTGCATTTGAAAAACATGAGCACATATTACCTAGGTACATGTAGCATTTTCAACAAACCATATCCAAAGAAAGCAGCGCTGAATACTGTCTCTAAGGCAAGCTAATTTAATAGTTTTTTGACTGTACAAAAAGAAAAGGCTCCCAACTTTCGTGCACCTTCTGATTGAAATATATATTCTATTTTGATACTATTTTGCATAGCTCCAATCTTCTCTGTCTATTATTGGTGTTTAAATGTTTTTTCCAAAAACTTGAGTTGAAAGTCCCCTGCGGGGTCCTCAAGCAATCATTTTGAACATACTGGTTTTTGTGGAACAATTGTCCTTTGCAATATATATTTCAGATTGAAGGTAAAACTCTTACATTAAATCTTATTCATTTTTTCCTAGTTTGTAGAAAGTGATGCTGATGAAGAGCTCTTATTTAATATTCCGTAAGTAGTCTTTTTTTTTAAAAAAAAATATTGCTGGCTTTTGATTTCCATTTGGAGATTTTATAACACAGTTTTTGGAGGTGGGCTGATAGCAATCAAATACAGAGAAAGCCAGTTTGTTGTAGTAATTAAGGTGATGTCCTAAAAGCCAGGAGACTCTGAGTTCTAGGTCTTCCTTAGGCATAAACACTAGCTGAGTGACTTTGGACAATTCTGTCTCAGCCCAATCTAACTCACACAGTTGTCGTGAGGAAAAGAATATTGGGTATATTTGCTAACTTGAGCTATATATTATATAAGAGCTATAAAACCGTAGGATAAAAATCTAATAATAACAGACTATTTTTAAAATAATTGTGTGGTCTTATTTTAACTAGATTTAGCCAATATTGGTTACCAAGACAATTTAGTGTTAGTAGGGTTGTGTTAAGGATATTAGTTATTTTGTTTCAGTCTTAATTGATGATGATATAGTTTAGTTCCAGAACCTTATGTTAAATTAATGGGACTGTAGTGGCAGATAGTGAAAACAATAAGATTCCTTTCAGGCTGAACTTCCTCAGTACAATCAACTGAACAACAACAAAAAAGAACGATCAATGGCATTTTTTTTTCTTTCTGCAGATTTACAGGCAATGTGAAATTAAAAGGAATAATTGTGATGGGAGAGGATGACAATACGCACCCCTCAGAAATGCGACTGTAAGTGGAAACAGTGGACAGATCATCCATGTTGCAGAAACTGCTAATTAAGATGACAGGGTGTTTTTTTTATTGCAATGAATATATGAATGGTTTTAGTTTTAATTTTTGCTTTAATAGTCTGAATTAGTAATAGCTACTGGGCTGGCTTGCGGTAAAATAATGAAATGTCTTTTTGTTGATTTTGATCCATGCTGAAATTCTTCAGGAAAAAAAATTGGCTGGCTTAGTGAAATGCAGGATCCAACATGCACAAATATATGTAATACTTTCTGGTTTCTTTGAAGTTTTCAAAACTTCTGCCTATATTAACACAGTTGCCAGAACATGCTTATTCAGGATTCAGTTTCCCTACATCCTTTCAGTCACTTATAAATTGTGTTCTCTTCAGCAAGATTCTCTGTAATCGAATTCCTACTTTCCTTTAGCTGTTTTTGTAGTAGTTGTGGTTTCCTGAACTTGCTATTTATTTCAGTCCATGAATAAATAAAAGACTGGGAAATAATTTCTGGAATTATAATAATGATTCTTTCTTGATCTCAAGGAATTCTTATAGATCTGTTTATCAGCCTTTGCTTGAAAGTGTAGATGTCTTTAAATGGCTACAATTTTAAAGTCCTGAGAGCCAAACAGCTACTAAAAGAATCTGTTTGGAGTGTCCTGGTATTATCACCAGGTATTAAATACCAGGTATTATCACCTGGTATTAAAAACTTTTTAAAGTTTTAATTTCTTTCCACATTGTAAGTTTTAATACATTTGCTGAAATAACTGCACTTTTAGAACTGCAGTATGATACTGTTGATGGCTTTGCCTGACAACCAAATTTCCATTTGTCATTTGCTATTCTTAGTGGGTGGTTTATTTATACATTTATTATGAAACTTTATATGCCTCCAAGAACTCAGAGTGATTTACAATAACAGTAAAAGGAGAGCCAGTTTGGTCTAGTGCCGTGATGGCGAACCTATGGCACGCATGCCAGAGGTGACATGCAGCGCTCCCTCTGTGGGCACGCAAGCCGTCACCCCAGTTCAGCTCCGCCACGCACATACACCCACCGCCTGCCAGCCAGCTGGTCTTTGGCTCTCTGCCGTGCAGAGGGTGGGGTGTGTGCAGGGGGGCTGCGCGTGCATGTGTGGGAGGCCTGGGTGTGCACGGGGGCGTGCATGCGTATGGGGGGGCGTGCAGGGGGCACGTGCATGGGCAGGGGGCATGTGCACAGGCGGGGGGGGGGGGGGCGGGGGGGGGGGGCACGATGCATGGGGGCATGCAGGGCCCCCCGCGCGTGCATGCATGCACATGCACGGGGCACATGTGTGAGGGCGGGTGCATGCGCGGGGGTTGCAAGGGCATTGCATTTTAGAGATTCAGGTGCATTTTGGGCACTCAGTCTGGAAAAGGTTAGCCATCCCTGGTCTAGTGGTTAATCACCAGGCTAGAAATGAAGAAGCTGTGAGTTTAGGCATGAAAGCCAGCCGGGTAACATTTGGCTGGTTACACTCAGCACATCCTACCTCAGAGGGTTGTTGTGAGGGAAAATAGGAGGAGGAAGGAGTACAGTAGTAGTACAGTGTGGTATTTGCCACTTGAGTTATCTATAAAAACAAGGCAGCATAAAAAAATCTTCAATAAAAAGTTTCAATAAAAAGTAGCTCCATAAGCAAAGAGTTAATTGTAGCATTCCAGTTCCACCTTCTGTGCCAAAGAATCCTTGGAAAAATCTTTTGCACTTGGCCTACAAAAAGTAAGTAAAGTGGTGGGGGTTTCCCTGTACCTCAAGGAACATTGGAGTTGCTGCTAGTAGGTATTTATCTGGGGCCTTGTTCCTTGTTCCCCAATGAACTGAGCACACAAGATGGACTAAATCTGTCAGGAGAAATTGTCCTATATATGTTTACTTGTGTTGAGCCATATAGGACTTCCTAGGTTAAAAACAATGTCTTCAACTGAACCTAGAAGCTCAGTAGCAACCAGTGCAGAGCTTTGCTCTTGGTTATTAATTTTGGGTGCTATACTATTCTGATATTTGAAGATGCAGAATTTTTTTTTTTACAAAAAGAAATTTGTAGAGTAGATGTATGACTGAAGTCCTCACCTATAACATTAATAATTTAATATATCATTGTTGACTTACATTCTTAGTTACTTATGGCCTGTAAATTATAATTTTATTATTATTTGGGGAGTAGTCTTTTTATCCAGTGTTCTAAACAACTGAAACTGAACTTTTTCAATATTGCTTTTTTGATTATCACTTTTGTGTTGTCCTAAAAACCAGATTGAGTATTTGTCCATTTTCCAGTCCAAATGACTACAGTGGCTAGCTCTTGAAAACATTGGGTAACATTTGTACGAGCTGACCCTTGCCTTTTTTCTAGGTTTAAGAATATTCCTCATATGTCCTTTGATGATACTGCCCGAGAACCAGATCAGATCTTCAGCCTGAATCGTGACGTTTTAGGAGAACTGGAATATCCTACAAAGTATGTCATGACTTATTCAGTCTTTATTCAGGGTGTTTGGTATTTGAGCCCCAAGTTCAAGAACATGAGCCTTGGGCTCTAATAATTGAGGGTACCAAGAATGAGAAGTTTTTCTCCCCCAGTGCCGCTTTGTGGAGGTTGTAACAGACTGTAGAGGGAACCATAGCAGTAAAAACTGTGCCTCTGCTTCAGGTGTGGGAGGCTCCAAAGAGAAGTGTTGCTAAACCATTTCATAATCTGTGTATTTTAAAATGTTAACCTCTTTCTAAAATTAGTTAGCTGCCATATGACAGCCTTTCTGCAATATAACTCCCTTCAGTAGTGTTGGAACTGAAATTCCAATCCCAGCATATTTGCCTACAGCAACTGGCTGCCCTCTAGCAACAGCTCTCAGGGACAATGAACAGGAATGGCCCAGCTAAAAATAAAAAATGACTTTATTTCTTAGTGAATGAATTATATGGTGAAACGTTGCCATTACGTCTGGGGAGGAGTGGGGGAGGTAGTGATATCCTCATGGAATGGAAGATTGAGGAACTGTGTGTAGTTAGGTCTTAGACTTTGGGGAAATCTGCATTGGAGGAGGCTAATTTCTTATGTTCCCTCCCCTGCTCTTCCCTGAAGATGGGGAAAGTACAGAATGTATTACATTTTGTTGTCCAGTCAGGATTTCAGAAAGAGCTATCAGAAATAAATGAAATGAAAGTTGCCATAAAGAGGTCTGAAAAATATAAGGGTAACTGCAAAATGAGAGGGATCTTGGTGTGAATCACTCTTAAAGGGGAACATCTGAGAAAAGAACCCCTAGAAATGCATATTTAGATTGGTTTATCATGGGACTTTACCATCTTTGGGAACAAGGACTTGTGTACCCCGCTCTTCTTGCTGAGACAGCCCAAACTCTTCCAACAGTTATTGCAATGCAGAGCTGAGGTTGCTTTTTCTTTCAGCCTTTCTTAGCTTCTGAGAATGTTTCTTGATTTTAGGCAGGTAGAAATTCTGGTCCTGCTGAACTATAGTGAAAAGTTTTACCAGTATTGCTTACCCTGAAAGGGAACAGTATGATTGGGAAGGTGTGTATGTATATAAATGAATGTTGTGGCACAAAATGCCCCTGCTTGGTTCCTTTTGTTATTGGGAAGTTCTAAATGGTGATGGAAACCTCTATCTTTCTAACCAAGCAACCTGTACTGTACTGTACAGGTTGGTTAGCCTACTTGGCCTGTTTTTTTACATGCCAAAATTGTTGGCTAGGAGCTTTAAACATTTTTTAAAGAATGAAACAAACTAGGAATCTTGGTTTAGACATGAAATTGAACAAAGATACAGACAGGCTTTGTGATTTGTTGAATTGATATGGCTGGCAGGAAGATCCAAAAAGAGCAATCTAGGAAGACATATCGGTGTGCATAGTTGCTCAAGTTGAATGCTACAATATTTTTATTGCAGAGTTATAATTTATGTGGGAAAAAAACTTGGCTTTCATGCAGTTAAACTTACAAAAGTGTCCTATATGTTACAATTGTAAATGCAGATTCCCCCCCCCCTCTTTTCCAGAATTGCTCGCTTCTCAAATGTTTATCATCTCTCCATCCACTTCTCCAAGAACTTTGGTGCTGAGACAACAAAAATCTTTTACATAGGCCTAAGGGGAGAATGGACAGAAGTAAGTGTGGGAATGGAGATGACAGATGAAAACACTAAATAGATGCAGGGTGCAGAAGCTTTTGGGATTGAAGATGCACCTCAAAATGTGCTTATTAACAGTTAGATTCACGAACAGAAGTCTGTGAGACTCTGGCATAATGCTCAGATATAAGAGGATGTAACTGTTGTTTTATAATGTCTTCCCAGGATAGCCTTGCTTATCATGGCATCCTTCAGTTACCTTGGACTGCATGCCTTTAAAATTTGTGTTGGCTGGGAGTTCTGGGAGAGGTTGTCTTAACAAATTCATACCATGTCAGCTAACCCCATATTCCACCCTTAAACTTCCTGTTTCTGTTTGGGTTGGATGATGAGTCTGAAGGAAACCTCTTTGAAATTTACTTAGTATCCCCCCTTCCACGTTTTTGCCTGCCTGAATCACTATTAGTCAAATATAGCACATCATAAAAGACCTGTTTTCTTCATTAAATAAACTTTCCTGCCACCTCACTGGTTGGTTATTACTATGCCTCAAGAGGTAACTGAATGAGTATTATTTCAAGCCTGAATATCTCCTTCCAACTGCCACTTTCATGCACTTATAAATGGGTTGGCATGAAGGTGCCCCAAGGTTTCCTGTTTTTAGATAAACCAGGCTTTATTTTTTTATGTTGAGCTGTTGAACCAAGAGCCAAAGCAAAGATTTGAAGTAATTGTTAGAGTATTATCTTTTTTTCCAGCTTCGTCCCTTTTGCTGTTTTCTAGTCCAGTGCCTTTCAAGCTAAGCAACCATTGGCAGGTGTTGACTCAAATTCTGCCATGTTGATTAAATGTGTGAAAACATTTCAGTCAAAACATCTTCACCAAGAAAGGTTCAATTCTGTCCTTGGAACGGCTGTTCTGATTTCACTGGAAATGTTCCAAGGTCAAAATGATTTGTTCTGACTCATCAGAAGTGTTCTGTTCTTGAAAGGGGTTTTTCTCCTGGGAAGACCAAGGTCGCAATAGCTCATTTAGGCCCTGGGTATGTTCAAAATGTGATCTTTGGGGATTGCACACCCCTAATTTTAAACCTGTGCAGACAACGCAGTGTGGAGGAATGACGTGTTACGAATTTAGGTAAGAAGGTTAAAAAGAGACAAGTTGCAAATTCCTCAAAAGAAGTACAGGTTATTCAGAATGTATATGTACTGTAGTTTGTAAGAGTAGATGTAATGGTGGCTGGCCTAAATAGAGAGGGAAAATCAAATGATTGCTCTAGCTGTCCAAGATATAGAGAGACCTCTGAAGAAATGTTCCAAATTGTCTCTCTGCAGCCTCATCGACACGAAGTGACCATCTGTAACTATGAAGCAGCAGCAAACCCGGCCGATCACAAACTTGATCAGATCACGCCACAGACACACTTCATTTCCTAACTGGGAAGGCTTGTGCGATGAAACTAAAAAGGATGGTGGCTGTTACTCTTTTTGGAATGTATGCATGTGGTTTTGGAAGCATTTGTTATCAAATGCTTGGCAGATAGGTACAGAATTACACTGTTGCTAACTAAGATCAATTGTAAAAGTTGATCTTAAAATTAACTCTTCCTGCACTTCACCATGACTCTCTTGGCAATATCTTCTTGGCCCAGAATGTGTCTAAGATGGTGAATTTTTTGTTTAGTTGCTGCTACTGTTCTTGCTGGCATACATAAGAGGTGAGACTATTGGGTGGTGGCACTATCTCTAGGACTTCCTTCTGGCTTTTGAGTATAGTTTTGATATACGAAGATGAAATGTTCCTGGTGGCATCTTGGCTAATTTCCAGTGTATGTGATTTCTCCAGCATAATAGTGGCTGGACTGTGCACCAAAGTGCTATAGGCATTGCCATAAGCATAATTGAGTAGCTATTTTGCTGATGCATAACAATGTTAGTTGTCAGTTTAAAACCTAGAAAATAAAAAGACCTATGAATTTATCTTGTCTAAAATGCAACCTTTTGTAAATAAACATGGCAAAGAATCCCTTGATTACTTTTTTTTTATATATATATATATATGAGCTGAACTTTGTTTTAATGTTGAGATACATTAGTACAAAATAAATGTGGTAAAGTAAAAGTGGTATAAAAAAAAATTATTGTGGAATGCTCTCAAGAATAGGAACATTTTGATCTGTAATTTTGTTCATTTAAAAAAAAAATCAGATTTGTAGCCTATTAGGAGTTGTCCTTTTAAGACCAACCCCTAAACCAGGGGTCTCCAAACTTGACAACTTTAAGACTTGTGGACTTCAACTCCCGGAATTCCGGGGGTTGAAGTCCACAAGTCTTAAAGCTGCCAAGTTTGAAGACCCCTGGTGTAGAGCTCCAGCACCAAAGGCTGAACCCTACCAGCCAACTTCATCAGGTATTTAACAAATGCCACCAGCAGGGATTACAAAACAGGACATCCTGTTCTCCCCTGCACCAGCCATGTGGATGCTGTGATTAAGCCTGACAAACGTAGCCAGCGGCGTTGCCAGTTGAATGGCAAAATCAGCCACGCCAACCTTCGCTGTTTACCATCCCAGCGGATGAACACTCCCATCAAAACCAGTTATTAACCTCCACGATCCATTACCGACTCGTTTGGGGGGGGGGGGGGGGAGAGAATCCCAAACTCCGCCTTTCGTGATGGCAGCGGGACACACAACACCGAAAGAAGGAAGGCATCCCAAGGCAGGTGAACGAGGGAGAGGGAGAGGGAAAAAAAAAAGTACGGCCACGGAAAAGATGGCAGCGCCCTTACCGGCTCTTTCGCCCTCCTATCTACCCACCCATACTACCACCACCACCTTTTTCCGCTTTCCGTACAAGTCTAGCCAGAGCGTCACAATCTCTTTCCGGCCGGGCTGGAAGCTTAAAAAAGTAGTCCCCGCCCACTTGTCTAGCGCGGGCTCTGGTGGTGGCGGAAGTTCCGGAGGGAGGGAGGGAGAGAGGAGGGAGGGGGGGGAAAAGAAGAAGGAGAGAAAAAAGGAGGGAGCGCGCGAGAGCTCGAGGCTGACTGAGTCCTCCTCAGTCAGAAAGAAGCCGGGTCGGAAGAGTCGGAGCCGAGAAAGGGGAAAAAAAAAAAAAGGGGGGGGGGGGGAAGGGGGGGGGCCGGGGCCAGGGGCCGGGGGGGGGGGGGGGGGAAGGGCCGCCCGAGGAGGCCTGGCTCGGAAACGGCGCCTCGGGCCCCTTGGTCCTTGGGATGCTCCCTTGGTGGGAGGAGATGAGGGGTGGGTGGGGGAATAGGCCGGCTTGATGCCTTTTATTAGAGCCGGCCGACCGAACCCGGGCAGGTGCGCAAAGCTTTCGAGCTCTCCGATTTCTCTCTTAAAGTCAGGTGAGAGACGCCGGAGAGAACCTCCGAGAGGAGAAGCGTGTCCGAAGGTGTTGGGGTAAACTGAGGAAGGAGAGGCGGGTATGGGGAGGGGGGGAGGGGTAGGAAGGAAGGAGGGAGGGGGGGGTGGGGTCCTTTTTTTTTTTTTTTCCTTTGGGATATCCTGGGGGGGGGAGGGAACCAGGTTGCCTTCGCGCCGGCTGCCCTGTCCATTCGGCTTGGCTTTTTTAAGGGGGGAGGATTTTTATTCAGCGCGTTGGGCAAACCGTGTTGGGGGGGTTGTTTGTTTGCTTCCTCAACGAGGAGAAAGCGTGTGGATGGGATGAGCAAGGTCTAAAAGCAGAAATCTTCAAACTTGGCCCGCTTTAAGACTTGTGGACTTCAACTCCCAGAATTCTCCAGCCAGCTATGCTGGAACAGAAGTTGCCTTCAGAAGTTTTGTGGGAGCTTCATCCCTGGAAGCTTTCAAGAAGAGACTGGACTGCCATCTGTCAGGAATGGTGTAGGGCAGAGGTCTTCAAACTTGGCCGCAAGTCCACAAGTCTTAAAGCGGCCAAGTTTGAAGACCTCTTGATGTAAGGGATTGTCAGTGCTGGCTGGAGAATTCTGGGAGTTGAAATCCACAAGGTTTAAAGCGGTCAAGTTTTTGAAGACCTCTGGTCTAAAGAGTGTCCGAGAGGGCAAAAGACGGGGTATTGGGAGAGCTGGGCAGTGGAGAGGCAAGGCAAGGCCACACATCAGGTTGGGTTCTTACATTGCTGAGAGTCAATCTCTGGAATTTGCAAGAAGTTTTTCTCCAAACTTTCACTTGCCCTGTTAAAACTTGGCTTTGGAAATGGAACAAAGCAGGCGAGGCAGCTCTGGGGCTTCCTTCTTGCATCTAAGAGGTTGGGGAGGTGAAAAGAGTGTGGGGGGGGTGATGGCTGGCAAGGAAGCAGAAATAATCAGCTGAAAGTCAGTGGTTTTTTGAGTTCGCCGGGGGGAGCATAATCAGTGGCCCTGAGAGGTTGGCCTTGCCTTGGACAAAGTGATTGTGATGCCTTAATGGGCGATGCAGGGGTGTTGTTATCTGATGCTATAAAAGAAAACAGATTTCATCACAGAAGTATTTTTTAAAGTGATGGGACTGTAGGAAGGGCTTTTAAGAAAAACAGAGCAGATTTCCAGGAGATACACGTGTATATCTGGTGTGTATTGTTGTGAGTTTGTAAGCAGAAACCAGGTTTATAGTATATCTTGACTAGACCATCACAAAAGGTATGAGAATATTTGATATCTCCAAATCTCATGAGGAGGCAAGGTATAAAAAATAAAGGCTAGTGATAGATTTTGTGTAAACATAACAACCAGGCCGTGTAATAAGAGGAATAAAATTAATTACTTTATGTTTATCTTTTTCTTAAGAAAATCCGTTTATATTTAACAAACACATATAACGTGTTTGAATGCCCAACAATGCTTACAGCTAACATAATAAAGTAATGTGCGTGTATGTGTAGGTTAAGCATTTGAATGCTTATTTAAATAATCCATCTGATGTTCTTGTCATAAAGATAGTAATAGTAGTTTTGGTTGTAAGTTATTTATAAATATAGATATTTAAATAATTGAATGTGTCAATTTAAAGCTTTCTGAACTTCCTATTTTGGTGCTTTTATCATGGTTATACTTGAGACCAGTATTTTGTAGTTCTACTATAGCTTTGAATGAAAATCATATTTATTGTCAATGCAGAAAGTTGTAAAATATTATATATAGTTGTTATTTATGTTTTGTATTTTACTGTTTGGTGTATATGTACGGGTTTTTTTCTTTTTTTTCATTTTTTGTCTTTTTCTATTATGTTTTTGGTTTTAAAAATGTAAAATATTCAATAAAAACTATTTTTTTAAAAAAGAAAATCATAATATTTATAATATAATTAGTTTATGATTTTGCTCGTACATAAATGACACCATGTTCTTTCATAAAGGTTGAATAGAAATATGCTTAGGACATGGGACCAAGATCTCTTTAGATTGGCACTGTATCTTTCATAGCAGTCATATGCCTCTAAAACATATATACAGGATGTGTACACTTTTGTCTTTGCTACCATCTGATATTTGATTATAGATGTTCTCCATCTTGTGTAACACTGATCTAATTTGAACTCAATTTTACACAAAATGTTTCAATACCCCCCCCCCCTCCAAAAGGGAAAATAACAAGCACATGTAAACTTCTACTCCATGTTTTAGGGGCAGTTGGCTGAATTTCAGCTTCAGCAGAAATTTGATTACATAAAACCTGGATTATATAACTTCATAAATATCTAATCCTGCATCTAAACATGGGGCTCTGTCCCACTGCAGTTTCTGTGGCTGATAATGGTTATTGGTTTTGTCTTTCATGACTTTCATGAGCAGTTCTTTTTCAAAATTTGTAATTTGGGCATTAGCTTTTCTTGAAGTATTTATTTCCACCTAAGGATAATAGCTCTCTATTAAGAAATATTTTATATATATTTAATGTTGAACGGGCAAAAGATTGAAGCCATATGGTAACATGGAGAAAGTTTAAGAGGAACAATTTGTTCCTCTTTCCATTTCCCAATAACAAGTGAACCAAGCCATTTATGGTATCAGTTGATTTCTGGTACCCATTTATTGTATATAAAACGATTTAAATATGATGACTACGGTATTACAATTATTTTTTAGTGATTAAAAGGACCAGAGGAAGAGAAGTCCGTATTAAAATTATTTACCTTTGATTATAGTTACACTTAAAATATCAGCATCAGCTTATTTTCAAAAGGGGTTTTATCTTACCATAATTTCAAGGAAGTCTTCTCTGAGGTCACCTTTGGATGAATAAAAATGATTATATATTTGCAGCCTAAAAATACAATAGCTTGTTGGGGGGGTAAATATCATAGTATCTTTGTTAAGGCCACGAAAAATATCATAAACTAATGAGCTGGCTTTCAGGTTCTTTGGAAGTTTGCTCACCCATTGCTTTGTGATAGCTAGATCTAAGATCTAATGAAGAAGTTAATTGTTTTAGAATTCCTTGGATTAGGAGTTCGTTGGGGCCTTGTAGCAAACTCATCTCTGAACTGTCATTTCTGAGCAAGCATTATTAATATTGCATAGCTTCCTTTTGTTAACAGGCCATGCAATTGAAATTCTGTTCACAATTGTGAATTGCTTCCCTCTTCATGCAAAGTTGGGTAAAGAACTATAATTCTTTTTTAACTCATTTAATTCTCATTCTAATAAAGGAAGGTAGTATGTAAGAACCATGCAGTGTTCATTTTCAAGTTCCAAAACTTTCCAAGTTTTTTGTTTTTAACAACTTTATGGTTAACCAAATTGCTGCATAGTCACAAACTGACTATGACAGAAATTCTTTACTGCCTTTGAACATGAATTTATCTGATCTCTTTAAAAAGCCAAGCCAATTAGTGACTGATGTTTCAGTCTGTGGTAACAAATTTAAGAAGCTTATTAAAAATGTTTTGTCAAGTTCTTTTTCTACTGTGTGCTGAGCTTACTGCTGATAAACTTTCTTGTGTTCCCAAAGAAACGTCTACATTCTCCACTCTGTTCAATATTTTATAAACATTTCTCACATCTTTTTCTGTACTTTTAGCAAATGGTCTTAACTTTTTTGGCTTATCTTTTTTGTTGACTTAAATATAAGTATCCAGCCTTTCCACCAGTGATTCTGATCAGGAATTGATTGACTTGAATTTACAGTCAAGGTCTAGAAGGAAAAGAGAATGGTAGTAATTCAATCTGGTACATAGAAATTGAAGCTAATATTCAGAGTTCTCATAAGTTTGATTCTTGATATATAGGTGTCCTGGAACCTGGAGGCTTTTTTCCGACTTGTCAAAGGAGTAATTATTAAGCTTTTTGCCTCCTAAACTTCCTTTTGTTAATCAGACAACGGCATGAAATAGAAGTGAGAAAAACATGGTTCTTTCTCTATGAGATTGTGGACGTACCTGCAATTTTGTACCTCAGTCTTCTCCGTTTCTTGTCAGCTGCTATTTGACATACTAGGCTAGTTACCCAGCATAAAATCAGGAATAATTAAATTCATTGTTTTACAGCAGAATTAAGTGTACCTAACATGTAAGGTTTTTCCTTGATTGAGTTCATCGTAACTTCCTTTTTAATTTGCAACTAGGCTTCAGAAATACTATGGTTGATCACAAAGTCAGGGAGATGTTTAGACTGGATTAGGCATTTTTAGCAAGCTACGAAAGCCTTCCCAAGGGCATGGGATAGACAGATATTACTGTTTAATAATATTAAGATCTTTGGAGGATGTAAGCTATTCCAAGTAACACTGCCTTTTTCAGTTGCCTGATGGTGGTTTTGTCAATACTGATGGTATTCTAGTGGTGCTCCAGATGTTTTGGAATTGTAACCAAGGGGCCTATTATTGGTACTACCTTTGCCACAAATAGTTTTGCTTCTATTTTCTCCCCTTCTTTCTTTTCTATTCTGTTATCTCCAGATTCACTATCCAATTTTTTTTTGTCTTTGTCCCAATAGTTTTTTGCTTGGGGACAAGAAGCATTTTTTGCAGATATTCCAATACATTATTATTGTTACGTTGTTATTCTCTTGTTTGTAATCAGTTTGTAGGATCTTCTTGCATCAGCTAACTGGGTGGTTCACTGTTTCTTCAGCTTCTTTGCAGACATGACATTTGCTGAGTATCTTCTCAGTGCTGGATTTATGCATTTATTTTTAAGGCTTGGTCTTGTGCAACCAGAATTAGTTTCTCTTGTCTCTTTCTTCAACTTTCCTGCTTTCAGCCATTGCCAGGTCTCGGTGTTATCTGCTTTGCCTGCTCTTTTTAATGTACTGGTCATAGAGTATTTTGTCTTGCCACATGTCTCTTTTCTGTTCTTCATCTGGTGTATCTTATGGATCAGTTTTGTTTCTTTGTATTCAGTAAAGCTTCATGTTGTACTAGATATCAGTGCATCTTATTCACTGTCCTTCAGCTATTCCATTGCCCTTTTTTATTCAACTGTCTGGTGTATTTGAAACATTACACGCTTACCTGTGCTCCTTGGAAATACAGTCAACATTGCTGCACAGATGAAGGGCATGATTCATTGTCATTGGTTTTTTGATCCTTCTATCCAGTGTTTCTAGTTCAGCTTGAGGCAGTCCCCTTATTCCAGTTGTGTATCTAATGAGCAAAATTGCCCAGGTGATGATGGCATTTTTGTGCCATCATCACATAATTGTGATGATGGCATTTCCTCCACTGAGATTGAATTTTAAGATCCAAAGATTATCCACCATTTCTGCTGTTATTACAAGTTGCTTATGAAATCTCACCTTCTTCCAAAGGATCTTCTACAGTATGTGCATTGCTTGGCATGCGTATTTTTGATATGTACTTTGAGATTAGTAATTAACACTTCAAATCAGAATAGACCTAGCCAAGGGACCACTTAGTGAATCTCTCACAATCCCTTTCACCACGCCATTCATATTACAGCTAGAAGAGCATCTTACTGTATTGTGTTGGAGTTGGGTGGAAATTGTATATATGGACAAGTTGCCTAGGAAGTGACTTGTACCTTAAAATGTTGAAGTTTCTTGTGGGTCTATATGATGGGCAATTAATTTTTTCCAAGAGGCACATGAGAAACTGGGACTGTTTGTGTAGGACCGAACCAATAGAGCTATGAAGGTGCATAGGCCTGCATACATACATATATGTAAATTAAAAAAAAAAAAACTCGCCTTCAAAATAAAAGCAATCCACATGAGCCAGATAGGGGGAGCCAGAGGGCCCAATGTGACCTATGGACTGTAAAATGGCCAAGTCTGGTCTATGTTGTATTAAGAGAAGGATTTGGGCTCATAATAAAGGTAAGGAACATTGGAAGGAGAAGCTAGCTGGTGCATGATCCAAGTGAAGAATGTCACCAGTGCTTTGCATTGCAGAGAAAACTGAAACTAGGACTAGAATTTTTATCTATCCTGGAAAAAGTGATTTTCGTATAGATTGTCCAGTTTCTGAGTTTTCCTTTCCAGTGTTGTTTTCCTGGTTATGATATTTTTCTCTTCTTTTGACTGTGCCAGCAGCAATAGAACCAGAATATAATATGACTGCACTGCAAGAGACAAGTCACAGAAGACTTTCTGATGACAGGAAGAAAATGGCCTTTCTGATCAAGCCATGTGCTGTAGATAATATCTGGGGTAGTCACTGTTTTTTCCTTATTATCAGCTACATCAGTAGTAGTGCTGTGGTGATAAGGACATTCAGTTCTTCATGTGTGCCTGGATTGTTATTAGCACTTATATAAACAGCTGTGCCCTTTACTTGATGGGCATGGGAGAAAAGTTTGTTTTAATCTTTCGGTCATTGGGGTGTATGTAACCATATTTAAATGAACAGTCCTTAAGCTATCCTAAATTAAGTAAATGACTTCCTCTTATGATGTTTCTCAGGATTCTGTACGAGAGGTTGATAAGAGCTTCTCTTCAAAGTGGGTAAAACCTAAGCTTGGAAGTGACACATGAGTTAGGGGATAGAATAGCGCCTAGTTTGGTACCGGTTTCAAAGTGAGAATTGTACATTCATGTTTTGCAAATAGAAGCTTCTTAGCAATATCCTATTGATCTGAGAAAAGCTGAGGCTGTTGAGGAAGGTGCTAATTTATTTCGTACTGTATGTATAAAATTGCTGCTCAGTCCAGCTGACTAATAATCATTTATTACTTCCTTAAGTATTACATGAGGAAGAGAGTTCATATCAGAGACAAAACATTGCTGAAACTCTGGACATTATCATCCGAAGAGACCTTCTGTCAATAGATTGAGAGAATTTTATATTTTCTATTAGTTTGCCTGTTTAAAATTATTATTTTTGTTGTTGTTAGTTGTGAAGTCGTGTCCAACCCATCGTGACCCCATGGACAACGTTCCTCCAGGCTTTCCTGTCCTCTACCATCCTCTGGAGTCCATTTAAGCTCATGCCTACTGCTTCAGTGACTCCATCCAGCCACCTCGTTCTCTATCGTCCCCTTCTTCTTTTGCCCTCAGTCTTTCCCAGCATTAGGCTCTTCTCCAGTGAGTCTTTCTCATTGGGTGGCCAAAGTATTTGAGTTTCATCTTCATTATTATTTTAGCTATGAACAAGTGTAACATTCTCCAGCTCCAATCAATGTCTGTTGTTGAGTTTACTCACTGGGCCAAAGGCTGTAATACTCCAAAATGTATTGAAGGGACTAGATCCGTGATGGCGAACCTATGGCACGCGTGCCATAGGTGGCACGTGGAGCCATATCTGTGGGCACACGAGTGTTGCCCTAGCTCAGCTCCAGAGCATATGTGCCGCTGCCCAGCTGATTTTCGGGCCTTCCGGGCCACCAGAAGTCGGGAAACAGGCTGTTTCCAGCCTCTGGAGGGCCTCCGGGAGATGAGAAAGGCTGTTTTTGGCCTCCCCAGGCTCCTAGACAGGCTCTGGAGCCTGAGGAGGCTGAAAAACGGCCTACCGGGCCTTCGCGTGCTAAAAGTGGGGAGAGCGCGGGGGGTCATGCGCGCATGTGCGGGAGGCAGGGGCGCATTAAATTATGGGTGTGGGCACATGCACAAGCGACCCCCCCACACTCCCCCAGTTTTTGGCACACAATGGCAAAAAGGTTAGCCATCACTGCACTAGACTGTCTATTCCTGCCAAATCTATGGCATTTTGTAATTTCATGGACTTTACCCCATTTCTTTCCAAGTCTATTGAAATGTTAAGGTAGCTTTCTTGAATGTGGCACTGTGCAACACACAATAGACACTTGTGTGCCTATTAATATATCCTATCTACCCCTCCTATCTATCTCTCCTATCTGAGTCTGTCTGTCTATCTCTATCCTATCTATCGTATATGCTGAAATGTTGAGACTACAGTTCCCAAATTCCTAGCTGGCACCTTATTCCCTGGGAGTGTGAACTCCAGTGCAACTGAAATGTGTCAAGTTGGGGAAGGCTTTATTAAAACATATGGGCAAAACCTCCCAGCAAAAGAAACCCAAAAATATGTAAATGGGATTACTAAATAGAGCTTCATTGTATCTCATAATCCAGGGGTCCCCAACCCCTGGTCCGTGGACCGACACCAAGTCACGGCGTGCCACAAGCGAAGCCCCATCTGTGAGAAGGAGGCAGCATATGAAACCATCCCCCCTCAGTCCATGGAAAAACCTTTCTCCATGGAATCAGACCCTGGTGCCCAAAAGGTTGGGGGCCACTGTCATAGTCAACTAGGTGAATAGCTAAATAAGAATCGAGGAGGAAAGTATTTCCAAACTGGAGAAAAGTTAGTGTTTTAGGCTTCCTGTGCCATAGATGTCTCTGTGTGGATAGAAGGACATGCTAAAAACATGTAAAATGGGTTTCTTCCCCAATGCTTCCCTTAGCTTGTTTATCAACTGGACTTTATTCTGATTATCATTGCTAGCTCAAGGCACGTTCACAAAATTGGTGAAAATAAATTACTGCATGTTGGCTTTCTTTCTTTAAAAGGTGGTCAGTGCTTAGTTTAAGCTTTGGAATATGGGCCATTTTGACTGCTATTTTTTGTCAGGAAGTCACATAACATTGGTTAGACTTTCACAAGCGAACGGATTGTTCACTTACCTTTTGTAATGGATAACTCAGCTAAAAATCTGGAAATGGCACATAGTGATTTTTCATTGTAATTCCTGATACTTTGGGGAGCATTAGAGGTAATTGCTACCAGCAGGCTGGCTCTTTGCAGATTATATTTTACATAAGGAATGAAATGTGTGTTTTAGTCCTGCCACAGGCATGAAAGCTTGCTGGGTGATTTTGGATCAATCCCTCTCTTTCAGCCCAACCCACTTCACAGGATTGTTATTGTGGGGAAAACCAAAGGCAGAAGTATTAGGTACATTTGCATTTATTCTAGCAAAAACCATAGCTTGCAGAACTTGGGTGATATCTTCTTATAGTTTCTTCCCTCCCCCCCCTCTATTTTTCATTTTGTGTTTGTGTTTTATTGGTCTGAGATAATGAAGAAAAAAGGAATTAAATTAGTCATTTTAGACTTCAGTGGGGTTTTTTACCTCCTAGCATCCTGTTATCTTTCTCCTGTTTATCTCCCATTAAAATAAAAGGCTGTTCTTCCTGTTTGTAATATACACTCTGAGGGTTTCACAGCGACAACTGAAATAAGCTAAAGAACAGTTGAAAACATTTGGAAGTAGTTTGAGTTTCTTAGATAAATCTGGAAAGAGGGAAGCAATAGCTAACACTTGGCAACCAATTCTTAGTACATTCTCATGTACAGACATACACACACACACACAGTCTGTATGTGTATATATTCTAAACATATTTCTTAGTGTAGCTATGTTTTAATTTTTCTTTTGCGACAGTATTATCATTCATTGTTCTTTCTATGTATACCTAATTTACAATTTATAGTTATATACAAGAAGTGGGAAAATAACCTTTAATAAAATACTTTTAAAAATTCTTGAGAGCAATTCAGCAAATGAATTACCTGTCTAGAAAAATGTTTCCCAAACTGAAGCTGCCAGTTGGCCTTCAACACATAATTCTCAACCAGCATGCTGGCAAGTGTACTAATATGGGAAAGCTAATCTAAATATGCAGAACATGCAATGTTTAATACCTATGATTTATCTTAATCCCAGCATGTAGGTCATTGTCCAGTTGCAGAGAAAACTAAGACATCTTGGAGAGCTTTTCCTATTATTTTTAACATTCCTGTACAAAGAAAAGCCCTTATTGCCCCATCTGGATGGGGATATAAAACATTTACCACTTTTGGGCATCAGGTGCAAATTTTGCTTCTAGTTTAGGTAGCACAGTTCTGTTTTAGCATTTGAAACAACTTTTAAATTAAGAAGAGTTTTAGCAGTATCCTTGTGAAATTGTTAAAATGTGTTGTTATGAGAAATATAAAATATTTTCAAAATTTGTGTTTTGGTATGAACTATGTTAAGGCTTTGTGAAGCACATTTTCTAGACAAGCACTGTCTTCCGAATAATTGAGTGCAGCTTATTTTTTTCTGGTCTAATAGCCAAAGACATTCTTTAAACATGAATGTTCTGGGTTAAAGTTGTTACTCAGGAAATGCTGATTTCATTAAAAATTAAAAAAATAAAAATAACTTTAAAAAAGCAAATCCCTATTCTTCATTGTTTATGGACCAAGAGAAAACTGAAGGAGTTTGAGAGTGAACTTGCAGGGATTTGATGGGAAGCTGTGGATCTTCTGGCTCCTAAAGTGGTTTACTTACTTACAGCTCTGCTCTCAGTTCCTAAAAGGTAAAAACTGTGGAGTATTTCTTATATTGAAACTTTCAGGTAAATGAAGTGTTTAGAATAGACATTTCACTCTGAAAATTCCCAACCAGTATCTGAAGTCATCCAGCTCTAGGAGGCTGATTTAAATCAATTAATGGGTTGTGTGTTTCTCATCCTCTGCAGGTGTGAATTGTATAGTTGTATGTGCGGTAACAACATGTCTGTCCCCCTCCTTGCTGATGCTGTGACCGTTTCAGGGACAGAGCGGGAGACTGCAGCGGTAAGGGCATGCTGTTTTGGGCTTACCATCTGTTGGCATCCAGAAAGCTTAGGGAATTAATGGGTTTTTCTCCTTTAGCCCATCCTCTCTGCTGATACTGAAGCAAAGGGATTGTTCTCCCCATAATGGGGTGGCTATTTCCGAGAAAGGAATGCTGCTGGTGGTAAGAATTTGGTATCAGCTTTTCTGGACGCTGGGGGACTACAGAAGGAGATCAGATCAGTTTCTTTCCTTTCCAATAAACTGTAAAATGTTGTTTGTAGGACCTGTGCAAAATCCACACCGTTGCCTCTGGCAGGTAATTAGTCCAGCTGTATCCTACTGTGTTGCCCTTGGTGCTGTTCTTTTGCACTAATTAGGTAATAATTGACTAAAACCTGCTTCCTCCCCTCCCGCCTCCAGTTGTGGGGTTGGTATGGTGAATTATTGTAGTAGGTAATACCGTGCTGTGGCACTGAACCAATGCTACAAAACTCCAAAACTTTAATTTTCAGTCCCATTGCTGGCCTTGCCTGCATTTGTGCCATCCAAACTCACCGAAAATGCATTGCTTGCAGTTTGGAAGAGAGAATTTTGCTTTCCCCTTCCCCAACATCTAAAGTCTAAAAGTCAGCTAAAACAGTAGTGAAGGCCCAATATGTTTGCCAAGATTGGCTTATTTTATACAATTCTGCTTCCACAATATAACCTGAGGAGTGTGTGGATAGGAACATATCCACTCTTGGCACTGAAATCGTGTCTTCCTGACTATGGTTAGTGCTATCCAATCTGCAGATTCCTCCTTTTCATTTTTCAACATCTTAAAAATTGGCCTCTCCAAAACAGTCCTAGATGTACATAGAGTAAACCATGTACACTTTACTGAATTCTGCTCTTGTATGGCTATTGTGCAGATACCACAAATTTGTGAGTCCTGATTTTGATCAAATTCAGCAGTACAATTCCAGCACTGGGACCATATCCTTTTTCTAGAATATTATTTAAATCTACATAACACACTTAAAATTGAGTTATAACTTTTGTATATTGAGGGAATGGGTATGAATTTTTGGAGTGTTCTGCAGCTATTGGAACTCATGGGATTTTGAATGATCAAAGTGCCAGCTTCCAGCTACTGTGAAATTCCATTGAGAAATATTAAAATATTGAAATGCTTTCTTCAAATATGTGTTGATCGATAAGATATGAGGTTCAAAGATGGGAGGGAAAGTGATTATAGAATTTGAAATATCTTTGACAAACAACAGTGATAAGAGAAGGAGTGGATTATAGGAAGAATGAAACTCAGGCAGTAGATGATTTTCTAACCCTGAGATTTGTGACCAAGAAAGGGAAGGGAGATCCCATAACATACAAACGTTTCTTCTCTTCTGCCCCAATAATAGATTCCACAAAATTAATTTTTCCTTTAAAAAAAATGTTGATCACACTCAAAAGTGACTTGAACCAAACTAAATGCCAGGATCTGTGTTGTGAGTAAAGCTTGATAACCCTCTGAGGGTTCCTGGAAATGGCTCCTTTGCCTTCTGGGATTTCATCAGGCACTGCCTGCTGCTTCTACCTCCACTTCTACTGTCTTTAGGGAACTTGTTCTCTATAGCAATAGAAGCTTCACTTCTCAGGAAGCTGAATTCTGTGCTCTGGTGGAATCATTTTATATCTTGCTTTGGTGGAAAATCAGAATTTAACTAGGAAGGAATCAGGGAGAAGCCGCGATGGCAACCTGTCAGATTAAATCAAAGATGGCAATAGCTTTGGCCCTGCTGGTGCCATGGAAGAAGAAAGCTTTCTTACCTAGGCATGATAATTCCAGATGAAGGAACTTTGCTCATTTAGTGAAATGTAATAAATATTGACAGATATATTTGCATATTTTTTCCCAGTGAATCATCTTGTTGAGGGAAGGCATCATGATAGGATGATACCTTGGTCACAAATGGATTCAGTCATACACATCTTCGTTTTCATCTTCTAACTACCTTAGGTTGAGTGATTTCTCATTCTTCCCTTCTGCGTAATCTGGTTTTGTTTTGCAACTAATTAGCCTCACAGAATGCTTCCTGATTACAGTAGCTTTGCTAGCACTTTCTCACTGAGCCGGCTAATGTGCTTATTTTCTACTTGACTTTGCAGGTCATTTTTTTGCACGGGCTCGGTGACACAGGGTGAGTAGTGGGGAAATCTGGGCTGTATAGCTTGCTGGTAATGGGAGTGGGTAATGGGAGTTGGGGAGACAAAACCCCCTCTGCACTTCATAAACTTGGATTGGGGAAATCAAGACCTGGAGGTAAATGTGAAATGTCGGTTTTGTATCCAACTAAGGAGCAGAATATTAAAGGATTAGAATGAGAAGATACTGAGATGAAGTTGATGACTTTAGAGTTTAAAATCTAGTTCTTGCATTGAAAAGAACCTAGGAAGCTGTTGGTCCATCTAGTGCAGCAGTTAGCAACTGTGGGCCAATGCAGCTCCCCAAACAACCCAATTTGATTTTAAAATGGACAAATTTTATGGCATTTTTGTTTGTTGGCTTGTTTAAAAATTAAGGGTGAAGAGCAGGAGTCTTATGGGAGACAGACTAACTCCTTCCTTGTTTACATCAATCTAACTATAAAAACTCCTGCCCACTTAGCAGTCTCCTGCCCATCTAGCAGTTTGAAAGCATTAAACGTGAGCAGATAAATAGGTACCACTTTGGTGGAAAGGTAATTACATTCCATGTGCCTTGGCATATAGTCATGCTGGCCACATGACCGTGGAAAGGGTCTTCAGACAATCCTGGCTCCCTTGGCTAAGAAACTGAGGTGAGCACCACTCCCTAGAGTCAGATATAAGTGGACAGGGGAAACTTTTACCTTTATCTTTAACTGCAAAACATTGGTGAGATTGGGAGGGTATGTGGGGAGTGTGAGAGGTGTGGGTTGGGGAGGGTGCACAAGAGGTGCTGCATGGGTCAAGGAGGGTTGAGACTATACAAATGTAAAAGAGGTAAAGGTAAAAGAGAGTGCATGAGGTGCCATGAGGTTCTGGAAGAGAGGTACTGCTTGAGTTGGTGAGGGGGTATGAGTGGCTGGAGCAAGCACACAAGGGCTATGGGAGAGTGCACTGGTGATGGAGACTTAACCCAGCAATTTGTGATATTCCCTGTCGGCTTCCCCTTTGACTTTCTGGAGATGCTGGCATAGAAGATTGCTAATGACAGTCATGTGATCACAGGGCACTTGGCAAGTAGCTGATAGTGCAAATGGGTTGCCAAGCACCCATATCGCAGTCATGTGATGGGTTGCTGAGATGGCTGGAACTCTGAGTACCAGTAGTAGCCACCATTTATTCAGTGCCAATGTAACTTCCAAGTGTCGGAACAAATGGTCAGAAGCCAAGGACTACTTGTATATCTGAATGTTGCACTGATATGGGGATATGAACTCCTCTACCAAGCTGACCTCACTGATGCAGTGTTTGGGAATTATATTGAGTCTTTGGAAAAACTAGGCAAAGATCCTTATCGCAGCTGGTAGATATGAGCATATTCCCAACTGCCTTTTTTAGCAGAAAGAGCCTCTGGCATGGGGCAGTGAAAAATATTTGCCTTTTCATGTTTATGTTGGATGGTGACTTGACCTGCTTTCTTTTGCTCTTCCCTTTCAGGCACAGCTGGGCTGATGCTCTGTCTTCCATCCGGCTCCCTTACGTGAAATACATCTGCCCTCATGCGTAAGTATCACAGTTATTCTGTCTTTAAAATGCAGGTTGAAAAGCACTGAACTTCACCCCCAGTTTGCTGATTTTCCCGCAGGAATGAAAACATAAAAACACCTGTTCTATGATATGAATGTGATAACTGGCCTTTTGGGCAGGGGAGAGGGCTGAAATGTGGCTACTGCACTGAAAATAGCTTCCTACATTGCTTTTCAGTAAAATATTTCTGCCCTTCATTCCATGACTTTCAGGGCAGTATACAATCCACATAATTACCATTAGAAAAAATGCAATAACCTAGTGTTGCCCACAAAGAGTGACTATATCACAATAACATGCTTGGATTCTCAAATACTGGATTCTGAAATATTCTCCCTAATACATTAGGGCATCCTAGGTTCCTGGGAAGAACTTGATGCAAATGAAGGCCAGCACCAGCTGAAAACCTGGCAGATGCCACTTCACATTGTTATGTATTTAGTGATAATAATACCTTCAAACCACAACATTTGCCTATCCCAGGTCCTTTTATCCACCAATAGGTGGATAAAAATGCCAAATCCAGTCTAAACATCTGGCTGAGTGTGCAACCAACCATAACAGTAATAATAGATGTTTGTAGCCACCACTGCCTAAAAAAACAATAAAAGACCACCAAGGGACTCATTCACCATAATCTTGTGGTATAACAGGACTTCATCTTAATCCAAAGATAGAAAGCTTGATAGTGGGCAGAGCTAGATGTTGCTATTTGAAAAGAGGGGTTGCAAAATCAGGAGAGAATAGTATCAGCGAGTGAGAGAACTGCAGGTTGCAAGCAAAGTATAACAAGCCGAGGTATTACGTCGTTCAGAAATTGGCGTATACTTCTGATATCTGCTTTATGGCACGTCACTCTGATCTATTAGGCTTTCCCATGCTTCCCTACTGCTCACTACTGTGTAGTTCTTAGAAGCCTGCAAAGTAATGGTTAAAATACTGAGCTATAGCTATTTTCCCTTTGACCCTATTGCCTTTTCCTGAACCTTCCATTTTTTTTTCACTCCTAACTTCCTTAATAGACTGAGAAAAAAAATGACCTATTCTGACCTTTTTTAAGCTTGAGCTCGCTGGCTGGAAATATGTGCAAGGGTTGACATAATTTGCGCCAAGAAGTTTCATTAATAATTTATCCTGATTATGTACGCTTAGACAATGTATTCTCCCTATTAACAGCTACTAGGGATCCGGAATTCAGACCGTCACAAAGCCCAAGCTGAGCCCCAGCTCTCTCTTTGGCCATGTACAGAATTCCAAACATGAGATCTTGTTAGCAAGTTCAGATTGAGATTCATCCACTAAAATGGACAGGAAGTTGATGTACCCAATAATGAGCAGGAATGCATTTCCCACCTGAATATCTCCAGATCCTGAACAGGTGAACAGCAAGGCCAGAATGAGTTAGGGCGTTCAAAGGGACTGCACAGTGCTGCTTCATCCTCACACACACATAGTAAATATGAGAGATGCTCTCGGAAAGTATGCAGAACTGTGCCTGAACCTACCGCCAACTCTCTTGCCTTTCTCGATGTTCATCTCTTACCTTAGAACATTGTCCCGGTGGTTCTTGCAGCACATTCTTTGCCATCTTGCTATCAATCCTGTTGCTTGAGCTTCGGTGATGGGCAGTAGATAGGCAGATACTCCCCAGTTCCAAAGTCAGTGTTGCTGAGGGCAGAATCAATAGAAAGAAATGGCGGTGTGTTTCTTAGCTGCTTCCTAGCAAAAGCACCAAGCCCAGGATCAAGTCGGTCCCCTAATGGTCAGATCCCAGGGTAGTTTACTAGGCAACCACACCAAACACTGCTTGATTGAGCAGGGACTCTAAATGAAATAGAGAAGGGAGAAGGAGAGCAACTTTGCTTTCTCTTGCTTTACAAACCTGATCTGCCTGAAAATGTATTCCCAACTGTCAGTTTTATGGGAAAAGTCTAGGTCTAGGCTGTAGCATTGATCTAAACTGTTCTTGTTGATTTAGTGCACAGCTTTGAAGAATTCCAAGAATGTTGGTGTTACTTTTAAAAAAGTATGATCTTTTGATATTTCTTTATCGTTTTTACTTCCTTACCCTTCTTACCTGTGATCCTATTAGAATTATACTCCATCTTCCGTCTCTCTTTGCAGACCCAGGATCCCTGTCACTCTCAACATGAAGATGGTTATGCCCTCCTGGTTAGTATTAAACAATATTCCTTGCATTATTAACAGCCAAGCTCTTCTCCTGCCCTAGGAGCAATGGGAAAAGACCTTGGAGAAGTGGTTAGGGGAAAAGTGAAGGCAGTAGACTGATGGGTTGGTGCAAATTTGGGGAGAATACATGGACTTTACTCATGGAAGTATTCACTTAGGGTTAAGTGTGTGGTGTAAATATAGCCTTCTTACACAGCCTTATTTTAGCAGAGTTGTATGTATTTTCACTTGTTCTTTTTGGCCTTTTCTCAAATTGCTGCCTGCTACAAAGCTTCCAATTAAGCTTCCCTCCAAACTGCTAACCCTCCTGATACGACATAAATATCATGGCATGGCCAGGTGTGGGGAACTGCAATCCTAACTTTTTGGATTAAAAATTGTTCTAGCTGTCAGCTTCAATTCTGAGCAGTAACACAAACCCTATTCTCACACACCATATTAGATCAATCCTGATTACAGTCCTGTAATCTGGCATGCCTTCACCCAAAAATAGAATGGAGTTAGTCATTGTATGCCTCTTTTTAAGGTCTGATGGAATGGAAGTCAGATGAACAACGCTGAGAGGTAGACAGAATTTTGCCCGTTTCCAAATGCTGTTGCTGGAGTTCCAGATAGCCAAGTTACCACTGCACCGTAATGCTAAGCCCCAGGGCCTTTACTTGCCCCCAGGTGAATGTCTTAGAAGATCATGACAGTGATGGTCTTTCCTTTTTTTCTCCCCATTTCAGGTTTGATTTAATGGGGCTAAGTCCGGATGCACCAGAAGATGAAAACGGAATTAAAAAAGCTGCTGAGAACAGTAAGAGAGGCGTTTCCTTGGGCATCTTCCGAATCGGCCCACATTTCTCTTAATCATAATTTCCAGTGGTTGGAAACCAAGAAAGGCAGTTGGGTCGTTTCCCAAGGCTAAAAAAGAACTCAGAACCCTTCCTGCTTTTTTAGTTACTGCCTAATTCACTCAAAAAGTAAAGCCAGCAAAATGGCCTGGAAATTTAATTCCTTGTACATTGCAGAGACCAGATGTGGAGATTCTCCAACTGGGTGAACACTGGGCCTCCTCTGCAGGCTCCTTTTTGAAGAACATAAGCAGTCCTTGAGAATGTGCAGACATGCAGGTCATAAATCTGAATAGAAAAACAAAATAAATCCTTGGGGCTTGAGGGCATCCAATTTGCCTTGAAGCATATATAACCTTGCTTTTAGAAAAAAAATCCCTTTAATTATGTCAGGCCCATATCTCAAATAATTTACACCCAGGTTGGGCAGTTCAGATGATCCTAGTGAATATCCAGAGTCTCCTTTTCGTGGGCCCTGCATCACTTGTGGATTATTCTGACTAAATTCAATGTTGCAATTGTTTTTGTTTTGGGATGCGCAGATGGAATTATGCAAAATAGCTGCATTAAGTATTTAATGCACTTAATGAGCTGACTTCAGTTTTTTCTTTTTTTTAAAAAAAAAAGATGAATGCCATTAGAGATCCTTCCTAAGGAAAGAGCCAACACGGTGGCAATAATATTCAGGGTGATATAACGGTAGCTTCCACTATTCTTGAAGCCCAGGAAAAAATTAAATTGTAAAAGGTGCAATCCCTGACTGCCAAAAACATTGCCTGCCGCATGGTATCTGTGGCTCTTTAAAGCAGTCTGCCTCTACCCTGCCTCTTGCCTGTGGACCATACTTTCTGGGAACTGCACACACCTGAAGGGCCCCAGGTTGGAGAAAGGCTTCTCCTAACTGTAAACTTTTCCAGATCTAAGACAGAGAGGAGAAGACAGAATCTGGGCTATTCTCCAAGAGACCATGTCATTTCCCCCTGAGCTACAGCCCTTCTTTGATAAATGTAAAGGTTAATGGTGGCAGGAAAGGGAGGATCAAGGAAGTCTCGATTTGCACACCTGGCACTTTCCCAATCTCTGCTTATTTCATGTATTCATATAACCCACCCACCCCCGCATCCCTCTACTACTTAGGTTGCTCACTGCAACAAACCAGCATTAATATGCTGCATAATAACAACTAACGAAGGGAAGAGTTATCCAATAGGCAGGTAAGAGGAGCTAAAGTAAAAGCATCAAATTAAATATATGTACTCTATGGCATAAAGAAATGCCTTTCTAAACAAGGGCTTCTCCAGCTGGCAAATTGCTGTCTGAGGAAATAACCCAGCCTCCCAAGGAGTTCTAAAATTCAGTGTGGCCAGAGAGTAGTTCCTTTCTTCAAGGCTGGCTGAAGAAGAGAGTCACAGTTCTACCCTGTGTGGTCATTTGAAACCGCTTCCTTCCTAAGGCAAATTCCAGAGCTGTTTTGCAAAGCCAAAGCGGTTGTAATGCTGCTGTGGACTTTTGCACCCACCGTCACCATCTCCCATGGTTTCTCACAGCATACTCCCCGTTTACTTGCACCACTGTTCTTTGAGCGCCGATTCTGTAGATCCTTCGGCTTGATTTTTTTAAAAGGGGGCATTTCTAATAGAGTGAACCTCGCCATGAATCCATATGAGCAGGCCTGTTTGCTTCACGACCATTTCCAACTCTCTGTTAACTTGCAGCCAAACTGAATGTCTCTTTTCTCTCTCTGCATTCCAGTTAAAGCTGTAATTGACCATGAAGTAAAAAATGGGATCCCAGCCAACCGGATCATCTTGGGAGGCTTTTCACAGGTGGGAACTGATGGGGCATGGAGGAGGCAGGTCTCTATGCTGATTAAGAGTAGACACCTCAGGTCTGGTTTCTGGGGTGCCCAGGAAGCCCCCTTGACAGGGAATGGAGATGACCCGTTTCCTTTAGGACAGTATTTCTCAGGCTGGCTGGTGAATTCTGGGAGTTGAAGTCCACATAAAGTTGCCAAGGTTCAGAAATACTTCTTTAGGATGTCCATCTTGACCACATAGCTGCACCAAAAATGGAAGAAAATGAGTTTTTTTTTTGAGAGAGAGCCCACACTTGCTCCCCAAGTCCTTATTTTGAGTCCTACTCCTTTATTGGAAAAAACACATTTGCAGCTTTGTTAGGCCAAGTGTCAACAATAGTGCAAAAAGAGGTAGGGTCACATGAAAAAAAGAGAACAGCTAAAAAATTAAATTATAGCGATGTAATAGTCATGTTAATTAAAGAATTGGAGTGGCATGGTGGCTCAGCGGTTAAGACACTTTCAAGACCCCAGCTCCAGGCTAAAGGGTGAAATCCCGTCCTCGCCCCAGCTCCTGCCAACCGGGCAGTTGGAAAGCATAAAAATGCGAGTAGATAAATAGGTGCCACTTCGGTGGGAAGGTAACAGCGCTCCATGACATAATGCTGGCCACATGACTGCAGAAATGTCTTCGGACAGCGCTGGCTCAATGGCCTTGAAATGAAGATGAATACCCTATTGCCGGCAATGACTAGCAGAGTAAAATCTTCGGGACTCCTGTACCTTCCTTTACCTTAATTAAATAATTGAGTTGTTTGATTACAGGGCCATAAAAAGGGAGTTCTAATAAAAGCACAGCACTTCATAGTTCAGTTCAAAATTTAATTTAGAACTTCCTCTTCTTCACAAATTCCTTTTCATATACCCACTATCCCTCTCCTTGCATTTCTTTTTGTTCCCAGATAGAGGAAAAATAGTAAAAATGGAAGCAATATGGAAATAATGAAAAATCTGGCATCAGAATCAAAGAGGTTGGAAGGAAATCTGAAGCTGTATTTAAATCTCTTGATTAGTCCATGGATCTCAGAAAAAAAGATAAAATAAGCTTCTAATTCTTAAGCTCCTGGGAAACATGCATTTACACTTTGCAATAGCGTCTGCCAAGCTCCTCTAAGTTAAGGATAGAGTTGGACATTTAGAATGGATTTTTAGTACTCTTGTTTGTTTTCCTTTTTGGGCAAACACTCTTTTATCAAATACTCTCATTCAACTTCCCTATAGAAAGGTTCAACTTTATGAGATTCTAATAAGCAATTAATTGGAAGGGAAGGGTTTTTTTAGGCCCATATTTGGGGACAGCATTGTTTGTTGTGAAATGGCGCCGGGGGGGGGCAGCACTAGAGGAGGAGATTGGTTTGGGGAAGGATGTTTTGGGAGAAGAACCTTACTGGAATAAGCTCTGACCAGTTTTCTGATGTCGTTGTGCTTCAGGGTGGCGCCCTCTCCCTCTACACAGCGCTCACTTGCTCTCACCAGTTGGCTGGCATTGTGGCCCTCAGCTGTTGGCTCCCCCTGCACAGGACCTTCCCTCAGGTAGGTGGCCTAAACCAGGGGTGAAATCCAAAATTTTTCCCTACCGGTTCTATGGGCATGGCTTGGTGGGCGTGGCAGGGGAAGGATACTGCAAAATCCAAATTCTCTCCTCACTCCAGGGGAAGGATACTGCAAAATCCCCATTCCCACCCCACTCTGGGGCCAGCCAGAGGTGGTATTTGCCGGTTCTCCAAACTACTCAAAATTTCTGCTACCAGTTCTCCAGAACCTGTTAGAACCTGTTGGATTTCACCCCTGGCCTAACCTCTCTTTTGGAACTGGGGGAGAGAGGGGGGGGAGATGCACGCCAAGCCAAGGTCTGTTGGGTGGAACCACTCCTTTGCAATGACCATGGCAAGATACCAACATCTGTTTGTGGATGATTCACAGCTTACATGCCGCCGTTGTTTTTTTCCTCATGATGACTGCAGGCAGCAAGTAATGGTGTGAACAAAGATATCGCCATTCTGCAGTGCCATGGTGAGATGGACCCGATGATCCCAGTGCGCTTCGGAGCTCTCACTGCAGAGAAGCTGAAGGGGGTTGTGAATCCTAGTAGAATCCAGTTCAGAACCTACCCAAGAATGATGCACAACTCTTGCCCTCAGGTTGGTTGGTAGCCACTCCGCTTCTCATACCTGGGGCCTGATTGCAAAAAAGGTTCATGCTGAGATAATGAGGTTAAGGTACTTTATGTTGCCTGGCAAGCTCTGTCCCTAGATCTTGGATCTTCTGAGTTTCAGCTGGCAGCAGCTGGAAAGGGATCCTTTTTTGTGGGGGTCTCTCTTAATAGGGAAGCCTTTCTTATGTAATACAGCTTTCTAAGAAAGCCAGGTCTCCAGTGTCCTGTAGGCTGAACTTGAACTCCATGTTGGGCTGCTACACATGTCTGCAGAAATTTATGATGACGGTTATGTGTGTATTTAGTTTCTGAACTGATAATATTTGGGGTATGCTAAGACTTGGGGACGAGGAAGGGAGGCATCAGTGCTGGTTGGTTGGATGGGTCTGTCTCTAGCATGGCCTCAAGAAGTAAAATAGTATTTTCCCTCCTCTTCCATCTGTGCAGGAGATGATGGCGGTGAAAGACTTCATCGAGAAGGTGTTGCCCAGGATTTAAGCCGAGCTAGTCAAGACTGTTGCAGGGAGAGGAGACAGAGGTCACCAGCTTTGATCTTGAACCCTTGACCTGTTGGCTGCAATTGGAAGCCATGGCAATCCACCTCCTCACCAGTCACTCGTCTCCTTTCTCGAGCCTTCCCCTCCTGCCTGCGCTGTCCCCCCTCCTGTGCAAAGGGAGGGGAGAGGGCCCTTCTCTCCCACATGGCGGGTGAAGGTACCAAGTGGTTTTAAGGTACAGCTGAGATCCTAATCTGGCAGATTATTATTTCAGTCACCTTTCAGTATTTCCCTATTCTCTCCTCTCCTCCTGTTCTGTCTACTCCTGCTCCCCCCCAACCCCCCCAAAAACAGAAACAAATCTAAACATAAACTGCCTGCTGTGGCAAAGAACTGCGTGGTAGCCAGAGGCTTAAAGCAAAAGGTATTAAGAGACGGTGTTCTGGCTATTACAGTACTTTCAAAGGAGTTTTATAGTTCAGTCTTCTGAACTGTCCTTCCCCTCATGATGTTCAGCCCGTCCCACTTCATATTTCACTGGAACCATTTTAAGCGGTGCAGGCAGGCTCAGCTTTCTCAGGCCTGGCAAGGCAGAAAACCTGTTTCTGCTCTGCGCAGGCTATCGGCTTGCCACACTCTGTACCACACCTTCTCCTCCAAGCTTCCATCAGCAAAAAAAGAGGAAGAGTTGCGTTGTGTTCAAGGGCCACGGCTGGTCGGTCCCCCAGATGCAGCTTGTAACCGTGGCAGCTGCTCCACCAGTCCCTGCCCTGACTGGAGTGATAAAAGTGGTGGAGAGGTACCCACCGCGCCAGGGATCACTCCACGTTGTGTGTTATGGACTGTTTTGTTGTGTTCTGTCCTCTCATCCACGCTGCCTTTATCCTGACCCATGGGATCCTTTTTTGTTTTGTTGGGATCAAGAGAAAATGGCGATTCAGGGGAGGGGACTCAAGATGGCTCCGGCCAGTAGGCCTCTCTAGAGTACGGTCTATGACAATTCCACTTTACAGCCTGGGCAGTGCTCAGACAATGGCTGTTCTAGCCTGCTATGTTCCTGCCCAGTCACCACACCAAGCAAGTGCAAGCTGGGTTTTGGTGTGTGCCACGTTGCCAGAATTGTGCTCCTGCCCCACCCCACCCTATTTCTTGTGTGGTTCCCTGAGTCCATTGTCTCGTTTCCTCCTTGAGATCAGGCTTGTGCCTCAGAGCTGTTGAACAGCAGCGATGTTTCTTTTCCTTCTCTCCCTTGCTCCAGTGAGTCCTCCCTGTGGGCGCCTCATAGGACTGGCAGCCAGGGAGAAGATGCAACTTCAAAAGGAACTCTTCCCCCCCCCCCCCACCGCTTTCTTTTGTTTTGGTTGAAGGGCTAGTCTTGTCTTGTGTGTCAACCCGCCACCTGTTCTGTGTGCAGACTTTGCGCCCTTCCTTCTCCCTGCCCTATGCAGTCCTTTTCACTGGGCAACAGCAATAAGAAGACCCGGGATTAGGACAAATCTCTCCTTTTCCCCTCATGACTTTTGTGATTGGGATAGAGACAGGCTTACCCAACAAGCCCATTGAGGTTCCACTGCATTTTGGAGGGGGGGGAGCAGCTAAATCGAGATACTTGTGAACCACAGCTCCCTCTGATGCCCCATGCTTGGTAATCCAGCCAGCATTGCCAATGCCTTCTCCAAAATGGGCTCCTCTTCTTGGAAGATGAGACTTGTGGAGATGGCATGAGTATGGCTGTTTGACAAAGCAGGATCATCCAGTGAAAGGGACACAGAGTTTGGGCAGAGGAAGAGGCCTGGCCTCTTTGTGCATCCCCTCTCCTCTCCCCCCCGCCCCACTCCCCAAGCAAAGGATCTCCGGATTGCAGGGGCCCCGGAACCTGATTTGTGAGCTGAGGGCAGCTCCTATTCACACAGGTAATAAGTGGTGATGGGAAAGGAGAATGTCTTTAGCCTGCTCCTGTCCTTGCCAGGAAAACAAAAGATTCCTCTCTGGCTCATTTGTGTTTCCCCTGTTTCAAAGGAATGGCTTCTGCAGCTGTCTGACCTGCACTTGGAGGTGCTAATGGATAGGGAAAAGGCTCATGCCCAGTCTTGCCACTGAATATCACCAGAAAGTAGCTGTCAGATTCTGAGATGATAAAATGAACTGTACCACCCAACGGACTGCAAGTGTGTGCAGATATAATTCCTAATGTTTCCATTAAATTTTTTTTTTTTTTTTTTTTTGCAAATAAGACATAACGCATAAAGGGAATTCTGGCTCATCCTTTCCACCCCTTTCTGCTTATTATTATTATTATTATTTTTTAGAATGTGGTTTGTTTTGCTAAATTGGGTTCTGCACACATTTGCAGTCAGAAGGGTTGCAGCCTCCTTCACCGTCTCCATGTTCTACTGCATTTCAGCTTCCTTCTGCACCAAATAACATGCAAGGGGCTGTGTGGGGACGGGTCGGTTGCCTTTTGCCACCACCGCTCAGCTCCTCTTGGGCCACTGAGTTGCAGTGTCCTTCAGAGCAAGCGGAGAGATCTCTGCTCTGGTTTCTGCTGGCCCAGTCTCCTCGTGGGGCCTTCCCAAAGCTCTTGTCAACGTGGCCTGCATGGTATAGAAGGGATGGGAACAAACACAGAAGCCCAAGGAAGAAGATGGTTTCTCTCTGTTCCTGCAAGGGGATCTCAACAATCTCTTCTCCCTTTTCCCTTTGTCTTCCTCGTATGTCATTTTAATTTTTGTGTTCCTTCAAGATTAAACAGAAACCACCATTGGTGCCTCATCTTTTGGTTTGTTGAGCCTAGTCGTGAGGCGTCATTTTCTCCTGCAGGGAGGGCTTGAAGTGTTTGACAGCTCTTACCAACATCTGAAACTTGGGGTGGTCTGGACTTGACTGCCTGTGATAATACACCTGGATTACCAGAGAAAGAGCTATCCCAAAGGTGCTTTTCAAAAGGCAACGGGACATTCTTGGATTTTTCCTTGAAAACATTTCGCTTCTCATCCAAGGAGTTTCTTCAGAAGCTTCTTGGATGAGAAACGAAATGTTTTCATGAAAAAAACCTTTCGAAAAGCACCTTTGGGACAATCATGACTTGGATGATTGAGAATCTCCATAAACGGAGAGAGCTTTTTACTACCTCTGAGCTCTGCCTGTCTATTTGAATGTGCTTATAGCAGCTTCTGCCATGCTGGCCTGATACGTTGAGTGAAGTCAACCGTGGGTGAGGTGATCTACCTTTGTGCAGTGTGTGCACCCAAGGATTGGTCTGGAATTCTACACAAAGGGTAGGAATGCCTGCGTGCAAGATAGCACTGTCGGTGATTGGAAGGGAGGAGTCGTCTCGGGGAAGGTTGATTTTATTTTTCTTGTTTGGTCTGTTCTCCGTTCTGCTTCACAGGGTTTTTTCCCCCAATGTTTCTCTGAGCATTGTTATTTGATGGTTGTTTCAGATTTGGGACATTCTGAATGCAAGCAGGAGCTTTCCCTCTGAACAACCAGCCTCTCTTCCCTCCTGTAACTCCAAGCACAAAATCAGAAATTTCACTGTGGTTGCATTTTATCTGAAACACTCTTCCCCTATGGGAAATTGTCTCCCGAGTCCTCTGAGAGCATCTCTTCAGGTTCTGCAAATCCTGCCAGGCAGAATCAAGGCCATCCCACCCACCAGTCGTCAGAGTTGCTTCGCCACACGAATGTGCCTGTTTGCATAGCAACTGAGCCAGGCTTTCCATCAAAACAAGACCTTGAGCGTTGTCACTGACGAACGTAGTTTTGAACAGGCTTTCATTTCTTCCCCTCCTGTTTATTTTTTTAAGACAGCTCTAGATCACTTAATAGTGATTTTGATTGATTACATGCCATCAAATTGCTGTCATCTCTTAGCAACCACATAGATAGATGTTCTCCATGATGATCTGTCCTTTATGTGGTCCTTCAGGTCTTTAAAGCCTAAAGATTAACTAGAAAGACTAATCTGGTTGTTGCTGGTTGTTCCCCTTCTACTCTTTCCCAATATCAGAGCTTTCTCCAGAGAGATGGGTTTCAAATCATGTCCGAAGAAGTATAATTTGAGCCTGATCACCTAACATACTAATTTTAAATGTGTACAGTAAAAGGCATTGTGGGAATCCAGCCAGAGCCCTTTATAAACCACTTTCACCAATTGTAGTTTATTCAAACCATAACAAAACATTTTGCATGAGGGCAGCCAGTGTATACTGCAAATTCATTACTTATTTAGATGCCACTGCAACCAACAACCAATTCGCATTACCACCTCAAAAGTAAATAATTTATTACAGCAATAATATAATTTACCCAAGGCATTTATTCTTGATGTCGCTTTTCCCCCCTAGGTATTCCTGGGGTATTGTTATCAAATTGCTTGTTAGCATTTTCCCTGTGTTTCTTATATCTGGTTCAGATTTTCAGGAAATTTGATTTTAGGGAGCAGGCAACCTTAGTGCGGTTTTGACTTCCTTTAAAGAGGGCTAATGGGTAACTTAGAGCAACTGAATGTGTTGCTACCTTTTTTGTTACAAGACTTTTCATAGCATATTTACTGTTGTAGGGATCTCTTGAAATCTGTACTGAAATGCTGCTTTTACCACTTGAAAGTATCTGAAAAGTCTTAAAAGAATAGCTCACAGTTGAACTGTAGAGTTCTTGATCCTTTCCAAGCTTGGTTATTTGCTTGCAGATGTTTAATTACCTGACTAAGTAACGCCATCAGTTCTAGTGAGTATGAGGTCAGCTCCCTATTTATACACAATAGCTTGCCCTGCCACTGTTGGTGGATGTGTAGTTTTTCTCCTCGGTTGTCCCTTGATTAATGTATAGTTTTCTGCTTGATAGTTTGTCTGATGCTGATCCCTGTTTATCTGGGTGTAGGCTGCTAGAGAGGATGTGTTCTGATCTTTTTGTTTCCCTCTTAGCTTCTTTATTGTGTCTTTTGAATGGGGTGTAAATGTGGTTTATCTCTATGTGTCTATTGATGGCTGATTTATCTAATGCTAAGCTTCCAGGAATTCTCTAGCATTTTTAGATTTGGCTTGATCTGGAATGCTCATTGTTTCCTAGTTGAAACTAGGGTAGATCTGTCCATGTGTTGTGAGATTAAGGGATTTTCATTGTGTCATCTGATTACTAGATTGGCATTGCTGTCCTAATCTTATACTTCTCTGTCTCAGACAAGTTGTAGCTGGGTCTTTTGGTTTACTTAAGATGTTTTGGAGAGCTTTGACTGATTTGTGTGCCTTGTAATTGTAATAGTCTGTTGGTTGTTTTTGAGATGTTTTTGATATTTGGCAGGGCTATCCTTTTCATAGCTTGTGTTGGTTGTACTGTAGTAGGTTGAGTGGCTAGGCATTTTTGTGATAAAGATTTCCTTAAAAGTATTTTAGTGCAAATCTGTAAGCCTGCCTATAGGGTGGGGGAGTTGTTCACAGCATTTTTTATTCTTGCTGTTTTCTTCCTAACAGAGACAGAACATAGCGTGGTGCACAGTTCATCAAAGTCCATCCTCTCTGGCCTGAGAAATAGCAATTCTAAGAGTTGTTCCAGCAAAATAGATTGGGGGGGGGGGAGGTAGGGGAGGCTGTTGAATAAATAATGTGCTTGCTTTAGTAAAACACAACTATAGCTTTAAAAAAAAAAAAAAAAGATTCCCCCCCCCCTTTTCCAGGAATATCACTACATCACCATCTTCAAGCCCTTGAAGCCATTTTTTAAATTTTTAAGTGAAACTCTCATGGCTCCAAAAAGATTGCCCATTCCTTCTCTTGAAGCATCCAGAAAGGGTTTTTTAATGTATGTGCACATTAATATTAATTATATAACATTGATGTCCTGAGCCTTGAAATCCATTAGAGTTGTTCTCCAAATGACTCTCCTCACAAGGCTAACATTAGGGGGAAAAGCAGGGAGATTTGAAAAATCACTTGTGAATTACTGGCCAGGGAGTGGGCAGAAGTCCTGGATTATCTGCATAATAATCTGGAAGGCAGAAAATAGAACCATAAAGGTTAAGAAGAAGAAATAACAAATCCAGACTTGCTAATAATAATTAAAAAGTAGCTTCTAATGGAGGAATGGAACAGGAATGCAAAAGAAGATAATTTATGGCCAAGCGGATAGAGCTGTTCCATCTTGCCCCTTGCAGATTCCACAAGTGTCTGTCATTTGCTCTTCTGGGTTAACACAAAGACTGGAATTTCACTGGATATTCAAGAATGTTTGGGTTGGAAAGAACCCTGAAGGCAATCTAATCACTTTCCTAGTGGATAATCATGATCATCATGCCAGGATTTTGACCAAGTTGTTTGCAGTATGAAAATTAAAATAAAATTTGCTCTTAAGATATAAACTCAAGTTGGCATAAGAAGCTACACAAAAATGCTAACCAGACGGAGCAAAATTCCTTATGCTGCACGAAATGCTGTTTGTAAACAGATGGTCATTGATCCAGAGCCTAAAATAGGGGCTTCCATTGGAAACAAGAGATGGGAGATGGATTTAGATTATTTTCAGTGTATCAAAACTAACCTGCATTAAACTTCAACCTGCATAATGAAATCATTTATACAGCCAAGAAAAGAGGTAGTGGTTTGCATTACAACAGGGGTGTTAAACTCACATCGTCACAGCTGCGTCACCTGACTTATCGGGACTTTTCCCCCCTTCGCTAAACTGGGCGTGGGCATGGCCGGCGTGTGACACATCTGGCCCATGGGCCGGGAGTTTGACAGCCCTGCCTTAGAAGCACATTGGTGGTCCTGAAGTCAAAAAATGGAAGTGGGCAAAAGCAGTTCTACTGCAAATATTTTAAAGAGCACGCCTGTCTAGTCTTCTATTTAGATACTACTTTCACAGCAATGAGCACCGGAATTATCTTGTACTTCCGACCTGAATTTGAAGTTATGATAGTCAGATCTATCCCTCCCCCAGTCATGTGACTGTACTTCAAGTGCTCATCAACCAGGCCATATTTATAGCCACATCCAACGACCATTACATGACCTCATTTCATGATGGCTTTCAGCAAAACTGTGCCCATAGCAAACTATTGGTCCACCTAAGGATCACAGAAAAAGGTAGTAAAATTGATGCTTTATGACTGTCAGAAATTATAACTATGATGAGAGGCTCCATTATGGTCATAACTCGAGGACTATACTGTTTACCTACATTGCTGGCAGACTATCAAGCTCTTCTGTTTTCTCTCAATTTACAATCTTAAAAGAAAGCTATTCGTGGGAGCATCTCTTTTCAAGATATTACCGTGTTTCCCCAAAAATAAGACCCTGTCTTATATTTTTTTTGAACTCCCGAAATAAGTGCTTGGCCTTATTTTTGGGGAGGTCTTATTATTTTGGGGCGCGTGGAGCAACATGGGGCTCCTCATGCTGTCTTATCGATTTCCAGCTCTGCGTTTAAATATTTTCAGGGGGGGGGCTTATTTTAGCACATGCGCTCAAAAGCCTGATTGGGCTTATTATCAGGGGATGTCTTATTTTCAGGGAAACAGGGTAGAAACATCACTGCATGTAGTACCTTTAGTTATATCACCATCCAGAAGAACTAAAAGCTTCACTAAGAATCTGTGATGTCTTGTTTTAGAGATCAACCAGCCCAACAGGTGTTGGACTATAGCCTGAGCAACATTAAAAATTACAGCCTATGCAGCTTAAAGAGATGCTTCCATTACTGTTATTTTGCTCCCTCCCCAAAAAAGTGTAGAGTTTATAATTTAGAAAAAGAAATGGAGATAATGACAAAACCCACTTCGCCACCCTTAGGCTTAGTTTTTTGACCACTTGGGTATCCTGGCTCTTCCGCTCAAATGAAAAGAATCAGGTCTCTGAAATCTTGCTCTCTTAACCCTAAGCAGCTCTCGTCTCTTGAAGCCAAAAAAACCAAAGGGTTGTGGATTAAATTCCCCCAGAGCCAACCAGGCTCTAGGGAAACATTTGGATTTTGTCCTCCAGTGATATCCAGCTAGTTGTCCTGCTGCTCATTCAGTAAAAAAAAAAAAAATCGCCCCAGCCAGTAAAAAGACTTTTGAGTTTCTGGCAGAGAGGTGGGGTGAGGAGAAGAGAACAGGCTACTTAAAAGGGCAATGGCATCCTCTTTTGGTGTGATCAGTCGGCTCCAAAAAGGAAAGAAGAAACGAGCATGGGCCACCTTCCTTTTTCAAAAGTAGCCAGCCTTTCGGTCTGCACCAATGTGCTACTGGTTGTACGTGGGAAGAACAGGCAGCATCTTCCATCTCCTAGTTCTTGCTGAAACCGGTGGGATTCTGTGACTGCCACCGCCATAAGTCCTCACCTGAAAACAAGAGCAGCTTGCCTTTAGGTAGGCATCAAAATGTACCAGGAAGGATAGATGGCCACTTCATTCTCCAGCAGGAGCGCGGAAGCAAAATGTTCCTTGAAAAATGAGCAACAAGCAGAAAGTTTCTACTTACACATTTTGTCCAGGCCAAAGATAGCTTTCCAACCCAGTTCCCGCTCAGCTAAACCAGGATTTGCGTAACAGGAGGCTACGTCCCCTTCTCGGCGTTCAACAATCTTGTAGTTTATCTAAAAGAAATAGTCTGCCTTTACATTTCTGGGTAATTGAGTTGGATACAGTTGCTAAGATGCCAAGTGAGAGACTGATTGAGGTTAGGTCCCAGGCTGATCATAAAACCTAACAGAGCAGACGGTGGGTTTCTGCTGAAAGCCCCAGAAGGCGGACAGCTTCACAATAAGATCTCAAGGTGTAGGTCCCAGGCACTTTTAAGTCTTGGCGTAGCAGACCCCCATATTGGCTGTCAGTCCCTGCATCTCATCTTGGTTTGTCAGCCTACCTGTTTTCCAGATGCCTTCTCCATGGCTTTGACCATCTGCAAGACCGAGTAGCCAACACCAGTCCCAAGATTGTAAATCTGTAAGAATGCATTTTTTTTTGCTCATAGTTATATTCTTCTATGCTCCTCCTTGGTTGGAGGGGAGAAGGAAGCAAAGCAGAGCTTAAATACAAGAAGATTGGAAAGGATGGTTACACCAACTTGTTTCCAGTGTGTGTGTAGCGCAGGGGTCGGCAACCTTAAACACTCAAAGAGCCACAAAGGTCCTAACCGGAAGCCCCCTGTTCAATTCTGGAGCTGACCGGAAGTCTGGTTCCCCCACCATAGAGTCTCCTCCTAGCACGGCATCCTTTTTCCTCTACCTGTCTTAACCAAAAGCCCTATCAATTGTGGAGCCAACCGACGACGAGCCGCAGCACAGGGAAGAAAGAACCACATGCGGCTCCAGAGCCACGGGTTGCAGACCCCTGGTGTAGCGGGTGGATGCAGAGGGTGCATCTGATTTAAAGCTATTCGGTTTGGCCTCCTGTATTATAAGATTCAGAAATGAAATAAGAAAATTAAGGATTACAAAGACCTAAGCAAAACATTTTCCTTCTCAAAGGGCGGACACTTAAATAAAGAACATCCTTACCTTGCATCCACAGTTCTCCTTGAGCTTCTGCAAGGCTGCAATATGGCCCTTTGCCAGATCAGTGACATGGATATAATCCCGAACGCCTATCAAAGGACAATCTGTCAATGTTCTGTTCACCTGGTGCACATGTATTTCCACAACTTTAGGAGATGTGCATTCTCTTGGGCAAACACACACAATATAACAGAAGAAATTTTGCACATTTGGCCAGGGATGGTGTTAATAGGGTGTCTCTTTCCCAAGTTATTTAGGAATCCTCAACCAGAACTGCCTGTCTATTTCTTGACGCCTGGAGGGGCTCTCTAGTATGTCTCAATTATCAGCAAAGAAAATTAGTATTTGAAACCCAGGAGCAGAGGTGGGTTTCAGCAGGTTCTGACCAGTTCTGGAGAACCGGTAGCAGAAATTTTGAGTAGTTCGGAGAACTGGTAGTAAAAATTCTGACTGGCCCCGCCCCCATCTATTCTCTGCCTCCCAAGTCCCAGCTGATCAGGAGGAAATGGGGATTTTGCAGTATCCTTCCCCTGGATTGGGGTGGGAATGGAGATTTTATAGTATCCTTCCCCTGCCATGCCCACCAAGCCACACCCACAGAACCGGTAGTAAAAAAATTTGAAACCCACCATTGCACAGGAGGTGAATATATCTAGTAGTTCCATTTTAATCCAGCCCCCATGTACATTTCATTGTTCCTTTAACTAGTACTTTAGCATCAAGCAATTCTACCAGGAAAGGATTAGGACTTAAGTTAGTAAAACGTTGCCATAAATGACACTCACAACCATCTAACCTCAAATAAATTTACTTTTATAAAGCACTTGAATTCTCCACTCAGCCCCCCCCCCCTTTTTTTTGGGAAGAGGGGGTGTCTTCATTTTAAAGTTTGGATGTTACTGAGCCCCACGCACCTGTCCCATCCACTGTGTCATAATCATTCCCAAAGATGTTCAGATGCTCTCTGCGCCCCACAGCCACCTGGAAGAGGCAGAAGATGAAAAAAAAAATGAAATAATAAACTGAGAAAATCTTAGCGCATCTGATCAAGTAGCACAAGATCTGTATACCTGGGCAACGTAAGGCATCAAATTGTTTGGGATGCCCTGGGGATCTTCTCCAATTTTTCCGGACTTGTGAGCTCCAATAGGGTTAAAATATCGCAAGAGAACAGCGTTCCACTCCTAGGATTAAAAAAAAAAAAAAAAGTAAATCTGGTGGACACAGCAGACCAAATGGGAATTAAGGTTGCATTGTTGCTCTCTCTTACTGGTTCCGCCTTGCACAAATCTTGGATCATCTCTTCGATGAAATACTTGGATTTGCCATAGGGGTTGGTGCAGCTGCCGACCGGATGCTTCTCATCAAGAGGGAGGTAAGCGGGGTCTCCGTAGACGGTGGCTGAACTGCTGAACACAATGTTCCTGACTCCATGAGCTTTCATGGTCTAAGAGAGGCCAAAAAAAGGACCGATGAGCTGGATTCTGAATCGGGTCAGAAGCAGCAGATAAATCTGACAACGGGGACAATATTCTTTGCACAGGAACCCTTGTTTTCTCGAAGCCAGCACGGCTCTGGATGAAGACTGGTGTAACTGACTATTGCCCATCCCAGTGCTTAACGAGAGGGTACTCTATGCTGTGGCTTCTTGGTACGGGGTCTTGTGTTAGCATCCAAGATGGCCTCAAAAGATCATAAACCAGCTCATCCCAACTGGACAACTTCTAGATGTCTTGGAAGCCATCTCCCATATTCTTCAGCCATGTAGTACCGTATTTTTCGGACTATAAGACGCACCCTTTTTCCCCCCTAAAAGGGGGTGAAAATTTAGGTGCGTCTTATACGCCTTTTTCCCCCCTAAAAGGTGAAAATTTAGGTGCGTCTTATACACCGAATGTAGCCCCGCCCACCCACTGGCCCCCACCCTTTGGTCTCTGCCTCCCAGCAATTTACCTCTTTGCAGCAAACAGCAAGAAGAAACAGCGCGTTTCAGCTTCAGTACAGCCTAATTAGCACAAGTTGATTGGATCGGCCTCCTGACTGTCAGCCGTTTTGCTCTCAGCTGTTTTGCCCCTGCCTCTGCTGCTTGCTGCAAGGAGGTAAATTGCTGGAGCAGATTTTTTTTCCCCCCGTGTGTTAATCAAGCTATGCTGAAAACGAAAATAAAAGTAAAGCAGGCTGTTTGCTGCAACGAAGCAAAATTGCTGGGAGGCAGAGGCAGATTTCTTTTTCTTGTTTTCCTCACCAAAAAAGATAGTCCGGTGTGTCCGAAAAATACGGTATTTTTTTTGGGGTGGGTGGGTTTGTACGGAAGCTGAAGTCCAACAAATTTGGAGAATTTGGGAAGGCTTTGCTAAACACTTGCAGGATACTGCTGTATAACACACTTAACAGTTTCAGGATTTCAACTTCTGGCCATGTGATTTTGGCCTGTCAACCTTTGAGCCCTAGAAATTCTGATCTGCAGATCAGTGAAAATGGCAACCCGAACTCTAGTATAAATTCTGGGTTTTTTTTTTTTGCTCTTCTCAGATACATTTGCTGGTGACTGAGCGATTGAGTCAATCTTCTATTGAGTCTCTATAGTTAAACATTCATTATAATCTTGCATAACGGAAGCTCACCTCTAGCAACCGGATGGTCCCTGTCAGATTCACCTTGTAGTATTCCAGTGGCATCTGGACTGACTCTCCGACGGCTTTAAGACCCGCAAAATGTATCACTGCAGAAAAGTGATGCTGGAAATGGAAGAAGGACCAAAATAATGTCGCTGTTGTTATTCAGAACAAAATTCACCTTCATTGTGGGTTCCCCCCACCTTAAGTCAAAGGATATTTAACTTTTAAGCCCACTTTCCATTAAGTGATTTTAAGGTGACGTTCTAAACTCAGAAGGCAAAAATATGAAGCCTGGATCAGAATGACTATTCAATACGTGGCCTATACGGTGACTACATTCCACCTCCAAAGGTTCACCAAAATAACCATTTTCTGAGGCTACATTTTTCCAAGAGTTTGGACGTATTTGTGCCTCATTGGTTTTTCTGCTCCTAGGCCCATCTTTAAAAGTCTCACAAAGGGAAAAAGAAACTCTGAAGAAGGAAGAAAACATTCCACAAATGAGAGATGTTCGTTTTCCTGCTGAATTTCAGAAATACAATTCTGGATTCCAGGGTCACCAACAATATGCTTGGGAGTCTATGTGACTGACAAACTGCCCATCCCACTGACAGACTGATCCCATCCACAGCAGGGGTCTCCAACCTTGGCAATTTTTAAGACGTGGACTTCAACTCCCAGAATTTTGGGAGTTGAAGTCCACAAGTCTTAAAAGTTGCCAAGATTGGAGACCCCTGATCCACAGAGTACAAAAACACACTGGAGTCTTTGCCCATTTGTCTTTGCTCATTTGTTTTTTGAAAAAAGGCCAATTCAGATGACTTTCAACTGTGCTGACGATGCAAAAGTCCTTTATAGGCTGGTTACTTGCCAAAGCTTTAAGATCCATGGTCTGAGAACAGAAATTTCCCCCAAAAAGAATGGACGGAGTCACTTAAGAGTTTTTCCGTGCAGTTTTTCCAGAGGTGAAATCTACTTACCTTCCGTACCGTTTCAGAAGTGCACGTGCCCCACACGTGTGTCACATGGACCCTCTGCGCATATGCAGAAGGGTAAAAAACAGGTTACTTTCTGGTTAAAACAAGGAAGTAACAACGAACGGGAGGGTGGGCGAAGCCTCACACTGCCATCGCTATCGGTTCTCCAAACCACCTGCCGCCATCGCTACCGGTTCAAGCGAACCGGGCCGAACCGGTAGCATTTCACCCCTGAGTTTTTCAGCACAACCAGGCACAGTAGAAGTCAGTGCAGCCACGCTAAAACGGATGCAGCATCAAACTTTTGGAGCAGTTTGCAGAATGTCTTTGTGCAGTACAAAATCTCTCTCAAGATTGATGGGTTGAGTAATCAAAAGGGGGCAATTGCCCCCTCCCCCCTGCAATCACATAGGAAAAGACAGGTGAGCCTTTTACCTAGGCAAAGCTAGTGGTGCTGCTCAGCAGGCAAAAACTCCGCTTACTTGCAGAAGCTGAGCCAGTTTCATAACTGGTACAATGAAAAAGGAAAGTTGAACCATCAGATCAGCGATATCATCTTACCTTTTTGAAGAGCTGCTGAAGGGCTCTCTCGTCAAGGACATCCAGTTCTTGGAATGGGATGTCCTTCCCCACAATCTCCATCACACGCTGAATGCTCTCCGGGACCATATTTTCTCCTGCAGAGAGAATTAGTGTTTTGATGCAATGCTGGATGGACTCGGCCTCATGCCAGTCTGTTGCTGCCCTCTTTAGGGAGAAGAGGGTCAGAAAGCCTACCTTCCCATCAGTGGTGAAATTCAATTTTTTTTTACTACCAGTTCTGTGGGCATGGCTTGGTGGGCGTGGTGTGGCTTGGTGGGCGTGGCAGGGGAAGGATACTGCAAAATCTCCATTCCGTCCCCACTTTTGGGGGAAGGATACTGCAAAATCCCCAGTCCCTCCCCACTCTTCGGAGAAGGATATTGCAAAATCTCCATTCCCACCCTACTCCAGGGGAAGGATACTGCAAAATCTCCATTCCCTCCCCACTCTGGGGCCAGACAGAGGTGATATTTGCCGGTTTTCCGAACTACTCAAAATTTCCGCTACCGGTTCACCAGAACCTGTCAGAACCTGCTGGATTTCACCCCTGCCTCCCATGCCCTTAGTCTGGATGCTCCTTTGGACCTTAGAGATGTCCTGGCTTTTGACTGAAAACATTCTGATCTCCACATTCCTGCTTCCCATCACATAGGCTAAACATCTCCCCCTCTTGTGAACAGCCAGAGATGCTCTTCCTCTCCGCCCTCCGTATCATCAAGGTCTTTGAAAACTTGAAAGCAAATTCAAGAGACAATCCTCTAGTTTTTCTGAAGAATCTTCAGAGCTCACGGGTCATTGGAAGAGAATCTTGAAAGCCTCCTACAGAGCCATGATCCAGCTCAAATGATAACTAGCATAACGAAGGTAGAATCTCCTTCCTTACATTCACTTTCCTCCCCTGAACTTGACTTTTCTGTAATGGTCCTCCTGCCTTCCTGTAATATCTTTCACTCTTCTCCCTGTTCCCAGGACTGTTAGTCATTCCATCATAAATACTCCCTCTAACTCAGGGGTCTCCAACCTTGGCAACTTTAAGACTTGTGGACTTCAAGTCCCAGAATTCCTCAGCCAGCAAAGCAAAGCTGGCTGAGGAATTCTGGGAGTTGAAGTCCACAAGTCTTAAAGTTGCCAAGGTTGGAGACCCCTGCTTCTAACTCCATCCCAGTGGCTATCCGAGTAGGAAATGAGAGCATGACTAGAATCTTGGCCTTTCTGTCAGTATTTTAAGGGATCAATAAAGGACATTAAGATGAGGGTTTGGCCAATGTTTCAGTGCCACCCTGAGGCAAAAGTGAAATAGCGCTTTGCCTATGGGAGTCAGTGGGGAAGGCAACACTGTTGGCTTCCCCACTACAACTAAGTCACACTAAGGTTAGTTGATGACCCAGCCACAACTTGCAAGATGGATGTAACTTACACACTGGGACTTGTTTGATTCTGGTTTAGTGTGTTTTATAAAATCACTTGTTTATAAACCATGATTTATAGTGAACATCTTACCCGTAAAGTAACCCATGATGATAAAACATGGCTTAGAATAAGGCCAGAATTCATTCATTGGTTCAAGAGTCAACAGTCTGCCTACAAACCAGGCACTTCACCATCAATTTAAGGTGTTCTGCTAAGTGGAAAACAAGAACCTTGGATGCCAACCTTGCTGTCAACCAGCTCCTGGATACCGCCCTTACCTCGGATGGCATTGTGGAAGTTATCGATAACTACCGGGGTATAGCCAGCCTCAACCAGTTCCAGCACACAGTGGCTCCCTATATAGCCAGCTCCACCTGTCACGAGGATCTTTTCCGACATGGTCTTCTGAAAAGAAACAGAAAAATCTTTGGAGGAAGAGAAGAAGTGGTTTCTTTCTGGGAGAAACAAGTGCATTATGGAGGGACCAAGGCGAGAGTAAGCAATTAATTTTCCCATGAGATCACATGAGAAACTAGGACTGTTATGGAGGGCCAGACCAATAGGACTATGAAGGTACATAGACAAGCATGCGTGCAACATATATAAATTGGAAAAAAACAACACCTTCAAAATAAAAGCAACCCGTGCAGGTCGGATAGAGACAGCCAAAGGGCTAAATGTGGCCCAGGGCCCATAAAATGCCCAGGTCGAATTAAGCCAACCTGGAACACTCCAGATGTTTTGGGACTGCAGACTGAAGATTCCAAATCTCTAGATTGGAATTCTGGAGGTTGTGATTTCAACAGGTCCAGAGGGCACCAAAATGGGTAGAAGCGGCAATGCTTCTTTCCAACATAATAGAATAGAATAGAATAGAATAGAATAGAATAGAATAGAATAGAATAGAATAGAATAGAATAACAGAGTTGGAAGAGACCTTGGAGATCTTCTAGTCCAACCCCCTGCCCAGGCAGGAAACCCTACACCACTTCAGACAAATGGTTATCCAAAGTCTTCTTAAAAATATCCAGTGTTGGAGCATTCACAACTTCTGCAGGCAAGTTGTTCCACTTATTAATTGTTCTGTCAGGAAATTTCTCCTTAGTTCTAAATTGCTTCTCTCCTTGATTAGTTTCCACCCATTGCTTCATGTTCTACCCTCAGGTGCTTTGGAGAATAGTTGGACTCCCTCTTCTTTGTGGCAGCCCCTGAGATATTGGAACACTGCCATCATGTCTCCCCTAGTCCTTCTCTTCATTAAACTAGACATACCCAGTTCCTGCAACCGTTCTTCATATGTTTTAGCCTCCAATTCCCTGATCATCTTGGTTGCTCTTCTCTGCATTCTTTCTAGAGTCTCCACATCTTTTTTACATCGTGGCAACCAAAACTGAATGCAATATTCCAGGTGTGGCCTTATCAAGGCCTTATAAAGTGGTATTAACACTTCACATGATCTTGATTCTATCCCTCTGTTGATGCAGCCTAGAACTGTTTTGGCTTTTTTGGCAGCTGCTGCACACTGCTGGCTCATATTTAAATGGTTGTCCACTAGGACACCAAGATCCCTCTCACAGTTACTACTATTGAGCATAGATTTTCTTAGTCCGATTTGGTGCCAATTAGAAACCTTCCTGAGAAAAGGCACTCAAAACTAAAAGGCTAATAAGCATTCTGTCAGAATTCACAAATGTTGGTCCTAGGCTAGAATTAATCCCTGTTTATGCTAAAGGAGGGGAGGGGGGGAAGGGCAGCTAAAAATCTGGACTAAGGCAGTCTGGAAAATGGGGTGGTGCCTGGAGACAGTTCAGAAGCTAAGTGGTGAACAAGGTGCATTTACATCAGAGGTGGGTTTCAGCAGGTTCTGACCAGTTCTGGAGAACCGGTAGCAGAAACTTTGAGTAGTTCGGAGAACCGGTAGTAAAAATTCTGACTGGCCCCGCCCCCATCTATTCTCTGCCTCCCAAGTCCCAGCTGATCAGGAGGAAATGGGGATTTTGCAGTATCCTCCCCCTGCCATGATATTCCTGAAAGCTTTTAACAGCACAGGGGAACCCCCTTTATATGCCCTTCGAAAAGAAATGACATGCCTCTGTATCTAGCCTGGATAGGTGGCTCAGTCACTGAGCTTGTCGATCAGAAAGGTTGGCAGTTCGGCAGTTCGAAGTATAGGTCTCCTGCGTGAGCAGGGGGTTGGACTAGATGACCTCCAAGGTCCCTTCCAACTCTGTTACTGTTACTTATAAGAGCCGTGGTGGCACAGTAGAATGCAGTATTGCAGGCTAACTCACTGCTCACTCCAGGAGTTCGATCCTGACTGGCTCAAGGTTGACTCAGCCTTCCATCCTTCAGAGGTTGGTAAAATGAAGAGCCAGATGGTTGGGGGGCAATAGGCTGACTCAGTAAACCGCTTAGCGAGGGCTGTAAAGCATGAAGCTGTATATAAGTGCTATCGCTATAGTCGTTTTCACCCTCAAATGTTTGCAGAATCAATATTGATCTTGGCTGGAGAAAGAAAGAAAAATGTGGTTTACGCAAGTAATATAACCTGCCCAAGAATAAGCTTTTTATAATAGAATCCTTCCCTCTTGGTCATTGATCTGACGTTAATAAGTATTTCCTTTCCCCAGACTTGCACTGGAGTTCCTGGCAAAAAGTAAGCCAACCTCTGAGCATGAATGGAATTCCCCACCCCTGTCTAATTAATGTCAGTCTCCATAAAAGTCCTGCTTGCCAGATGTTAACAAGCCTTTATAGAACTCATTTAACAAAACTGGTAGTTTTGCATTTGCACAATCCCACGTAACCAGTTACAGACCTACTGGCTACATTTGTACAACATGCTTAATCTTGGTTAGCCTTTTTTGAGTTTAGTACCCTCTGTGAGCTTAGCCCATTTGATTACAGACCCAGAAAATGGGTTGATTCAGTAACCAGGTTTTATGATGAGATTGTGATAAATAAGAAAAAAGGAGACAGAATAGTAACAGACAACTCTTCCTCCCACCTATCTCCTTCCCATTTTTTCATTTGGTGTCCTTATTGCCAGGGAAGGAAATCACCACAGCCCATGATTCAGACACCACATCATTTAAGTGTTCAGGGATAGAAATTTCCTGACAGTTAGAATAATTACCATATTTTTCGCACTGTAAGACACACTTTCCCCCCCCCCAAAAAATGGGTGGAATTGTCTGTGCGTCTTATACAACAAATATTGCAGTGGGGGAGGGTAGTTGGTGCGGCGGCAGCATTCGCCCCCACTGCCTGTCACCGCCGCTGCTGTAACTTGTTACTGCTGCAGCTGTTTGCCACTGTCAGAGAACACTGGAGCCTTCACTGCCAAGCAGCTGATTGGTGGTTGGATCGGCCTCCCGGAATACCGCCAATCAGCTGTTCTAGGTGGTGGGGATCGCCGCCACTGTTTGCCACTGCCAATTGCTGCTGATCGCCACCACCAGTAATTGGCAGTGGCGGCAAATGGTGGCAACAATCCCCACACCTAGAACAGCTGATTGGCAGTATTTGGGGAGGTTGATCCAACCGCCAATCAGCTGCTCAGCATTGAAGGCTCCAGTGTATCCCGCCGGCGGCAGCAGCTCAGCTCAGTTGACCGGTGGTGGGTGCAACGGAGTGGAGCCCTGACGAGCCACGTACTGGGGCTGCGATAACATGCTGAAGCTAACCAGGCTGTTTGCTGCAAGGACGCTAGCCAGATGAATGCTGGATGGATGTTGGGAGGCAGGGGCAGATATATTTTTTTTCTTGTTTTCCTCCTCTAAAGCTGATGTGCGTCTTATGGTCTGGTGCGTCGTATAGTGCGAAAAATACAGTAATCAGTGGAACGACTTGCCTCCAGAGGTTGTGGGTGCTCCTAACACTGGAGGTTTTAAAGAAGAGATTGGACAATCATTTGTCTGAAATAGTTTAGAGCAGGAGTCCCCAACTCCTTGACCGTGGCATGCCAGAAACCAGGCCGCGCAAACAAGCGAAGCCCCATGAATGGGATGCAGGCAGCACATAAAACCATGCCTCCTCCGGTCCACGGAAAAACCTTTCTCCGTGGAACCGGTCCCTGATACCCAAAAGGTTGGGGACCACTAGTACAGGGTCTTTCGCTTGAGCAGGGGGTTGGATTACAAGACCTTCCGGGACCATTCCAACTCTGTTATTCTGTAAAAATATTTTCCAGAGAAACCAGAGAGATCTAATCCTTCTGGAAACACCAGTGCCCTTCCTGTTGTCATATTTTTAAAAGTTTTAATTTCCTGGTCTGGTTTCTGATCTTTCACACTGATCTTCCTGGCAGGTATTTAGCAGGTGAAGAGTTGCCTGCGCTCTAGAATTTAGACTGAGAACTCAACTCAAAGGAGCCTGGTTTAGCTCAACAGACAGAAGCACTGTAATTTAACACCAGCTGTCTGCAATTAAAGTAAGATCGAATCTCGCCAGGCTCAAGGTTGACTCAGCCTCCCATCCTTTCTAAGGTGGGTAAATTGAGGACCCAGTTTGTGGGGGCAATAAGCTGACTTTGTATATATATACAAAAGTATGAAGGCTATTGCTTAACGCACTGTAAGCCGCCCTGAGTCTCCGGAGAAGGGCGGCATATAAATAAATAAATAAATAAACTCCAGCTGATCTAAGTCTCTGGGGCAGCAGGAGAAAGCTGAAGCTTCTTAGACCCCATTAGCCAAAAATTACATTTAACCCAGCAATGTTGTAGTTCTTCCCTTAAAACTGCGCCTTTGCCAGTTTCTCCTCCCTTCCACACTCAACCCTGGACAGAGCCCCTCTCTTTACACAGAAAAGTTGCTGTCTTTCTCTTCCAGAAGCCTATTACTATTTATTTATTTTCCAGTCCCCAAAAATAATATTTTGTGAGAACAGACGTACTTCAGTCTGAAAATGGCAAGGCTGAGGCTTTTCCGGGAAGGGACGAACTGGACTCACAAGAGCTGCTGAGAAGCGGGAGAGGGCCACCTGGACAGAAACCGCCCGCCCGAAAGGGCCCATGAAAAGAGACCCTGTGTGCACACAGCCACAAGGAAGACATTCATCTTGAAACACACACCCATAGTTTGCATGCTGGTCAAAGTTTTAGGCTTGATCCTCCCGGGTTCAGACTCCGATTTAACTTCCAACTTTATATCTGAGCACCCAGATGTGGCTGGTTGACTTTTCCTAGCTCCTTAGTTTACATATCTGTAAAATGTACTGGTTTCTGGGAGCCAGTATTAGTTCCTCATTCTTGCTTTCAAGATCTTCCTTAGCTTTCCCTGCTCCTTCTCTCTCAACTCCTAATTTCTCATTAATACTCTCCCTCTGACCCTTGCTCCTTCAACTCTACTTAGCTGTCCAAAAGCCATCAACGAGAACTCAACCTTGCAGCAAAGAATGATCCGAAGTTGTGTGTCAAAGCTCCTCTCTTCCTCCAACTCAAAGGTTGGCACAATTTGGTACCCAGCACAACTGTCTCTCTGCATGTAGAACCAGACCGAAGCCTCATCCCTCCAGTGCTTCTTTCGCTCACTTTTAACTACTCAATCAGGTAGAGCAGTGGCCCCCCAACCTTTTGGCCACCAGGGACCGGTTCCGTGGAGAGAGGTTTTTCTGTGGATGGGAGAGGGTGTGGTTTCCTGTGCTGCCTGCATCCCATGGATGGGGCTTCGCTTGTTTGCGTGGACTGGTGTCTGTCATGCCACAGTCCACTGCTGGTCCACGGACTGGGGGTTGACAACCCCTGAGGTAGACAGACTGCAGGCTGAAAGGAGTGGAGGGTAGGGTACCATTTCCTTCCTCTAGAACTGTGTTTCTCTGCCTTGGTCACTTTAAGACATATGGACTTCAACTCCCAGAATTCCCCAGCTAGCATGCAGCACTTGAAGTCCAGGCATTTTAAAGTGTCCAAGGTTGAGACCCACCGCCTTGGCCGGATGTCAGCAACCTGTGGCTCCGGAGCTGAATGCGGCTATTTGGGCCCTCTGCTGTGGCTCCCTGTCGGGTGATCCCAGCACTGGCTGCCCCCGCCCCTCACCCTCCCCTCCCAGTCACTCATCGCCTGGCCTGAGAAGGTAAGGGCGATGGCGGGGGCTGGAGAAGCGGTCAGGGCAGAGAGAGAGATATACAGAGAGAGGGAGAGAGAGAGAGACATAGAAAGATACAGAGAGATGGGGGAGGGAGGGAGAGAGAGAGAGAGAGATGCCAAAAGAGTTTTGTGGTTCCCAGTGTTTTTTAACAATTGGTTTTCTGCCCTAATGACCAGCTGGATAGGCGTGGCTAGGGAGTCATGTGACTGGTGGAAGTGAGTGACATCGAGTTGGCCATGCCACCCAGGTTTTGTGGCTCCCGGTGTTTTCTTTTCTGTGGGAAACTGGTCCAAATGGCTCTTTGAGTGTTTTAAGGTTGCAGACCCCTGGCCTTGGCCAAAACAGAAGCTCAGAGCACTGTTAGCAGTTGCAGTGCTTTCCTTTCCTGCCTTTTCTCAAGAGGAACAAATAATCTGTCTGGCTCTCACTTGCTCCTCCACCCATCGACACTCAGGCTGGGCCAAAATCATGCTGCCGCTCCAATTTTGCTTGCTTTACATCGGCTGCCTCTGCTGAAGGGCAATTAAACCTGTCTTCCAGGAGAAAGAAGAGAGATCGAATCCTCCTGGAAACGGCTGCGTCCTCCTTGCTGTCATTTTAAAAAATACTTTAATTTCCTGGTTTGGTTTCTGCGACCTTTTATACTGGTCTCCCTAGCAGATATTTAGCAAGTGAAGTGTCATTTTAATAGCAAGGGAGTCTACTGTCCAATGTTCCTGCTTGTCAGGAATTTATGAAATATATTGGATTATTGGAGCAATATAAAATCCTGGCTATTTGGCTCCCATGTTGCTAGCAAGGTACAGAAGGGATTTAAAAAATCGCCAACCTTTTACTTGGCTAAAAGCCAACCTGGTTCAGGATGTAGTAATTATTCACTATTTACTCAGAGATGTTAAAAACCAGGAAACTGGATGTTTGGTATGACGGGTGCAACGGGATGACAAAACATCCACCCACTGGAAGAAGAGATCTGAGCTGGGTTGCACTGCCCACAGCTAGTTCCACGTGGGCAGAACAGGCCAGCCCACAATCAGGCAGGCAATTGCACAGCCAAGTTGGCAACACCTTGTTCACACCTGGGCCGTTTGCTGGAATCAGAACGCAGGGTAACCTTAGCAAAGGGGCAGCGTGACGTGGCTTCTTTGTTTTATCCATCAAAGCTGAGACCTGCCCAACCGGAGCCTGGTGCAAAAAAATTCATTCGCACGCAAACAGGATTTGCTTGCCTGTAGTCCAATGTATCGGGTGAACCAAGTTAGTCGATTTTTAAAGCAAGCTTGGTAGTGAATCTAGCCGACAGTGGCTTGTTCCCCAAACCATAGTTAAAACAACTATCATTCAGCACAGGGATTTAGAATTTTTTGGGGGAACAAATTTGTAGTATCCATTAGAACACTGCTGAGAACTGTTCTCCAAAAAGTAGTAAGATAGGTCCAAAATGAATTGCATTTCATTGATAGTAAAGTTAAATAGAGGACATATTACTATTCCATCAGTTGAAAAACATTTCTCCGGTTTGTCACACTATGTTCTGCCCCAGCTATGGACCCCAAAGAACACAGCACACAAAAAGTCCGTACAAGCCTTAGTTTACTAATTAAGGACTACAAATGAGCTTTTTTAGTAATAGTTCGAACACAAGTACAGTTTAAATAAGTCTTTTCTGAACAAGGGCTATTAATTTAACTTCATTAACAGCCGACAAGAATCCAAAGAATAACTCAATTCTGAGGCACAGTATTTCAGATAACCGTAATCTTGCTGTGGTTGGCAGAATGCCCAGAAGCAATTTGCAGGAAAACTGACAAGAGAGAAACAAGAGCCGAATCAAACGTTTTCTGGAATCAAGACGCGAAGGAATATGAACGAAGTTGTTTCCTGCAAATTGCCTCAGTCGTCATCCTTCCTTAAATAGGCTAGGGGAGTGGCCAAATTAGCCTCAAGCCTTACTCTCGAGGAGACCTCCTCCTGAGGAGCCATTCCTGCCTTTTAACAGCTGAGTGCCCATGCATCGAGAAGAGGCTCCTCCTCCTCCTCCTCTTCACTTATGGGAGCTTCTGGAGGTTCTGAAGGCCCTGGCTGAATCCCCGCCTCTGGCACCACATCTTCTCCAGCCTCCTCATTGTTTGACTCGAGCGCCAGCTGCACAGGCTGCTGGCGCAGCAGCACACCAGCCTCCTCGCTGTCGGAATCAGCTACTAGCTGCATAGGCCGCTGACGGGCCACAGCACACTATAATGTAACAATCCTGGGGAATCCATGAAGGACTTTAGAGCCAAAGCAATCCTAACACTTCTACTTAGGGAAATGCATGAACCCAACTGCAAGAAATTAGCAACCAGGAATTGGTTTGGAAGACCAAGAAATCTTCTCCCACTTGCCAAACCTTCCTTCCTTACGATTTTTAGCTTTGTGCACATCAACTTACGATCACCATTTTGCTGCGGCTCTTTTTAAACAATTGTATGTCACAAATGTTTGCCCCTTTATCCAGGGATCACACAGTCCATCCACATGAATAAATATGCAAAACACACCATTTCATAGCTGAAATAATTTCACACACAAAAAAAGTTTCTTGCTGAAAACAGGACTTTCCACATTTCACATGCAAAAGTTTGAGATGGGACGTTTTGCAAACTCTTACGACTCGGTAGGATTTCTATTGGACCTATAAGGGTGCATTGCTTGGCTCAGCCCACCATGGGACACTTGGTTTTCACTTAACACAGGGTTGGGCAACTTCCCCATAACTAAGTTACAACTGTCTCCCACAAGTGGCTCGAGATTTGCAGGTGAAATTACTAACCAGGGAGGGCTGTTTTTTTCCCCCATGGCTTGTCTTTCAGGTTTTTAAGAGTGGGAATGGGAACAGCCTCCCCACACCCTCAAATAAATTTGCTGAGAACCTGGTTGATTTCTGGCTGCATCTTGGGAGTGGGGGGGGGGAGTTTAGGGAGAGGATTAATAGTGGAATTAGAGTAGTTTCCCTCCAGAGCCTCCCTCTCCAATATTTATCCTTATTGCAATAAAAATAAAGAACTAAGGACTAAGGACTAAGCATTAGTCCTTCACTTTAGTAAGGGGAGGATGGGACGCTGTGATCTCCCTGTGTGCTACAGACTGCCTATTCCTGTTTTAACACATTAGGTTCGGCTAACAAATTAAGATCCATTTAGATAACAACAATCATATCGACCAAAAGCCATTTACAATAGGTGACGTATGCACCATTTACTGAAAAAAATGGTGCATACTTATATGCAACTGAAATTTGAGCAGCTGGATATCGAACTTTCTGCTCACTGTGTAAAGGTAAAAGTTCCGCTCGCACATATGTGCTAGTCTTTCCCGACTCTAGGGGGCGGTGTTCATCTCCATTTCGAAGCCAAAGAGCCAGCACTGTCCAAAGACGTCTCCGTGGTCATGTGGCTGGCATGACTCAATGCCAAAGGTGCACGGAATGCTGTTACCTTCCCACCAAAGATGGTCCCTATTTTTCTACTTGCATTTTTTACGTGCTTTCGAACTGGTAGGCTGGCAGAAGCTGGAACAAGTAACGGGAGCTCACCCCCGTTACGCGGCACTAGGGATTCGAACAGCTTAACTGCCGACCTTTCGATCGACAAGCTCAGCGTCTTAGCCCCTGAGCCACCGCGTCCAACTGTCTACAGCTGTGTTATTCCCCTCTCCCAGTCTATTTTATAAATGACAACTAATGGCAAGCCGATTCACTCAAAACAATTGCAGGGCCATACTGCTTTTCAAATTAATTGCACCCAGTCAAATATTGCTCTTTCCATTGTTTTCTTTTTATGCTTTATAGTGAGTTTTTTTCAGTAGACTGTTTTTTTTTTGCAGACAGTTATGCTGAATTGAATTTTTATTACGGCCTTTGGCCAATCAAAAAATGGTTATATTGTTCTTTTTTTTTCTGTGCGGTGCTCTTCAAGAATGTAAGAGAGCTACTAAGAAAAATAAACGATACTAAATCGTATCCTATTACGTCCCCTCAAACACCAGAGGGCCAAGATGTGCATACATTTTGATGGTACTCTGCTAAGTCAACCTGCTCAGCTCTCCTCATACTGAAACAGTCAACTGATCAATGGGGGCTATTCAAGACATTGCTTAAAAGACAATCAACTTCTTTACATTTTCCTCATGCAAAAAGAACAGCTTCCATTCAGTCCTTCCAAGAGAAAAACCAATCACTGTTGAGATCATAATAATAATAATAATAATAACAACAACTTTATTGTCATTGTACGTGTATCCCCATATACCCATACAACGAAATTCACTTAACACCCAGAGACCAGGTCCACCACACACAACAATCCCCAAACACACTCCCACCCACCACAAATTCCCCACCCCTAAACCACCCAAACATCCGCACAACAGACCAAGCATATATCCTCTTCCTCCAATATTGGATAGACTGTCTATGGAGATTCTCAGTCATCCACGTCATAGTTGTCCCAAAGGTATTTCCCCCTCCCCACCAAAGGCCATTGGACTCTTGTTTTTCCTTGAAGACGTTTCGCTTCTCATCCAAGAAGCTTCTTTAGTTCTCATCCAAGAAGCTTCTTCAGTTCATTCTGAAGAAGCTTCTTGGACAAGAAGCAAAACATCTTCAAGGAAAAATGAAGTCCAGTTGCCTTTTGGAAAAAGAAAAAAAAAAAAGGAGTTTTGGGACACCGGATAGCCTGACTGCTCAGACTTGGAACAGATTTCAGGCAGGTAGTAGAAGTGTACTAGCTTGAATTCATAGAACTACCAAGATTGTCCATAGGAGGGTTAAAATGACAGAAGCAGCTTTGCACCATAAGCTCTGCCCTGCCTGGGTGTCTGCTTGGATGCTGTAAGTTGTGTGAAAGGGAGTGGAGCTGTTATTGCAGGTCCAATAGATAGGTTATCAACTTATAAGAGCGTGCAAAACATCCCATCTCAAACTGCTGCATGTGAAATGTGGAAAGTCCTGTTTTCAGCAAGAAATTGTTTTTTTGTGAGTCTGTGAAACTATTTCAGGTATGAAACGGTCCATTCCTGGACTAGGAAATTTTTTTAAACAAAAACAAAAACAAACGGAAGGCATCCATAATGAAACTCTTAGGCATTATAGCCAAGAAAAACATACAACCTCCTAATCCCCAGCAGTTGATCTCAATTTTTTTTAAAAAAATTTTTTTTTTATCACTTTATGACTTTGTGTGACTTTGAAGAGGCAATTTGCACATGCTCAAACTACACCTAGCCCCAGTGGTTTCTGCCTGCCTCCCAGAACAAAAATGCTGCATTTCCTCCTTCTGACAATCCTTCTTAGAGCAGCGTTTCTCCACCTTTGCAGATGAACGTGGGGAAGGAACTTCAACTCCCAGAATTCCCTAGCGTTAAGTATGCTATGCTATGGTAGGCTGGGGAATTCTGGGAGTTGGAAGTCCACCCAGATTCAAGCTGGAGAAACACTTGTTTTTAAGAGATACAGGATAGCAGAAAAAGTTTTTTCCAAAAGCCAAAGAAACCTGAGCTCCCATCCTCAGCCCTTCCCTTCCGGTGGATGACGGGCAGGAGAGGCAGGATTCCCAGCTTCCCTGAGAAGAGCCAGGCAGACCAGGGGTCTCCAACCTTGGCCATTTTAAGCCTTTTAGGAAAACTTTCTGCATCCTGTATCCCTTGGCAGCTTGAACCTGGGTGGACTTCAACTCCCAGAATCCCCCAACAGCTATGTAGCATAGCATACATAACGCTAGGGGATTCTGGGAGTTGAAGTCCGCCAGGCTTAAAGTGGCCAAGGCTGGAGACCCCTGGTCTAGACGGCTCTTCAGTCCCTGGAAAGATCTGCCTTGGCTCTTTTCAGGGAAGCCAGGAGCCCCCCACTCCCGCCCGGCACCCACCGCCCTGCCTTGGCTGAGAGGCAGGTATTTTAGCTGGAAGGGAAGGGCTGAGGATGGGAGCTCTGGTTTCTTTGGCTTTTGGAAAAAACTTTTTCTGCGATCCTGTATCCCTTAAAACAAGTATTTCTCCACCTAGACAGCTTGAACCTGGGTGGACTTCAACTCCCAGAATCCCCCAGCGTCTCAGCATAGCATACGTAACGCTAGGGGATTCTGGGAGTTGAAGTCCGCCAGGCTTAAAGTGGCCAAGGCTGGTCTAGAAGGGCAACGGGGCAGCCTTCTTGCCCTTCTTCCGACCCACCAAGGCGGGGACCCTCCCCGCCACCGTCTCCCTTCTTCCTGGCGAAAGCTCACCCTACTCCCTCCGCCGCCCATCGCCCTCCCATTTCTCACCATGCATCCAGCCGTTCCCACGTGCAGCCGCGCACCCCGCCGCCCCGCCACGCATCCTCCTCACCTGCTGCGGCTCCGCGGACTCCTTCCGAAAGCAGCGAGGTCGCCGCCCCTTTAAGGGCTTCTCCCCGCCCCTCCTTCTTTTAAGCCACGCCTCCGCGGGTAGCACGGCCGCGCGCCGCTTCCCCATGGTAACGTGTCACTTTTTGGTCCCGCCCTTGCTCCAAACCCCCAGCTCCTCCTCCTCCTGGTACGGAACGTGGCGAGGGCCAAAAAAAAAAAAGGTGTCCCGATGCCACGCATTCTTTGGGGTGGATGGATTGAAATGAGCTTGCAGGGAAGTTCCGCAAACTGCCCTCGGCGGCTTCTTGGTCTCCTGTTTTAGGAAGGCAGCTCAAGCGGAGCCTTTCCCCACCGGAGGCTGCAAATGGGGATTCTTTAGCCTGGAACACAGCAGCAAAGTTCTGAGCTGCTGTAGGTGGTTTTATAGTTCCAGGCATTCAGTTTCCCATCACACACACAGCAACACACCCTTGAGAAACCCTGCATGGATGGGAAAGAAGAAAGTTATGTTTTACTCTCTTCACAAGACAGATTAATACAATAGAATAGAATAGAATAGAATAGAATAGAATAGAATAGAATAGAACGTGGAATGGAATGGAACGGAATGGAATAGAACGGAATGGAATGGAACGGAATAGAACAAAACAAAACAGAACAGAAATATGGAATAGAATAGAATAGAATAGAATAGAAGAATAGAATAGAATAGAATAGAATAGAATAGAATAGAATAGAATAGAATAGAATATGGAATGGAACGGAACGGAACGGAACGGAACGGAACGGAACGGAACAGAACAGAATAGAATGTGGAATGGAATGGAATGGAATGGAATGGAACGGAATAGAACAAAACAGAACAGAAATATGGAATAGAATAGAATAGAATAATAGAATAGAATAGAATAGAATAGAATAATAGAATAGAATAGAATAGAATAGAATAGAATAGAATAGAATAGAATAGAATTCTTTATTGGCCAAGTGTGATTGGACACACAAGGAATTTGTCTTTGGGGCATACGCTCTCGGTGTACATAAAAGAAAAGATACGTTCATCAAGAATCATAAGGTATAACACTTAATGATAGTCATAGGGAACAAATAAGCAATCAAATCATATTAGGAAACAGTCAATATAAATCGTAAGGATATACGCAACAAAGTTACAGTCATGCAGTCATAAGTGGGAGGAGATGGGTGATAGGAACGATGAGAAGATTAATAGTAGTGCATACTGAGTAAATAGTTTGACAGTGTTGATGGAATTATTTGTTTAGCAGAGTGATGGCGTTCGGGAAAAAACTGTCCTTGTGTCTAGTTGTTCTGGTGTGCAGTGCTCTATAGCGTCGTTTTGAGGGTAGGTGTTGAAACAGTTTATGTCCAGGATGTGAGGGGTCTGTAAATATTTTCACAGCCCTCTTTTTGACTCGTGCAGTATACAGGTCCTCCATGGAAGGCAGGTTGGTAGCCATTGTTTTTTCTGCAGTTCTAATTATCCTCTGATAATTGGCCAATTGAGATAACAAGGTATTTGTCTCTAGTGCACAAACTCTCTGTACATACGAACAACAATAAAAGTAACACCCATAAGATACCAATAGAAGAAGGTAATAGGAAAGAGGAAGAATGATAGTACTGCAGTAATACAGCCCTATTACATGGGTTAATATCCTTAGCCGTAATAGAATAGAATAGAATTCTTTATTGGCCAAGTGTGATTGGACACACAAGGAATTTGTCTTGGTGCATATGCTCTCGGTGAGACAGTGCTGTGGGAATCAAGTGTTCAGCACAGTAATGGCATGAGTGGGGAAAAAATCCTGCCCCTGTATATAGTTGTTTTGGCCTGCAATAAGAGCCATAAACATATGAAAGGAAGAATCATAATAAAGTATCCATAAACTTCATCCTACAGTAGTCCTCAGTTTACATCCACATTTTGGGCCTGAATTTCCATTCTTAAGCAAGGTGGCTGAAGTGAGTTGCACCCGATTCTATGCACCCGAATTCTGATCACATGACTGTGAAGATGCTTTGACACTCGTAAATACAAGTACCAGTTGTAAATAACTTTTTTTTTCAGTCCTATTGCATCTTCAAATGATGACTAAATGGTTATAAGTGGTCCTACTGGTATCTCTATAGAGACTGCTTAGCAACAATGCAATTATTTTCAGTATCGCCCTTTTTTCAGAAATTCCACACATAACAAAAGTACAAGTGAAGGTACTATCCATTCTGTATACTGTACTGTACCAAGGGTGAAATCCAGCAGGTTCTGACAGGTTCTGGAGAACCGGTAGTGGAAATTTTGAGTAGTTTGGAGAACCGGCAAATACTACCTCTGGCTGGCCCGAGTGGGGTGGGAATGGAGATTTTGCAATATTCTTCCCCCAGGAGTGGGAAGGGAATGGGGATTTTGCAGTATCCTTCCCCTGCCATGCCCACCAAGCCACACCACGCCCACCAAGCCACACCCACAGAACTGGTAGTAAAAAATTTCACCACTGTGTACGTTTGGTACTTATACATAATGAAAGTATCTGAAGATACAATAAAGTACCTTAATCATTTTTGCACAGCTGTTTACAGAAAGATAACCAGTGGTGGGTTGCCCCCGGTTCGCACCGGTTCTATAGAACCGGTAGTAAAACGGGCAGGAGGCTCCGCCCACTGACCCTGACGTCATGAAATGCTTCCGCGCATGCCCCGTTGCGAACCGGTAGTAAAGGTAAGTAGAACCCACCGCTGATGATAACCATTATTTTTCCTATCCCACAACAGGATGGAAAAACTTTTGACTGTAGGCAGGACCAAAGCCAAGTAGTCTGAACAAAACGAGGACACTCGGCTTTATTTATTTATCAAATACTTTTATTTATTTATTAAATTTCTATACCACCCATCTCACCTAAGTGACTCTGGGTCAGGAATAGGCAACTATGACCCTTTTATAACATGTGGACTTCAATTCTGTAGAATTGATGTCCACAAGTCATAAATGAACTATAGTTGCCCATCTCTGCTCTGAGTAGTTTACAACAACTATGGTGGCTGGAGAATTCTGGGAGTTGAAGTCCACAAGTCTTAAAGCAGCCAAGTTTGAAGACCTCTGGCCTAATTCATAATTTGGATAGGTTCAAATCAGCAACGAACCTTTGGAGTATACTGCCTTCTAGTGGCCATGTCTTTAAATATCAGCTCTGTGTTTTTGACAGGTAGTTCTGGACTTTAAACCGTTTGTTTAGTGACTATTCGAAGTTACAGAGGCACTGAAAAAAAGTGATTTATGATTGGTTTACAATTGTTGTAGCTTCCCCATAATCAGGTGATCAAAATTTGGGTTCTTGGCAACTGGCATGCATTTATGACAGTTGCAGCGGTGGTGAAATCCAAATTTTTTTACTACTGGTTCTGTGAGCGTGGCTTGGTGGGCATGACAGGGGAAGGATACTGCAAAATCTCCATTCCCACCCACTCCAGGGGAAGGATACTGCAAAATCCCCATTCCCTCCCCACTCCTGGGGGAAGGATATTGCAAAATCTCCATTTCCACCCCACTCTGGGGCCAGCCAGAGGTGGTATTTGCCTGTTCTCCGAACTACTCAAAATTTCTGCTACTGGTTCTCCAGAACCTGCTGGATTTCACCCGAGTTGCAGTGATCCAATAATATATGAGCACCATTTGTAACTTTCCCAGTTGGCTACCGACAAGTAAAGTCAAAAGGGAAGCCAGCTGGAATTTAGAATGGTTGGGGCAGAAAAATGTTGGAGAAGAGAGGAAAACACTTTATTCTTGCTTAGGATGTGGGCAAAGGTGATATCACCAGTGGCTAAGTCAGGGGTATCCAACCTTGACCACTTTTAAGACCTGTGGACTTCAACTCCCAGAATTCCCCAGCCAGCATGGCCAAAGTTGGACACCGTTGGGGTAAGTGTAACATCCAGCTCAGACAAAGAAATGGGGGTCAGACATTCAGAAGCACCCCAGACACCCACGCATAGAGCTTCACTCTGGGACCTTATTTATCTTCATGTGCGGGACCTGGGCTGGGCCTCAAGATCGATCCCCAAAAAAGTAGTGCTAAAGTGCAAAGCTCAGCGAGAGGAGCAGCCCCAAACTGCAAGGCTCAAAGTCCAGCAACAAGTTAATCAGTGCCAAGCAAATCCAGGTCAGTCGGTCATAAGTGGACAGGCCACTTGCAAGATAGCTAGAAACATTTGCAAACATCGGTCCTGTCACTCAGAAACTCTGAACCACAGTTGTTAAGTGAATCACTGCAGTTGTTAATTTAGTAACCTAGTTGTAAAGTGAATCTGGCTTCCCCATTGACTTTGTCAGGATGCAAAAAAATCATTAAAACTGTCCGGAATATCATTGAGCTCCAGCTACCAGCGCTGGACGACATCTTCGAATCTCACTCCTTGAAGAAGTTGCACAACATTCTCAGAGACTCTTCCCATCCTGCTTACAATCTTTTTGGACTGTTGCCTTCTGGCAGAAGATACAGAACAATTAAAACTCAGACCACACGTCTTCTGAATAGTTTTTATCCCAGAGCTATAATTGCACTCAACAATGAATTAAAGGGCCACCATCAGTGAGCTGTTGGACAGCATTACTTGGTCTGTTGTGTGGATGTTTGGGTGGTTTAGGGGTGGCAAATTGTGGTGGGTGGGGGGGTGTTTGGGGATTGTTATGTGTGTTGGACCTGGTCTTTGGGTGTTAAATGAATTTCGTTGTATGGGTATACTGTGTAAACACGTACAATGACAATAAAGTTATTATTAAAAAGTGGTTACATGACATTGGAACTGTCATAAATTCATGCGTTGCCAAGCATCTGAATTTTGATCACATGACTGTGGGGATGAAGCAATGGCCATAAATGTGAAAAACGGTCGTAAGTCACTTTTTTCAATGCCGTTCTAACTGTGGTCATTAAATGAATGGTTCTAACTTGAGAACTACCTATATGACCGCCTCTGACTACTCCT